CTTCATTTCTACAAAACAAGTATCTTAAAAAAAGAAATATGTCTATTTGACTTCAATGTATATTGAATGTCAACGTGTATGGTTAATTTGTGAAATAAATATGAAATTATTTAACTCCATTGCTTCTTGTACTTTATTCATTCTACAAACATATCTAAAATAGGAAGAAGTATCTGTATAGTTCTTCTCTCATAAATATCCAGGAACACAAAAAAGTGCATTAGTTTTTGCCACACTCCTGTGTATAAAGCATTCTCCTGTGCTAACATGGGTTTCACTCTGCAATTTTTATATATTTTATTTTATTTTATTTTTATATTTTATTGGCCCAATTCTGCCACCCATTCTCAAATTTATTTGCACGATTTGTTGCTGTTTTAACAAGGTTGGTAAGTAACGCTGAAGGACTGCTGTAATTTTTTTTTGTTAAGCATTTCTTCTCTGCAGTTAATCATTGCATGCACTGTGCTATGCCATTTCTATTATGGCATTTGTGGCAAAACTAATACTTACTAAAACCAATGAGAAAGAATTGGGTGACAGAGTTGTTCTTTTTTATATTTGTTGTTGGAGTGCAGCAAAAATTCTTATCTCTCAATGAGTTTTAAAACTGAAGACTGTAATTGAGAAACTTCTCAGTTACAGTGCCTAGAGACATTACAATGTCTAGAGTCACTCACACTTTTATTCTTTTTAAAAAACTCTTATATCTGTCAAATACTCTGGGCCTTTACTGATGAAACTTGAATCAGTGAGGACAACGGTATTTGATTTCCACAGGTTTTCCTTGCTTTGTGCTTTTCATGAATTTTTCCATTTGTGGAATTTCCATATTTCACTGATGTTTCTAGTGTCACATGTGAGCAGAGATGTTCTTGCCTCTGTTTCCTCTCATTTTAAGCTACTATTGGAAGTAAAGTTGTCTAATGCATATATCTATAAATTCAAAAAGGCAAGAAAACAAAAAATCTTAAAAGTCTGTTCTCTTTTTCTCTGACATTGTGGGAGTTTTAATATGCCACATCTTGACAGGGTGGAGTTCAAAAGCAGAGATTTAAATCAATTATATTAAATCAAGGGTTTAGACTTGTGATATTTGTAATAATGATGCTGTAAACTTAAGGATCTAATGACAAAATCAGGACAAAACTGTTAAGGTAGAGGTGATCTTTTGGTGTGGTAGACAAAAGATAGAGTTTAACGAGATGAACTATGCATCTAAAGAAAGGTTAGTGTGCTGAAAAGATTGTGGGTCTGTTGGTTGGTTTGGTGGGGAGGGGGTGGGATTCAATCCTAATTGTGGCATTCTGGGGTTTTTTTTGTTGGTGTTTTGAATTATATCAGGGTCTTAGCACTATTCTGCTGTACTTGTTTGCGTAGGTGTACATACAAATATGTATGACGTGTACCACTTTAGTTATATCTGTGAAATGCATCAGTGTTGCTTGATTGTTACTTGCACAGTGCACCCTGGCGGGATATGCCTAACCCATACTGTGATGTCAGGTTTAAAGACACACCCGTCCTGATCAAGATAGGAAATTCTTAAGCAACCTGACAACACAGCATGTCTTACTTATTTTGGCAGGCGTGACAGCAAGGAGACAACACAGACCTCCTGTTCGTTGCTGGCTGCTCTATAGTATTGAGAAAGCCTCCAGCTATAGAAAAATAGATGGCCTAACACTGTGTATTGCTATCTACGAGTGTTCTCATAGATACTCTAGTAAAACTAAACACTTTTTTTCCATACAGACATCACTAGGTCTCTTATTGCCTCTTCTGAGGAAGGAAGAAATGAAGGCTACAGCATCGGCCTTCAGTTGCCTGATAGAGAGAAAACACTTGAATTTGAGCCTGGAAAACCAGTTTATATCAGCAAAGGGAAGATGAAAATTGAGCAAGAGGGCAAAGCCCCTGTTTTCCTCAAACAGGTCTCAGACATTGCAGTCTGGCAGGGAGATGTAGCTAGGCTCTCTGTTACTGTTACTGGCAGCCCCACACCCAAAATCCAGTGGTTTTTCAACAGTAGAAAGCTAACCCCATGCATGGACTGTAAGTTAGTATTTGCTGGCAATGACCACAGCCTCATCCTCCCATATGCAGGAGTGCAGGATGCGGGTGAGTATCTGTGCGTGGCCAGTAATGAACACGGTGAGATCAGCTGCAGCGCCCAGCTCCATGTGCGCCAGAGGCAGCCGGGATTGCCCTGCTTTTCCAGGGAGAGGCAGCCGGGATTGCCCTGCTTTTCCAGGGAGCCGGACAGCGTGCAGTGTGCACCGGGCTCCACGGCAGTCTTTGAGTACACTGTGCTGGGGAAGCCGTGCCCCGACGTGCTGTGGTCCAAGGGCAGCGAGCGGCTCTTCTCTGATGCTCGTCGCTCCATTGCTCAGCACCCTGACGGCTCGGGCTCTCTGACAGTGTGGGACTGTGTGGAAGAGGACACTGGGCTCTACACGTGCAGGGCCGTGAGTGCCCTGGGTGAGGCCACATGCTCTGCTGAGCTCCTTGTGTTGCGCCAGGAGCGCGCTGTGTGCAGGCAGAGCCAGGCCTTGCAGCACTCTGCAGAGGCAGAGGAGAAAAGCCCTCTTTTCTTCGAGGAGGCTGGTGAGCTTCCTGCAATAGAAGAAGCATTCAGTCTTGAGCCCATGAGAGAGCCTTCAACCCTCCTTCAGCACCAGATGAGCCAGGCAGTGTGCGTGATGCCCAGGGAGGGCGTCTTGCCTGGCCTGCCACCAGCCTGTCTGGCAGCGCAGAGTGTTGAAGAGATGCTCACCCAGGCGGCCACAATACAAGAGAGCAGCGGGCTTCTGGCAGAGCCTCTAGAAACCCTCCCTGCTGGCCCCCAGGGTGTGGTGCCTGCAGCAGTGATGGAGACAAAACTGCCAGGCTGCCTTGGGACTGTAGCTGCACAGATACTTATGCCCAAAGAGGAAATCATGCCCAAGGCAGCAGAGCAACTGGCTGCTCTGAAGAGAGAGGCTTCTCAAACCCTTCTACAGGTGTCATGCACCACTGAGAGCCATGTCATGGATGGTGACCAAATCCAGATCCTTGAGGGCTGTCAAACAGCACAAGGTGAGCTGAAGGCTGAACCAAGATTTCTCTCTGAATTGGCCTTCACTGGGGGCCAAGCTGTCCCCCTGAAGAACATTTCTTTCCTGGAAACAGCAAAGGAAGAGTTTGCTGCAAGAATACACGAGGGACAGGCTGTGAGATTTCCCTTGCTGCTGGAAGAAAACCAGTCCATGGAGGAAGAACATGTTGATCTTTCCAAGCCACTTAAGCAGTGGCAGAGGACAGAGAGACAATCCCATGAAACAATGTACTCTCCTGAGCTCCAACCAAGCCAAGTCCTCAACAAAGACAGTGAGCTCACTGCTCTGGTTCCCAAGAGCTGCAGCTTAGACATAAAGTCTCAAATCAGAAATGCATTGAAAGCTGCAGTGCTAAGTGGGGAAAACCTCTTGTTTTCAGAATGGTTGGCTGATAAGGAAGATGTTAAAGTACAGGCAATAAACATCACCAAGGGGAATACACATACCTTGTGCACATATGTTGTGACCACAGGAGGATGCAGTCCCATAGAAATTCAAGTCTCCTTGAGAGAAGTGAACATTCAGACAGCTGACCAGAAAACAGTCTTGAAGGAAGTTTTCTATTCCTTTCTTTGTGAAGATGAATATTCCCTGACGGGTGAAAAATCCCAAGCATTGCCATTCTCTGCCAGTCCACTTCTCTCAGGAGAATCCTATGATGAAATCTTTGAGCTGGATCTCCAGCAGGCTGAGAGGACTATGGAGGCAGAAATACAACTGGAACACCCTTTGTCTGCGCAAGTAATCAAGGCTGAGCATGGTCTAATCAAGGATGTGGGTGCAGCTGTAGCCACTGCTTATGTAGCCTCTGCAGATGGTCTTACAGAGACACCCACAGAAATACTGAAAAGAAAAGAGAAAATGGAAGAAAAATGCGAGGAAGAGGGCAGAGAGGGTCTGGAAACTAGAGGCCTGGAAAGTAGAGCAGGAAAGCAAGAGGATGAGGGCAAAGAAGGTTATCCCATCATACACAGCAAACTGGTTGACACTGTTGTGGAGGAAGAGGAGAGTGTCAGGCTGGTGTCTGTCATAACAAATGTCAGAGAGGTGAACTGGTACTTTGAGGGTAAACTGGTTTCTTCAGGGAACAAATTCAAGTGTTTGCAAGATCAGGACACATACACACTAGTAATAAGCAAAGTGTGCGGGGAGATTCACCAAGGAGAGTACACCTGTGAGGCGCTGAATCAAGGTGGAAAAAGAGCAACAGCAGCAAAACTCACAGTTGTTAAAAGAGGTTGGATTATGGGGATAAAATAATCTTTTTAATGCACTGCTCTACTAATGAACCTCCCCTACTATGTGCATCTTTGGACAGAGATACAATATTAATACCATCATTCCACTAATCAGAGGGTCCGCTTTCTCTCTGGATTGATGGTCTCCTTTTACCACATTGCAAGGTCTCTCACTTCCATTACCCCAGTCTTTGGTCAGGAACTTTTTTGTTTCATTGCACTAGCATGTTCAGGACAAGGCTGTATCTCAATCCCAACCATTTCTCCTATTATTGCCAGAGAAGTGGATCTACTCTTCCCATTTTGCTCACTGCTGCACCCTCTCTCACTCCTTAGAGTCATTGCACTTCTCATTCACGCCACAATTTCTCACAAGTCCAGAATAGATTACTATATATTTTTATCCTATTGCTATTGTGCATTGCTATGTCACTTTGTTTTTCCAGTATCACCACTGTTTCCTGATGTCATTATGCACTGTCAGACTGTCTGTCCACTGAGTCTAGTACTGCTTTCATTTCTTACAGATATTTTTTCTTTTACAGTCACTTTATGTGAATTGCAAGTATGTCACTTTTTTTTTTTTTTTTTTTTTCCAGTCAGTCACTTAATTTCAGAAAGTCAGCAGGCAATGTTTTGAGTTACTCTCTGCTTCTAATTTCAGTTGCACCGATCCTGAGGAGGAGGCTTGAACCCTTGGAAGTGGCTGTAAATCATGTGGCCAAGTTTACCTGTGAGGTGGAGATGGCTCCCAATGTCAAGTTCCAGTGGTACAAAGCCGGACGAGAGATATATGATGGGGACAAATACTCCATTCGCACCTCCAACTACCTCTCCACACTGGAGATCCCGAGGCCTCAAGTTGTTGACTGTGGGGAATATAGCTGTAAGGCTTCCAACCAGCATGGCAGTGTAAGCTCCACAGCTGTTTTAACAGTAACTGGTAAGTACAGACATTCAAACACTTCTCCTTTTCCATAAAATACCTTGGTGTATTATAATGCTTTCACTGCTCTACTTGCACATGTTTATGGTAGCAATCTTGGTTGCCATCATAATACATAATCCATACCTAATTATGGCAGGCACAAGCATAGAAAAGGAATAACTTTTGAGAATGCTGCTTTTGGGGGCTTTCTGTATGAAGAGACGGGAATCAATGAGAAAATGCTTCAGAGGGAAAGAAAGAAGGGGGAAAGAGAGCAGGAAGAAACAGCATGGGATTGCTTTGTGAATTCATTCTTGAAGAAGGTTTATTTCACAAGAAACACTTTTAAATCTGATTTCTTGATGTAATAGTCACTGTGTGATTATCCTAGCACCCTAAATTTATTCTGCAACTAAACTTGCGACGCACGTTATGCAGATGTGAATTTCAAAAGAAACACTTTTAAATCTGATTTCTTGATGTAATAGTCACTGTGTGATTATCCTAGCACCCTAAATTTATCCTGCAACTATACTTGCGATGCAGGTTATGCAGATCTGCATACCTGAACATCTTTGTGCAGTGGCCAAAGGGGAACTCTGTGACTGGGGAAATAGATCTTCTTAAATAAAAGGGGTTTAAAAGGTTTAAATTTGCAAATCTTTTGTCTACTGAGAGCTATACAGTGGAGTTTTTTCTTTAAAGAAAGAAACAAACAAAAAACCATCATCTTTTGGGGGTTTCTTTTATGATGGCTCTTTTTACTCTGACTTTTCTCTTTCTGGGAGGAGTCCTTATATGTCTTTGCTAAGTGCTAGGTGCTAGAGACTAGAAAAAGGTGCATGAATAGTGAAATGTATGCAAACTTGCCCATCTTGAGAGAACAGTGAGCAAATATGTCAGTCTTGAGGGAGGAATTTAGGGCTTTTAGTTTATTTTCCTTTAGTTCATAAATTGCTCCAGAGATTCAAAATGCCTTCAAGCTCTGGAGCAATACATAGACTGAAGAAGTACAAAGCCAAAAGCCAAAATTTATCATCTTTAGCACCTCTTATCTCCTTCACTGCTGTTTTCTTTTGCTTAAGAGTATTCAGTGATAAGCTGGCCTCTCTTGCTCTTTGTCTCTGGCAAATGTGGCTCAGTTCCTCACCTCTTGATAACACTGAACCCCTTTGTTTTGCAGAGGCATTTCCGCCAACGTTTCTTACCAGACCTGAACCTATTACTACTTTTGTTGGCAAAAGTGCCAAGTTCCTGTGTACTGTTTCGGGCACTCCAGTCATTGACATCACCTGGCAGAAAGATGGAACAACTATTTCACCTTCAGACCACCACAAGATCTCCAAAGTGGAAAATAAACATGCTTTAGAAATTTCCCTTCTTACCACTAGTGACAGAGGGGTTTACACTTGCAAAGCTTCCAACAAGTTTGGGGCTGATATTTGCCAGACTGAAATGGTCATTATAGACAAGCCCCACTTCATTAAAGATTTGCAGTCAGTACAGTCAGCAGTTAATAAAAAAATACGCCTTGAATGTCAGGTAGATGAAGATAGGAAAGTAACTGTAGGGTGGACAAAGGATGGAAACAAAATCCCTCCAGGCAAAGACTATAAGATTTACTTTGAAGACAAAATAGCCTCACTTGAGATTCCTCTGGCTAAGGTCAAGGACTCAGGCCACTATGTGTGTACTGCTTCAAATGAGGCAGGAAGCAGCTCCTCTTCTGCCAGCGTCACAGTCAGAGGTAAGATAGTTCTATGCCCCTTTACCTTTCATCTTCTTGGGTTCCCCATTTCTGCTTTCACAGGCAAAAGACTTCTTTGGGCTGAAATTACGCTGTGAATTCTTCTCAGACCTGCCACCTGGTCCATTCCCTGTAAAGTCTTTTCCCCTGCTGCCTTACAGTGCACCATGTGTTACTTCAATATTTCTTACACCAGAGGAAATCAAGAATTGCTCCTGCCTGCAGGGGAGAGATGGATGAAGAAGGAAAGCAAAACCACAGAAACTGCAGCTCAGCAAAGATTATGCTGATCTCTTGTGAAGCTGTATTTTGTTCTTGCTCTGGGAAGAAATCTTTCATAGCTTTATGTTACAGCTTTCTTTCCTTTCCCCCCTTTCCTCTTCCCCTTCCCCTTTTTACTGTCTTTTCCCCTCTCTTCCCTTTTCTTCCCATTTTCAGAACCGCCATCCTTTGTGAAGAAGGTCGATCCATCTTATTTACTGACCCCAGGAGACTCTGCACGCCTTCAATGCAAAATCAAAGGATCTCCTGAAATCCAGGTTACTTGGTTCAAGAACAATAAGGAAATCCATGAAAGTAACACACACAGGATGTCCTTTGTCAATTCTGTGGCTGTGTTAGATATTTTGGAAATGAAAGTTGATGACACTGGGACCTACTCATGTGAAGCTGTCAACGAGGTTGGAAGTGACAGTTGCACCACAGAAGTGGTTGTCAAAGGTCTGTCCTTCTTGCTGCTGCCAGTCACATTCTTGAGAAAAACCTTCCTTCCTTTTTTTTTTTTTTTTTTTTTTTGGCATGGTTGACTAATTCTTTCTTACTACTTTTATAGAGCCTCCATCTTTCATCCGAACACTTGAACCTGCAGAGCTAGTGAAGGGAACAAACCCCATTCTTCAGTGTGAGGTTGCTGGCACTGGACCCTTTGAAATTAGCTGGTACAAAGACAAGAAGCAGATTCGCAGTAGTAAAAAATACAGGCTGACCTCTCAGAAGGCTGTTATTTCTTTGGAGGTCTCCTCATTTAATAGTGCGGATGTTGGTGAATACGAGTGTGTGATAGCTAATGAAGTCGGGAAGTGCATGTGCAGTGCCACATACATCTTGAAAGGTCAGTGGGAGAGAGAAAACTCCATTTCCTGAAGGGATTGGCAAAAACCTCTTATTTCATAAAATATCTTTTCTTTGGATTTGTGGGAGGCTGGGGAGACTGGGGACAAGAATATCTTCTTCTCTTAAAACTCTGTGTGTATCTTATCTGGCATCAAACCTGTGAATTTGAAGAACATTGAGATTAATGGGCCATTAGCTCCAAGCTGGAGAAAGCGCTTTGCCAACTTGCCTGCTCTTTTGCTGAATTGTGACATGTACTGCACATACTGTCTTGCAAAACTGTCTTTAAGTAGCAGATTTTATGTGATGATGTAATAGTAGATGAGTATTTTTTTCTTGTCTCTCTTCTTTGAACTAGAACCACCATCTTTTGTTAAGAAAATCGAAAATGTGACAGCTCTGGCTGGAGATAGTGTTACATTACAGGCTGTGGTGAAAGGGTCAGAGCCTATTTCTGTGACATGGATGAAGGGCAAAGACATTATTAAAGATGATAACAATGTGAGAGTGACATTTGATCATGGTCTAGCAACACTGCAAATCACCGGAGTCCAGCTGAGCTCTGGTGGCAAATACACCTGCGTGGCTGAGAATGATGCAGGAAGTCAGTCCTGCTTTGGTGAACTAGCAGTGAAAGGTCAGTGGAGAAGTGCTGTGATCCCTGCAGTCTCCCACCTGAGAGGAGGAGAAATTTCCTTTTGTCCTTAACACCAGTTGTTTAATTCTGTTGTAGAACCTGCCAAAATAATTGAAAAAGCTGAAATGATCCAGGTTACAGCTGGGGAGCCAGCTGTTTTGGAGTACACTGTCACAGGCACTCCAGAGCTGAAAACCAAATGGTTCAAAGATGGAAGGCCACTACCTGCCAGCAAAAAATACAGGATCAGCTTCAAAAATAACATTGCCCAGCTCAAGTTTTATGCCACTGAAATGCAGGACAGTGGTGAATACACCTTTGAGATATCCAATGATGTGGGCTTCAGCTCTTGTACTACCAGCTTCACTGTGCTAGGTTGGTACTGCCTCTTTGCAGAGAGCCCTGTTGCTCTGCTCTGTGCCTAACAGAGCCAGAAGCAGAACAGTACTCCTGTTTTGCTCATGAATTTCTTTCTGTCATTTTTTTCACTCTCAACAGATCGCACTCTCCCTCCATTCTTTACTAAACCACTGAAGAATATTGACAGCATCATTAGCGCCTCGTGCCGCCTAGACTGCAAAATTTCAGGCTCTCTCCCAATGACTGTCTCATGGTTTAAGCAGGATATTGAGATCACTTCAAGTGCCAAGTATACAGTACACTTTGCAGAAGGCTCAGCATCTCTGGAAATAAAACACCTAGATGCAAATGATGCTGGGGTCTACATTTGCAGAGCCAGAAACTCTGCTGGTAGCAAAGAGAGCAGTAGCACTTTGTTTATAAAAGGTTTGGCAATTTGTTTCACTTTTCTTGGAATTTTGCTTATCTTGTGATACTTTTCTTTCCCAAAATACAAGCCCTCTCTTACTCTGCATTTTTTCCTTTCGACACAATCCAGAGCCGCCCAGCTTCACTGTAGAACCAGAGTCTCAAGATGTATTGCCTGCATCAACTGTACATTTCAAAGGAATGTTTAAAGGCACAACACCACTGACAGTGAAATGGTTTAAAGGTGATACTGAGCTGGTGACAGGAGGAGCCTGCTACATTATGACAGAAGCATTAGCAAGTTACTTGGAGCTTTATGCAGTCAAACCGACTGACTCTGGAAAATACACCTGCAAAGTCTCCAACGTAGCTGGTTCAGTAACATGCAGTGCAAACTTATTTGTGAAAGGTTTGCGTTCTTACTCTTATTTAAAAGTCTAGCTGCTGGATGAACACAGCAGCACTCTTTCTTGTGTTCTTTGTCCTGAACACTCTTCTTAAATCCACAGAACCTGCTGCCTTTAAGGAGAAGCTAGAGCCGACTCATCTCATAAAGAAAGGTGGATACGCTGAACTGACCTGTGAAGTCACTGGTACTCCTGAGATTAAAATCACATGGTTCAAGGATGATAGAGAACTAAAAGAGAGTGACAAATACAGGATATCTTTTGCAAAATCTTTGGCAATACTCCGTGTTTCAGAGGTTGATACTGAAGACAGTGGGGAATACATTTGCGAAGCCAAAAATGACGCTGGAAAAGATATCTGCAGTAGTGTTGTTACAGTCAAAGGTGTGTGTGACATCCAGCCACACAGTTTGTATCTTTAGACTCAGTACAGTGGTACCGGCTTCAAAAGTATGATTAATGCAAATTGCACTTTCTTTTTCACACTGTAGAGTCACCTTATTTTAGCAAGGAGTTTCAATCCATGGAAGTCTTGAAGGATTCTGATGTGGTTTTGGAGTGTGAGGTGCTTGGCACGCCTCCCTTTGAAGTGTTCTGGGTGAAAGATGATAAACCCGTGCGGAGCAGTAAGAAGCACAGAATTAGCATTGAGAAATCTTTGATTAGCCTCCACGTTTTCAGGTTTGATGCTTCTGATGTTGGGGAGTATCAGTGTAGAGTAACAAATGATGTTGGGAGCTGCCTCTGCCGTTCAGAGGTCACACTGAAAGGTTAGTGCAAGGTGCAGAACACCACTAGAATGCTTTTATCACAGTGTGGTTTTCTATGCCACACTGTTTGTTACACACTAGACTTGTACTTACATGCCCACTTTCTTCCTGCCAGAGCCTCCGCAGTTTTTGAAGAAGATAGAAAACATTAGCTCCCTTCGAGGGGGAACGGTTGTGTTTCAGGCTGCTATTAAAGGTTCCTTGCCCATCACTGTGTCCTGGTTGAAAGACAATGATGAAGTGATTGAAGACAACAATATCAAAATGACCTTTGTGAACAATGTTGCCACTCTTATGGTGAGATCTATTGAGCTGAAACATGATGGGAAATATTTCTGTCAGGCTAAAAATGAGGCAGGAATTCAGAGGTGTTCTGCTCTGCTGACTGTCAAAGGTTGGTCTTACCCTGAAGGCTTGCAATGATCTGGGACAGTTCCCTTGTGGTTTTCACAGATGTACTTAACACTCTATTTCCTTGTTTACAACAGAACCTGCTACAATTGTGGACAAGGCTGTGTCAATAGATGTGACTGAGGGAGACCCAGCAACCTTGCAGTGTAAATTTTCAGGAACAAAACCTATTACAGCCAAATGGTTCAAAGATGGCAAGGAACTGACATTGGGCCCAAAATACAAGATCAGTGTTACAGATACTGTCTCAGTCTTAAAGGTGCTTTATGCAGATAAGAAAGACAGTGGAGAATACATTTTTGAGGTTCAAAATGACGTTGGGAGCAGTAGCTGTTCTGCCAGCATAAATGTCCTAGGTGTGTATGGGCTTTCTCTTATTGTTGCTTTGAGATACCAAATCTTTTCTCCTGAGCTGACATCTGCCACAATCACGGTTGAATTTTTATATTTTGTCTTTTTACTCTGTCTTGGATAGATCTCATTATACCACCTAAATTCACCAAAAAACTCAAGAAAATGGACAGCATTAAGGGGTCTTTTGTCCACCTGGAGTGCATAGTGTCTGGTTCGCATCCTATAAGTATTCAGTGGTATAAGGATGGCCAAGAAATAACAGCAAGTGAAAAGCACAAATACTCTTTCCATGATAATACTGCATTTCTGGAAATAAATAAACTGGAAGGCACAGACAGTGGCTCTTACACTTGTGAAGCAACAAATAAAGCAGGAAGCAGCCAGTGCAGCGGGTTCTTAACAGTAAAAGGTTTGAGTTCCTTCTTTGTCTTCTGTTAGGTCTCTCATACATAGCTTTGGATTTCCCCATCTCAGAGTAATCCCCTTTCTTCCTTTTTGCATGTTATAGAGCCGCCATATTTTGTGGAAAAACCCCAGTCTCAAGAGGTTGTGCCCAATGCTAGGGTTCAGTTCAAAGCACTGGTGAAAGGGTCTACTCCTCTGCAGATAAAGTGGTTTAAAGACAGCCAGGAGCTCCTCTCTGGAGCCAGTCGATCTGTCTGGAAGGATGACACTTCTAGTGTTCTGGAGCTCTTCTCAGCCAGGACATCTGATTCTGGGAGCTACACTTGTCAGATAAGCAATGACGTGGGGACTGCAACCTGCAAAGCAACTCTGTTTGTAAAAGGTGTGCAACCCAATTTTCTAATTTCTTTTGTTCTGATTTTTCTGTGCAGTTTTGGTGGGAAGGGGAGAAAGCCTTTTAGCCTTTTTTTTTCTTTAAATTCTGGGGGGTTTTTATTTCTACCTTGAATATTATAAAACCTCGACTTCTCTGTCCATCTTCTAGAGCCCCCCAGATTTATTCAGATGCCAACTTCTGTACTAGCTTTGCGTGAAGGACAGTCCACCACTTTTGAGTGCCAGGTAGTAGGCACGCCAGAGATCCACATTACATGGTACCTGGATGGAATTGAAGTGACTGATCAAGCTAAGTACGGAATCTCCTTCATAGATGGTTTAGCCACTTTGAGAGTCACTCAAGCCAGAGTGGCAGATAGTGGGATTTATGTTTGTGAAGCCCACAATGATGCAGGTAGTGAGAGCTGCAGCGTCGAGCTGAAAGTAAAAGGTTGGTTTTGAGCATCTTGTCATCTCTGCCACATATCTGGGGTGAGGAAGTAGAAGATACTTCTTCTCCCCTCAAAACTATTTGAGGTTATTATCTACTTTCCCCTCATTCTTTATAGAGCCTCCAACCTTTGTTCGGGAGTTGCGTCCCACCGAGGTAGTGAAGGGCTCAGAGGCCACACTAGAGTGTGAGGTGACTGGTACCCCTCCATTTGAGGTCAAGTGGCTGAAGAACAACAAGGAGATGTTCAGCAGCAAGAAATATGCCATCTCCACCAAAGAATCAGTGTTTACTCTTAATGTGACTAACTGCGACGTCTCGGATGTTGGTGAATATCAGTGTATTATATCAAATGAAGGTGGGAGCTGTTCTTGCAGCACAAGACTCAGCTTAAAAGGTCAGTCCTCTAGGAAGCACACCTCAAACATTATATGCCCCAGCTAAAGTGTAGCAAGTGGAATTACTTTATATGATCTCTCTTTCTCCTCTTCCCTTTCCATGACTTCTCTTCCAAACAACAAACAATACTCACACCGCAGAACCACCATCCTTCGTCAAGAAGCTGGAGAACGTCACTAGCATTTTGAAAGGTGATGCATTCTTTCAGTGTGTCGTAGCAGGCGCCCAACCCCTATCTGTGTCATGGATAAAAGATGAGAAAATACTAGAAGATGATGAGCACCACCACATTACCTTCGAGAACAGGGTAGCCACACTGAAGCTTACTAATGTTGACCTCAGCCACAGAGGGAGATACACCTGTCAGGCAAAGAACGAATCTGGCATGGAGAAGTGTTTTGCTTTGCTTTTTGTACAAGGTGTGTACAAGGTGTAGCCTTGATGAGTACTTGGAAAGTCACTTCCCTACCTACGTAGCTAACTGTTGTAATTTTTATACTCTTTATACCTCAGAGCCTGCACAGATCATAGAAAAGGCTAAGTCACTTAAAGTCACTGAAAAAGACCCTGTGACTTTGGAGTGTACTGTGGCTGGAACACCAGAGCTCCGAATAAGATGGTACAAAGATGGCAAGCAGCTCCTGCCCAGCAGATACTACACAATGAGCTTTGAAAACAATGTGGCCAGTTTCAGGATTGAACCTGTATCAAAGGAGGATAGTGGCACATACAGTTTTAAGGTTGAAAATGACTTTGGAAGTAGCACCTGTGAAGCTGTTCTGACTGTGCTAGGTTTGTATTGCCAATCCATCAAGGAGGGAATGAAAAATAATCTCCATGAAGGATAAGCAAGAAGTTAACTAGTGTGTTTTTGCTATTTTTTTTTTTTTTTTTTTGTGTTGCGCAGATCAATCAATTCCTCCTGTATTTATCAAAAAGCTAGCCAAAAAGGATACCATTCTGGGATCTTCTATCCAAATGGAGTGTAAAGTCTCTGGGTCACTCCCAATTGTTGCAAAATGGTTTAAGGATGGAAAAGAGATAACTGACAGTGCAAAATATAGAAGCCTGTGCCATGAGAACACTATGTCACTCGAGATTGCTAACCTAGAGCTGGCAGACAGTGCAAATTACACATGCAGTGTCTCTAATGTTGCTGGAAATGATTCTTGCAGTGCTGTCCTGACTGTGAAAGGTTTGAAACTCTTTTACTACTTCTTATCTATGTTAAATGCTGGGAAAATACCTTAAATCTTATGCTAACACTCTTATACATCTTAATGTTAACACTGGAAACTTGGTCTCCATGCTTGCCTCACTGATTTTCTTCATTCTTAGACATTTCTGATGTAACTGTGTCTTTTTCTTAAAAACTGCAGAGCCACCAAGCTTCTTAGTAAAACCTGAAAGCCAGCAAGCTATACCAGATTCCACAGTGGAGTTTAAGGCCACACTGAAAGGAACACCACCCTTTACAGTAAAGTGGTTCAAAGAAGACTTAGAACTCATATCTGGTCCAACTTGTTTCATTGGGATTGAAGGTTCAACTGGGTTCTTAACCCTCTATTCAGTGGATTCTTCTAGGAGTGGGCACTACACTTGCCATGTTTCAAATGACGTTGGCAGTGACTCTTGCACTACAACACTGTTGGTAACAGGTGTGCACTCTTTCTTGTTGTGTTGTTATCTTTTTGTCTCCTCCTTCTGCTTTCTTTTTGCCAAGCCCACCTTGGTGATCTTTGATACACTGGCAAGTGAATTCCCTACCCTGTGTTTGCGACCCACCTTGTTTGGCTCTTTTCCCACCATTTTCTCACCAGTATTTGCTCAGACCTTCCTGACCCCACTTTTTTTTGGTTTTTTAGAACCCCCCAAGTTTGCTAAGAAGCTAGAGGCAACAAAAGTAGTCAAGCAGGGTGATTCAGCCCGGCTTGAGTGCAAAGTAAGTGGATCTCCAGAGATGAAAGTAGTGTGGTTCAGAAATGACCATGAAATTGTTGCCAGTGAAAAATTCCGGACATCATTCATTGACTCTGTGGCAGTGCTTGAAATGAACCATCTCAGCACTGATGAGAGCGGTGACTACATCTGTGAAGCTCACAACCCTGCCGGCAAGGCCAGTTGTAGCACCAAAGTCACAGTGAAAGGTTAGCTGTCCTCTTGTTTTCCAGCTGCATCCTATTTTTCCCCTGGTGGCTGTATCCCTTAGAAATACACAGGAACATGATATTAATTTATTTCAGGACTGTCCTGTTCTTCATGTCATGTTTGTTTCTTGATGCCCCCTCATCTTCTCTGCCAGTGTCTAAACAAGAGAGATGATGTTCTTAATGCAGATGAATACTAAGCTAGTTTTTCCCCAGTTCTATAATTTTAATATCCAAGAGAATTCATAGTGGGAATTGCTATATCAAGAAGCTGAAATACGAAGAGAAAGAACAGACACAAACTGACTAGTGTCAGTTTTACACCCTGTATGGGAGATGACTACGAGCTAAATGAGACCTGTACCCTCTCTGGCAAAGGTCACCCCTCTGTTTACCTTTTCTAAAGAGGAACTAAGGGCTCTTAATGCTCACCTTTGTGCAAGCTCATTTCATATTGTGCCCAGAAAAAGAGGGAAGTCTTGCCCATTCTGTAGATATTCTCAGCAGTCCCATTTTCCAGAAGCTGGTATCTGTAGACTCTTTGTTGATCAAAGAGCTTCAGACTACTTTCTAAATGTTCCTTTCTTCCCTTGTTAGAACCTCCTGTCTTTAGCAGGAAGCCTTCTCCAGTAGACATTATCAGAGGATCTGAGGTTAGCCTGGAATGTGAGATTTCAGGAACACCTCCATTTGACGTTGCCTGGTACAAAGACAGGAGACAAATCCGCAGCAGTAAGAAGTACAAGGTTACAGCCAAAAACTACCACACAAGCGTTCACATTCTTAATGTCGAAGCTGCAGATGTTGGTGAATATCAGTGCAAAGCACAGAACGATGTAGGAAGTGACACTTGTATTTGCACTGTGAAGCTGAAAGGTAAAGTACTGGTACATGTGTCTTCTGCAACGCTCCCAGGGGTGCTGCATTGCTCTTCTTTGCAGAAGCACTGTGAGTATTTACTATAACTGTATTTCTTCTTCAGAACCACCAAAATTCTTGACTAAAATAAACAGCATGACTGTTGTGGTTGGTGAACCAGTAGAGTTACAAGCAAGAGTGGAGGGCTCCCAGCCAATTTCTGTGCAGTGGCTTAAAGACAAAGAGGAAATTATCAGAGAAAGTGAGACCACAAAGATCACATTTATGGAAAATATTGCAACTTTGCAATTTGTGCGCACAGAGACCAGCAGTGCTGGAAAATATACCTGTCAGATCAGAAATGATGCTGGAAGTCGCGAGTGTATGGCTACCTTAACTATTCTAGGTGGGTGAAAAGCACCAATTAATGGAAGTTTCTTTTTAAAGTTAGAAACTTGGTCATTTATTATCAGCTGTATACTTTACTTATGCCTCTGAGTTCAAAACAAACAAAACAGAATCCTTCTCTCCCCAACAAGCAGAAGTCAGGTTCCATATTTCCAGTAGTCTAGCAATACAGTTGGAAGGAACCGCTCTTTATTTCTGTCACGTCTTCTGCTCGTGCCTGCTCTGAGAGGGAGATTAAAATATTTTATATTTTAAATGAAAATATACTTTAAAATTATTTAAAATATTTAAAAGTATTTTTACTTAGTTTTGGAAAGCATCTGGAATTTGCAGTTTAGAGTAACAGAAAGGATGGAAAAAACAGCTGTAAAAAGCTCCACACCCCCATGAATCAAAATTTTCTTAGTATAAAATGTGTAAGCCCCATCTCATAGTGCTGTAATACTTACAGCTAATACTTATCAAATCCTGTTTTAACCATATATGTTACCCATCTCTCCTTCCAGAGCCTGCAGTCATTGTAGAGAAAGCAGAGCCAATGAAAGTTACAATAGGAGATGCCTGTACTTTGGAATGCAAAGTAGCAGGCACACCACAGCTTTCCACTGGGTGGTTCAAGGATGGCAAAGAACTGACCAGCAGCCAAAAATACAGAATCACTTTCCTCAATAATGTATCTACACTTAAAATTATGGATGCAGAAAAGGAAGATGGTGGATTGTACACTTTTGCTGTGCAAAACGACGTGGGGAAAAGCAGTTGTACGGCATCGGTTGATGTTTTAGGTTGGTTGGATAACTTGTCTTCTGTCTTTTACAAAAGCTTTTTTTTTGGCCATTCTCTATCCTTTATTCCGTTCCTTTACTCATTTTCTCTCTAACTGTGGATTTATTATGTTTTCTTATGCAGACCGAATCATTCCTCCTTCTTTCACAAGAAAACTAAAGGACATCCCTTGTGTTCTGGGTTCCTCAGCACTGCTGGAATGTAAAGTGTCAGGTTCACCTCCTATTTCTGTTGCCTGGTTCCAAAATGGACTTAAGCTAGTCAGTGGAGAAAAACATCAAATGTCCTTTTCAGATAACCTATGTATTTTAGAAGTTAATTCACTGAGCCACTCAGATACTGGCACTTACACCTGCAAAGCTACCAACACAGCTGGCTCAGATGAATGCAGTGCTGTATTGACTGTACAAGGTGGGTATATGATGGTCAGAAAGCTCTCTGAGCTATTCTTTTCTCTTTCTCTCTTGAAATTATCTGCAGTCTTTTGTAAATATTCTTGGGGAAAATTATTGACAGAAAAATAAAGATTTTGCTCTTTATCTTCAGTAGGTGTGTAGAAATACCAGAGCTATGCTGCAGCAATTTGTCTTATCTCTCTTTTTCTTTTGTGTATTTAGAACCACCTTCTTTTGAGAGGACCCCAGAGCCTCTGGATGTATTGCCAGGCACAAGCATCACTTTCACATGTGTTGTCAGAGGAACCCCTCCTTTTAAGGTTAACTGGTTTAGAGGGGCCAATGAACTTGTGCCAGGGGACAAATGCAATATCTACTTGGAGGAGTCCGTTGTGGAGCTTGAGTTATTTGATGTAACTCCTCCCCAAAGCGGAGAGTACACTTGTCTAGTGACTAATGATGCTGGCAGGGTAAATTGTACAACACACCTCACAGTAAAAGGTTTGTAAAGATGATGTCTCTCCATTTACCTTAAATTATTGTTTCCTTCTCTCCATTTGGCATGTTGTGCTCAACATTTGTGACTTACTTTCATTAGAGCCAGCTGTCTTTGTAAAGAAACTGAGTGATCAGTATGTGGAGCCTGGCAAGCCCATCATCCTAGAGGGCACTTACACAGGCAGCCTGCCCATCTCTGTGACATGGAAGAAGAATGGCCACACCATCACACAATCTCAGAAGTGTAGCATCACCACCACAGAGAAATCCTGCATCCTAGAAATACTTGACAGCACCAAAGAAGATGCAGGAGAATACACTTGCCATGTTGAAAATGAGGCAGGAAGAGATGTTTGTGAGGCTGTAGTCTCTACCCTAGGTGTGTGCTCCCTTTGCTTCTTTTCCTTGCCTTTTTTTCAAGTGTATGCTTTTCAAAACCTGGCACACAATAAGCCTGTCTAATTGCTTCTCTTTTTTTAGAACCTCCCTACTTTGTTACACACTTGGAACCTCTTGAGGTGTCAGTTGGGTCTTACACAACATTGCAATGCCACATTGCTGGAACACCAGAAATTACTGTGTCTTGGTACAAAGGTGATACAAAACTCAGGTCTACTCCTGAGTATAAAGTGTTCTTTAAAGACAATGTTGCTACACTTATCTTCAACAAAGTGGCTAGCAGCGACAGTGGAGAATATATCTGCAAGGCAGAAAACAGTGTAGGAACTGCATCTACAAAGACTCTCTTAACAGTTCAAGGTGATGATTTTATACTAGCTTGCTAAAACTCTTTTTGTCTTGCAAAATTATGAAAAAGTTGCTCCCTGGGGTGTATTTATCCTTTACTTGCTTTCTTCCAGAACGCAAACAACCACCTTCCTTTGCAAGAAAATTAAAGGACATCGAGCACCCTGCTGGTTTACCCCTTAAGCTTATGTGTCGGCTCAATGGCTCAGAACCCATTACTGTCACTTGGCACAAAGATGGAGTGCTGCTAAAGGATGACCACAATGTGCACACATCCTTTGTAGATAATGTTGCAGTACTGCAACTGGTGCGAACCGAGATGAATCATACTGGGCAGTACTCCTGCACAGCCACCAATTCGGTGGGCACTGCCACCTCAAGTGCTAGGCTCACAGTGGCAGGTGTGTTGGCTTATAAAACTTTTACTTGGATCACAGGTTCCTCCCTCTATTTCATGCATGTGATGGTATCTGTGTGTTAGATTAGCTTTTTTCTGAGGTATGAGTATTACATGGCTTTCTTGTGTTTCTAGAACCCAAGCAAGCGCCTGTCTTCGACATCAAACCACAATCTATTGACGTGCCTTTTGGAGAAAGTGCTGATTTTGAATGCCATGTTACGGGAGCGCAGCCAATACACATAACGTGGTCCAAGGATGGCCGGGAGATCCGAACTGGAGGAAATTTCAATATTACATTCACAGCCAACACAGCTCACCTTCGAGTGCTCAGAGTGGGTAAAGGAGACTCTGGCCAATATACTTGCCAAGCTAGCAATGAAGCTGGGAAAGACTTCTGCTCAGCCCAACTCAGTGTCAAAGGTATTAAGTCACCTTTGTTTGTGCATTTTCTTTTACTTGGGTAAAGCGATCTCTTTGTCTTTGATCTTCTACCATTTCTATAGAAAGTACCATTTCATATCTAGAAAGTAGCTTTCCAGACTGCAGACATAAATCATGTAATGACCTTCTCCCATCATACTGTGTAACTGCAAAAATCTTGTGTCTGCAAAATCTCGAAGGAGAAAGGTACCTGTGTGAACCTGTTTCTATGGAGAGTTGAACTCGCACTGCTTTTTACTTTAATAACTATAATCACTGTGGTAGTCACTCATAGCAATTGCTATATGGAAAATTATTAGTAAATACAGCTTTACCTTTCATTTGTTGGCCTGCAACAAAATTAGGTGACACTTTCAAATTTGATAAAGATTTCAGTTGGAGTTCTGAGTTGTTGATTTAATCTAGACTGTGAATCACCTAATTTCTTACTGCAGAAATATACTTTAAAGATGTCTAAGCAAGTGAAACAATCCCTACCGTGTTTCCGTTGCTCCCAGGGATGAAGGGGTTGTCAGATCTTTCATGTTGGCCTGGGAACTCTGTTACTTGTTACGACTCAAAGGTAACAGCAAAATTTTAATTGGGTACACAATTCTTTGTGTATCTTTTACGGCTTCAACTGTCTGATGCAGCAGGGTCCAAAGCTTGCAGAACACACTTTTAGTTGTTGTCTTTGCCTTCTTTTCCTCATCTTCTGTATTCCCTTGAAAAGAAACTGGTTGAGGATGCAGTCATCTTCTGTAACAATTTTATTTTTGTGCTGTAGTACTCTTGTGCCTCCCGGAACTCTTGCTCAGTGTTGTAGATTTCACATGGCAAACAGGTAGGTTGTCATTTTCTACATACTTATTCTGTCCTGCAGAACCTCCCAAGTTCGTCAAGAAGCCTGAAGCTTTGCGATTCGTGAAGCAGGGAGACACAATTCAGCTTGAATGTAAAATCAGTGGCACACCAGAGATCAGAATCGTGTGGTACAAAAATGATCAGGCACTCCAGGCAGGCGACAGGCTGCACATGTCCTTCGTAGACTCTGTGGCAATGCTGACCATCTTGGGTGCCACTGCTGAAGATGCTGGGGACTACATCTGTGAAGCCCACAACTCTGCAGGCACAGCCAGCTGCAGCACTTCAGTCACAGTGAAAGGTTAGCACAAGCTCCAAACTCCACCAGAATCCCTGGCTGCCAGACCTGCTCCCAGATGCACTGCTGCTGCAGCAACTGGTGCCTGCTGGGCCAGTGTCTCTCCAGCTGCTCTTGCATTTAAGTGCTGATGCGTTTAGGCAGCAGAGATCAGGCAGGAAATAGTGATGGGTGTTGAGCACTGTGCAGTCATTCCCTTGCCTCCCCATTTAAGTCAGTTGCAGGATGAACAAGGCAAGCTTTTCAGATCACAACAGAAGCATGGACTAGGTGGAGCACCAGCCATGGTGAGGAAGCTGGGAATGGTTTTCAGCCATCCCTCTGCCTCCTTTTTATACACAGTGATACTGACAGGAAGGAAATTTAAGAAGGAAGAGGAGGCTGTGTAGCTGAGCTTCACTGACTGTAGCTTTCATGACTAGAAAGAGTGGGGGGAAAGATGGAATGTAAGATGGAATGTCACCCTAGAGTACAGGGAGAGTGGCTTTTGGGGAAGGACACTGAGCACTGATTCCAAACAGGTGCAGAAGTATCACATTTTCTGCCCTGTGGACTCTGAGTGCTGGGATTTTTTTTAGAGGAGAGGCTACATATTTAAAAGCTAAATATGTGTTTACAATATAAGCGTAGGCTCCCTTCCTGAATATGTTGCTTCCTGCTACTATCCAGAAACCCACCCAGCAAAGGAAGCTCACACATTATGATGTGATTCTTTTTTTATAGAACCACCTGTTTTTAGCAAGGTGCCAAGCCCCGTGGACACTCTTAAAGGCTCAGATGTTATCCTTCAGTGCGAGATAGCAGGGACCCCACCCTTTGAGGTGGCTTGGTTCAAGGACCGGAGGCAGGTCAGGAGCAGCAAGAAGTTCAAGGTGACAGCAAAGCACTCCATTGCCAGTCTTCATATTCTCAATTTGGAATCTCAAGATACTGGAGAATATCAATGCAAAGCTATGAATGAGGTGGGAAGCGACACTTGCACCTGCCCAGTGAAATTCAAAGGTTTGTATGCTAGAGGATCAACATCACTGCCCTCTTTTCTTGATCTCCTGCCTGTCCCTCTTCCAAGCAAGCATGTGTGATTAACTGTTCTCTGCCTCCTTGTTTTTGCTATCAGAACCTCCACGATTTGCCAAGAAGCTGAGTGACACGGCAATCTTCATCGGGGAGCCAACTGCCCTGCAGGCAGTAGTGGAAGGATCCCCACCAATTTCTGTTGTCTGGCTCAAGGATAAGGGTGAAGTTATTAGGGAGAGTGAAAATGTTCAAATGTGGTTTATGGACAACATTGCAACTCTTGAGATTGCCAGTGCAGAGGGAACTGACGTTGGAAAGTACATCTGTCAGATCAAAAATGATGCTGGCATGCGGGAGTGCTCTGCCTTTTTACAGGTCCTAGGTGGGTATAGCCTACTCCACTGTAGGTGGTACTGTGTCTTACAGCTTGCACAGCTGGCTCTAGCAGCCTTTGCCTTCTGCTTACACCCTGTGCTCACTGGTTTGTGAGTAGATTTCAATGTGACACACAGACCCCTCCCTTCCTATTTCAGAACCAGCAGTCATCTTAGAGAAGACGGAGCCGATCACAGTAATGGCCGGCAATCCTTTTACCTTGGAGTGCAAAGTAGGAGGAACACCTGAGCTTATCACCAAGTGGTACAAAGACGGCAGAGAACTAAAGAGTGACCGCAAATACCAAATTTCCTTTTTCAACAATATATCCACTTTGAAAGTCTTTTCTGCAGACAGGGGAGACAGGGGCTTGTATACTTTTGAGGTGCACAATGAAGTGGGGGACAGCAGCTGCACATCTTCGGTTGATGTTTCAGGTCAGCTCTATGTCTTTATTGTTCACTCTTGTCTTTAAAGAAAGCTTTTATTTTTTCCCCTTTTCTTGCCCTTGAATGAAACCTCAACACTTGTCTTCCTGTTCTTCTTCCTGTCCTACTTAGATCGCCTCGTTCCTCCTTCATTCTCAAGAAAATTAAAGGAGACAAATGGGGTGCTTGGATCCTCTGTGCTGCTGGAGTGCAAAGTGTCTGGCACAGCTCCCATATCTGTGTCTTGGTTTCAAGATGGGAATGAGATTGTTAGTGGAGAAAAACATGAAATCTCATTCTTAGATAATGTTTGTGCTTTGAAGTTGAATGCCCTGGATGTCACAGATACAGGGTCTTATACATGTGTGGCAGCCAACGTGGCTGGATCTGATGAATGCAGTGCCTTCTTGACTGTACAAGGTCAGTGGAAGGATACTGCCATGCCTTCAACAAAAATCTTCTTCCCTCTTCTCTTTCTTTTCTCTGGTTTCCTGTGGTTTCTTTTTCATGGTTTGTTTAGTTTCGGGGGCTTTTTGCCATGGTTTCTTTTATTTTTTCTTTTTGACTCAAGCCTGCTCATTCTCCTCCCCACAGAGACCCTCCTATTAACATCTTTCACTTCTTTGCATGATCCTTAGAACCACCTTCTTTTGTGAAGACACCTGATCCCCAGGAAGTTTTGCCTGGATCAAATGTGACATTCACCAGCTACATCAAGGGCAGTACTCCCTTCAAAGTGACCTGGTTCCGAGGCATCAGGGAGCTGGTGCCAGACAGCAACTGCTCCATCTCTCTCCATGAGTCTGTGGCACAGCTGCAGCTGTACAACGTGGAGCCAGGCCACAGTGGGGACTATGCCTGTGTGGTCACAAATGATGCTGGCAGTGCCTCATGTACAACACAGCTCTTTGTGAAAGGTGTGTTTGGGTGTGTGCATGAATGCACAGTTATCTTCGTTCACTCCCTGCCTGCAGCTCTTCCACGTCTGTCCCTCTTACTATTGATTCATACCTCCCCACAGAGCCTGCAGTCTTTGTGAAGAAATTAAGTGATTTCAGTGTGGAGCAGGGGAAGTCCATTGTGCTGGAAAGCAGCTACATTGGCACTCCTCCCATCTCTGTCACATGGAAAAGAAATGGGATGCCCATTGCTCAGTCTCAACGCTGCACTGTTACAACTACTGAAAAATCTGGCATCCTTGAAATCTTCAACAGCACAAAGAATGATGAAGGCGAATATACCTGTGAGGTGGCAAATGAGGCGGGTGGGGATGTTTGCCACAGCCTTGTCTCTATCTTAGGTATTCATCACCCCTGATCCCCCTAATGCACCCCAGTGATGCTCTGCCTCTGCTCACCACGTTCTCTCCTTCCCTAGAACCACCTTATTTTGTCACGCACCTGGACCGTGTGGAGGTGAAGGTTGGCGAGCCTTTGACCTTAAAATGCCAGATTGGCGGTTCACCAGAAATCAAGGTGTCCTGGTACAAAGATGACACCAAACTCAGATCAACACAGGCTTACAAAATGCACTTCAAGAACAATGTGGCAACACTGGCATTCTCTGCTGTAGAGGATAGCAACATTGGAGAATATATCTGCAAAGCAGAAAATAGCATTGGCTTTGCCACCTCCACAGCTTTGCTTGTTGTTAAAGGTGATGGGCCAAAAGCCACTCTTTTGTGGGGTAGTTTGTAGGAACTCTTTGTTGTTTACAGAAAGGGGGTTTTATTAATTTCAAAGATAATTAATTCAAGGTTGGCTCTTACTGATAGTAGTGGTTATTATTTTTTTTTTGCAGAACGTCAACTTCCCCCTACATTCACCAGAAAACTTAAAGATATTCAGGAGGTGGTTGGTGCCCCGGTGACATTTGACTGCCGCATAACTGGCTCAGAGCCTATCCAGGTGTCTTGGTACAAGGATGGGGCTCTCTTAAGTGACACTGATAACATGCAATCAGCCTTCTTAAATAATGTTGCAACTTTACAGATCTTAGAAACTAGTATGGATTACTGTGGCCAATATACTTGCTCAGCCCAAAATGCTCTGGGGACTGCCTCTTCCAGTGCCAAACTTCTCCTTACAGGTTTGTAGATGACACTTTAATGAAAATCTTTTGTACATCTTTGCTCTTTTACTTCTCCACCCTTTTTTCCCACTCTGCCCATTGTATGGTGGCCAAGGGACAATGGGCAAGGCATGGTGAGGCAGGCTTGGTGGTGAGCTCTGCCATGCTTTCCTCTTTGCAGAACACCTGCGACCTCCCTTCTTTGACATCAAGCCGCTATCTATCGATGTGGCACTAGGGGAAAGCGCAACCTTTAAGTGCCACGTGACTGGTTCTGCTCCCATGAGGATTACTTGGACCAGAGACAACAGAGAGATTCGTCCAGGTGGCAACTACAAAATGACATTGGTGGAAAACACAGCCAGCTTGACAGTCCTAAAAGTTGGTAAAGGGGATGCCGGACTCTACACATGTACTGCCAGCAACAGTGTTGGAAAGGACGCATGTGCAGCTCAGCTGGCTGTACAAGGTACTCCTGTGGGCTCTAGTGTTTATGGGGTTTTCTTTGCAAGGCAGACACCTGGAAAACACATTCTGACCTGAATGCAGACATGTGTGCAACTAACAATTTTTACAAGAGGTTACTCTGAGATGTCTTATTTCCCTTAAATGTTATTGTAATACTTAAATACTTACTCATATTTCTTCTGCTTTGGTATTGTACCTGATTTTTCTTCTAAAAGGGATTCTTCCTTTGAAACATTAACTCTTACTACTTTGTTGGGCCTTTTTGAATGGCTCCGTTGGACAGAAAAATCTGTCTTTCTAAAGTCTTTCTGCAGCAGTGACAGTCACTAGGTTGCCCAGGGCAGGGAAAGGAAACTGAGAGAAATTCAGTTCACTTATGAGGCTTAAAGGTATTTTTACTGTATGTGCAGCTCCTACAAATAGCTTTGCTCTTTCACAGACTGAAAACATTGAAAATTGCTCTTCTAAACAGCAAAGCTGGGGGATCTGAGAGCACATTTGGTGACAAATATCCTGTCGCCCACCCAACACTTCACCTCTCCTTATAGTGTGTGGATCTAAAAGTAAAATCTAAATTTATGAATGGCTTAGACTGTCTTGGTGCAAGTGACACATGTATATTAGTGCAATTTCCTCAATGTAGGTGGAAACATATTTATAGCTGTTCCGGATAATTCAATTTTACTGATTTTGTAAAAGAAGAAATGTAACATACAAAATGCATTGAAAGACTGTAGCAAGAAATCAAACCTCTTTAAAAGATCTAAAGTTTCTTTCCACCACAATAATTCTGTTTATTATCAATTATATAATTGCTAATAGCTTTATTTTAACACCATTACCATTTGTAAAATGATCCCAGCTGACCTTATTTTTTTTTTTTTAACTCTTCAAGTCTTTCTTTGTAAAATCCTGAGGAGTATTTTTTTTTTTTTTTTATCCTGAATTTACTGACACTTCTTAGTGTTGTGCAGTTTCCCCAAGGCTGTAAAATTAGTGATGTTGATTGTTTTCAAGCAATTTCTATACAACTTACACCGTCAATCTTTTTGGGTGCACTGATTTGCATGTGTTTCATTTGAGCATATGCTGTTTCACTTCTATGACATGCAGCCTTTTGTTTGTAGAATTAAGATCTTTCTTTTAAATGACCTTGAAAACCTCACAGCTTTTTATTAACTTTCTCACTCTAGCATCTAATGTTCCCAATCTGTAGTTTTAATAATTGCTTTGTGTTCTAGAACTGCTTTACATCATAAATATATACCTTACTAATGTGTATACCCTCATTTTTTGAAAGAAGTGGAATCAGTGTGTGACTACTCAGCAGCTGTTAGTATGCAGATAGATAATCAGCTCTTTCTCAAAGTGAAATCCAATAGTAAATTGCTAAGGTTCCAAGAGTCTTGATGTTAACAAATCATCATTTCTGTTTTTAGAAACTCAGGAAGTTTTGTTTCTAACAACACAGGATGTTCTGCCACTGTCCCACAGATTGAAATAATCCAAAATTAATTAGATATTCTTCCTACACTTTACAGCCACACAAAGAGGCACTTCATCCTGTTTTGCAGAGAGATGTTTGTTGTGCCCACATTAGCACCTCTTGGTTTTACTAGTTACAGCTTTGATCTATGAGCATTCAGTTCTTGTGATTCTAATCATCTAGATGGTACTTTTGATTAAAAGTATCAAACTTTCACTCCTTTCCCTTCCTTATGGAACAAAATGTAGCCATCTGTTTTACTTTTCAGTCACAGGACATTTAACACCAAGTCTATAAAACCAGCCATCTCATAATTCTCCTCAGCATGATTATTTCTAAGCTCTTTTGTTTGCTACCTAAGCTCCTTAACTTTGATTCCTTATGTGCAACTTTATGTTTTGCATTAAATCTGTGAGGGGTTATAATGCAGATACATTCATTGACTGCATTAATTATTAATCACAGGATATAAAGCAATTGCTATAATACTTAACATAAATGCTTTTAATAACATTTTTTTTGGCTGAACAGTTGGATTCTTGCATTTGCATCAGGCTTTTTGATTACACATATATAACAAGAGCATATTTTGTAAAGAAAACTACGCATATCAACTAATCTCTAGTGAATACATACAAGGAGAGGTAAAGTGGGTCAGCAAACTAAGGAGAAACTCACTGAAATGCATATGGAAAACTTGTTTTCTTCTTAATCTGCATTTTGGACCAACTTGAAATAATCTAAAAAAATTTCAGAGCAATTGCAAAATCAGAAGTTTTGCTTAAGTCCCTAAACTCTACAGTTTCAGTTACACATCTCCCTGCTTATTCAAACAATTAGTGCAGTCTAAAGCATCATCTCTCCTTTTTGGCTTTCCAGAACCACCAAGGTTTATAAAGAAACTAGACTCCTCAAAACTTGTGAAAGAGCACGATTCCACAACGTATGAATGCAAGATAGGTGGATCTCCAGAAATCAAAGTCACCTGGTACAAAGGTGAAACTGAAATCCATCCCAGTGAAAAATACAGAATGTCCTTTGTGGATTCAGTAGCAGTCATTGAAATGCACAATCTCAGTGTTGAAGACAGTGGTGACTACACTTGTGAAGCTCGGAATCCAGCGGGTAGTGCAAGCACCAGTACTGCACTGAGAGTAAAAGGTCAGAATCTCAGCTCTTGCCTTCTCTTTCTAAGATTAAGGGTCCTCCTTTAGGAAAAGCTCTTAAATCCCACTTTCTTTTGTCAGAGGCCAAAACTTACCTGAGTAGATGGCAAACCTCTTGTCTGTTTTTGATCTCTGTGGCAGCTCTTTCTTACCTATTGTCTTTGCTATTTAGCATCAGAAGAGTTACTTCAATCTTCTGTCTTCTTTAATCTCTTTTGCTTAAATAACACAAACAATAACTCTTTTTTCTTTTTTCCAGCACCCCCTATTTTTACCAAGAAGCCCCATCCAGTTGAGACCTTGAAAGGGTCTGATATTCATCTGGAGTGTGAGCTTCAGGGCACTCCTCCATTCCAGATTTCATGGTATAAAGACAAACGAGAAATTCGGAGCAGCAAGAAGTATAAGGTCATGTCTGAGAATTACATAGCTAGTCTTCACATTCTCAGTGTGGATACTGCAGATGTTGGTGACTATCACTGTAAGGCTGTAAATGATGTAGGAAGTGACTCCTGTATTGGCTCTGTAACACTAAGAGGTTTGTACAAAGATTGGCATCTTCTTGGCATTTCTTTGTTCCTGAAATTCTTCTCCTACTTTTCTGCTCCTGGCAGGGTTCTTTACTGTTAAATATCTTCTCTTAAATAGCACCACCAACCTTTGTGAAGAAGCTGAGTGATCTCACTGTCGTAGTTGGGGAGTCAATTGAACTGCAGGCTGCAGTACAAGGATCACAGCCCATTTCTGTTCTGTGGTTAAAAGACAAAGGAGAAATCATCAGAGAAAGTGATAATCTTTGGATCTCCTACTCAGAAAACATTGCAAGTCTGCAGATTGGAAATGCAGAAGCAACAAATGCTGGGAAATACATTTGTCAGATAAAAAATGATGCTGGAGTTCAGGAATGTTTTGCCATGCTGAAAGTGCTAGGTTGGTAGCATGAGATAAAAAACACAATGTGTTTTAAGATGCTTTGAAACTTAAATTTTAATCATAATAATAGCTATTTCATTGTCCTAAAAGTTTTCTGACTTGCATTTCATTGCAGAACCTGCAGTCATTGTAGAGAAGCCAGGCCCAGTCAAAGTTACAGCTGGAGATTCTTGTACTCTGGAATGCACAGTAGATGGCACACCAGAGCTTACTGCTAGGTGGTTTAAGGATGGCAATGAACTGTCCACTGACCATAAATATAAAATCAGTTTCTTCAACAAAGTATCTGGACTTAAGATCCTCAATGCAACACTAGAAGACAGTGGAGAATATACCTTTGAGGTGAAAAACAGTGTTGGTAAAAGCAGCTGCACAGCTTCAGTGCATGTTTCAGGTTAGTTGACTATTCATTCTGAGTCACCTCTGATCCTTTAGTTCCTCTACAAAGCCTTCAGATAGCAAAGTGGTTGTTGTGATTGGCAACCTAAGAGAGTTGTACAATCTTAGGAGTACTTGGCATGCCACTTTGACAGGCATCAAGGATAGATGCCTACCTAAAATCTGAGGGGCAGGAGTTATTGAAAGGACTCGATTTCTTCAGCTTTAATCTTACATATTATCTTCAACAGCTGGTGTAATTTTTTTTCTTATGAAAAAGAATAGAAAAAACAAAAGTTGTTCCTCAAAGATTATAATTGAAAGTTCCAGCATATCCTTAACCATTTACTATTTTAGAAATACTTAGCTGTTTCAGAGTATATTGCCAAAGCAGATACAGGAAAAGGTCACTACTTTTATTATGCACAGAGAACTTCCTGCATTTAAGAACCCTGTATGGTAATTTCTACATATTTTTTTTTTTATTTTGAAACAAATGCAGATCGTATTATACCTCCTTCTTTCACAAGAAAACTGAAAGAAACTTACGGTCAGCTGGGTGCTTCTGCTGTACTGGAGTGCAAAGTTTATGGGTCACCACCCATTCTGGTTTCCTGGTTTCATGATGGACAAGAGATTACCAGTGGAGAGAAGTATCAGGCTACTCTTACAGACAATACCTGTTCTCTGAAAGTGAATGGACTTCAGGAGTCTGATATGGGAACTTATTTGTGCACTGCTACTAATGTAGCTGGGTCTGATGAATGCAGCGCATTTTTGAGTGTTATAGGTCAGTATCAGTAAGAAGCCAGAAACAGAGCCAAATTTCTTTTCAGAAAGAGTTAATTTTTTCTTTGTTGAGTATTTCTGATCACTGTGATCTTCAAAAGAAGTTCAAATGTACTTATTTTCTGTCTGTTTTATTTGTGTGCTTAGAACCACCATCTTTTGTGAAGAAGCCTGAACCACTGGATGTTTTATCTGGGGCAAACATAACCTTTACTAGTATCATAAAAGGTTCCCCTCCACTGGAAGTTAAATGGTTCAGAGGCAGTGTTGAGCTAGTACCAGGAGCCAGATGCAATATCACCTTGCAAGATTCAGTTGCAGAACTGGAGCTGTTTGATGTACATCCACTTGAGAGTGGAGACTACACCTGCCAAGTCTCTAACGAGGCAGGGAAAATTTCTTGCACAACACATCTTTTTGTCAAAGGTTTGTGCAAACTACTGCTTCTTATGCTTCTTAAAGATGATCTCTTGTCTTTATTTAATTTTTTTTCTTCCTGTTGTTCGTTATAGAACCAGCCAAATTTGTGAAGAAGGTTAATGATTTAAGTGTAGAGAAAGGGAAAAATTTAATCTTGGAATGCACATATATGGGTACACCACCAATTTCAGTGACATGGAAGAAAAATGGAGTGAAAATAATGCACTCTGAAAAGTGTAGCATCACCACTACAGACACATCTGCCATACTGGAAATCCCTAACAGCAAACTAGAAGATCAAGGGCAATATTCTTGTCATATTGAAAATGATTCTGGGAAAGATACTTGTCATGGTACAATCACAATACTAGGTGCGTCAAGCCAGCAGCAGTTCAACAAGTGTTATTTGAACTACTAATGGTCATCATGCAATATCTTTGTATGCTAATGGTGTGTCTTTGTCCTTCAGAACCACCTTACTTCATTACACCCTTGGAGCCAGTGCAGGTGACTGTTGGGGATTCTGCATCCTTACAGTGCCAGGTTGCTGGAACACCAGAAATGATTGTGTCCTGGTACAAAGGTGATACAAAGCTGAGAGGAACTGCAACTGTGAAAATGCACTTTAGGAACCAAATTGCTACTCTGGTTTTCAGCCAGGTAGACAGTAGTGACAGTGGGGAATACATCTGCAAAGTAGAAAACTCTGTTGGGGAGGCTTCTTCATCATCTTTGCTCACAGTTCAAGGTGAATATTTCAATTTTAAATATAGGGAAATGGCCTATTTTTCTTAAGTATGCTTTGCTATTTCAGAAAACAATAATTGCCTCTACGTCGTAAAACACTTTACTGTTTCTTGACATGTAAGGTAACCTGTGGTACTTTCTTCTACTAACAAAAGCCTAACAGTAAAGCTAATTGAAATACAACACTTAATGACCACAGCTCTTCTGCGGCGTTACAAGCCTCTGTATCTTCCATCCCTGTTCAGGATATTGCTTTGATTGTTTCCAGTATTAGCAATCCTGAGGCTCATTGGCTCTAAGATAAATAAAAAGAGACCTCTCTTCCTGCAACCATATGCGCAGGGCTCTTTACAACAAGTTCAAAATAAGTGGTATGCTAAACAATATTTTTAAGTGGAAGTTATGAGCAAAAGTCCACCATACTCTGCAGCATATTAGTCAGTGATTATTGCTGAGTGCAGCAAGAGGTTCTGGTGTCTTCTGGAAGACTTCACTGTACACTTGTTCTCTTACAGAGCGTAAACTTCCTCCTTCTTTTACACGAAAATTAAGAGACATTCATGAAACTGTTGGCTTACCAGTTGTATTTGATTGTGGCATTGCTGGCTCAGAACCCATCGAAGTATCTTGGTTTAAAGACGGCGTGCGTGTAAAAGAGGACTACAATGTTCACACGTCCTTTGTAGATAACGTAGCAACTCTCCAGATTTTGAAGACAGATAGGAGCCTTATTGGGCAATACACCTGCACAGCTGTCAATGCTATTGGGACTGCTTCTTCTAGTGGCAGGCTTGTCCTTACAGGTTGGTGGGCTGTGAAATATTTAATGGAAATGTCTTAAAACTGAGTTTTGCTTTATGTATGGATTTAATATTGCACAAGAGATTCTTATTTCTCACAGTTTTAAAGTAAATTGAGATTTTTAAATGACGAGTTTTTATTTCTTTCACTCTTCAGAAGGGAAGACTCCTCCATTCTTTGACATCCCACTTACACCTGTGGATGGCATTATTGGAGAAAGTGCTGATTTTGAGTGTCATGTTTCTGGAACACAGCCTATTAGAGTCACTTGGGCAAAAGATGACCAAGAAATTAGAACAGGAAAGAACTATCAGATCAGTTATGTAGACAACACAGCCCATCTGACCATCTTGAGAGTTGACAGGGGGGATTCTGGAAGATATACATGCTATGCTAGCAATGAAGTTGGAAAGGACTCTTGCACAGCTCAACTGGCTGTTAAAGGTACTGAATAGATAGTACATTGTGTTTACATTTTTCTTCCTTCAGGTATAAAGGAAGTTGGACTATTACTGCAAGATAACTTTGAGAAAACTTTTGGCATGTAGCCTGAGAGTACCTATCTGGAGATACATATGAATCTTTTATGGGAATTAGGAAGGGTCACTAACAGCAACAGGAGGAGAAATCAAACATTTTCTTTGGCCTACTTTCTCAATAGACTCTGGCCTATTTCTTTCTTAAGATTTTGACAAAACTCTTGTGGTTATTTAAATGGTGTATGACTTAAATCAATGTAAGAGAATTTTTTTTCAAACAGGAAAACACAGTGACAATGACTGTAAGAGCAAGGCTCGTGCTGTTTATCGTAGCATAATTTCACTTAAAAAACATATCCAGTTTAATTGGGAGAAAATATCAATTCCCCAATGTTCAAATTTTTCTTGAAGCATTGTCTTTAGGATTTTTCATCTCAAGATAGATTCATGGAATTTATGTTCTTTTTACAGAACGAAAAACTCCTCCAACTTTTACTAAGAAACTGTCTGAAGCAGTAGAAGAAACAGAAGGGAATGAACTTAAACTTGAGGGTCGTGTTTCCGGCTCTCAGCCTTTGACTGTTGCTTGGTACAAAAATAATCAGGAAGTCCATTCAAGTGCTCACTGTGAATTATCTTTCAAAAACAATACCTTACTTTTGCATATAAAGGCTGTAGAGCAATCAGATGCTGGTTTATACACCTGTAAAGTGTCCAATGAAGCAGGAAGCGTGTTGAGTACATCTTCTGTTGTTATCAGAGGTTAGTTGAAGTCTTGTTTTTCTTTGCTTCCTGCTTAAAAACAATTTATTTGTTTTATTTAGCTGCAAGTATATAGTATCTCTCTTATAAACTGGCTTTACTTACCTTAACAGCAGTGATTAGTCCAGTGATTCACATAAACCACAAAGTCAAGAAATTATTTTATTTTTGTGATTATTTTTTTTTCAAGGAGAAGCTTCTTTTTTTCTATTTGCTATGACTGATTTAAAGTGGACGTCAAAATATTTGTGAAATTTTTGTTGAATTTTTAATCATGCTGTTTCAGTGGAGTAACAGGGGGTTTGTGTAATGAAATCTAAGCTCAGGCTGTGTTGACACTGCGTTGTGGTAGCATGACACTTCATCATAATAGTCTTGCAGGAAATTGCATGTTTATTTCTTTAAAGATTTTTATGTAGTTCTGTAACCTAATAGTGCTTTTGATCTCATACTATTTTTTGCGTGTAAAGGTTCTTTCTGAGAGGATAAAGATATTTCTTGCATGTTTATATAGCAAATACGCTGTGATGCTCTCTTGATATTTATTCCATTTTATAACATTATGATTGACATTCTCAGACTTCTGTTTATCATCCTCCATTCCTTGCCATTGCCTCCTTAGTAATCACATGTATCTCTCTTTCTCTTATATTCTTGATCATACTTCCCTGAGTGTTCACTCAAGCGTTTTCATATTCCAGAACCTAAAAAGCCTCCAGTTTTTGACCAGCCTCTTCAGCCAGCAGCAGCAGAGGAAGGTGATACCCTGCAGCTTAGCTGTCATGTCCAGGGATCAGAGCCAATCCGGATCCAGTGGCTGAAGGCAGGAAGAGAAATAAGAGCTTCAGACAGATGCAACTTCAGCTTTGCTAATGGAGTAGCTCTTCTAGAACTTGCTGCAGTTACCAAATCAGATTCAGGAGAATATGTATGCAAAGCTTCAAATGCAGCTGGCACTGATACTTGCAAATCTAAAGTGACAGTCAAAGGTACAGTAACATGGAGAAAATAAGGCATATGACAAAAATGTCAACCAAAACGCTATCCCACTTTTTTCTGTGGAGCAAAAAAGTTAATAATCTAATAACAAACAATTATTTACTTTTAGTTTTTTATAAAATAATAGAATCTGGTAAAACAGAGTATTTAACAATAATTTATATATCAATAGTGACATAAATGCTGAAAGATCAGTGTCAAAGCAATAGTACATTCCTACCAAAGAGATTAAAAATTTATTTTCTATCTAAACATGAAATTTATGAAAAATGCAAGCTAAATGGGTGAAATTACTTGGACATGCATGTTTTATGGAAAGCATGTCAAAAGTGGTGTTTATTAAAGGAATATACAGAAGGAATTTGAGCATGTGGCCTTAGAGCCTAATTGTTTTAAGACTATTACAGCTCTAGGACATTTTGACCTTTTAGCTGAAAGTAAATAGTGTCTAAACATGAGTCCTTCTGTGTAGTTCTTGCTTTACCGCTGCATAAAGGACAAGAACCCAGCAGTATGCACAAATAATCCTTTCCACTACATGGTTAGCCACTAGGCTAAGGACGAAGTCAAAGAAAACCAGGAGAATTCAACAGATCACTGTTATGCAAGTAACTCTTACGGTATATTATCCAAAAATAGAATGAAAAGAGAAACCCTCACCAAAAAAACTTATCCATTTTAGAAAATGAGGCTTTCTATTTGCATATCTATCTGTGGATTTGCATCCATGGAGAGTATAAATGGCCTTACTGAACAGCACAGTATAGTCCATTGTGGACAGTTTCATCTGGAAAGTAAACTGCAAGTTGGTTAAAACAATATGAAAATATTTTGGATTTTTACCTCTTGCATAGTATTTTGTTCCATCTCAGGAATTAATTTCTTTTTTACAATTCCTTCAGAAACATCATCACCTATGAACATAAACTGTTACATGAAGCCATCTGTTATAACTCTCTGACTCTGTTTTTTTAGAAAAACCGGCAGCTGCTCCAGCAGCTAAGAAAGCAGACATGGAAGGCAAACTTTATTTTGTGTCAGAGCCTCAGAGTATCAAAGTCATGGAAAGTAAGAACTCTTTTCAATACAGTACAATGTCTTCTATTTGCCTACACCTTTTGTTTGAGATGATATCCCTCTGTCATAAAGAACTGGAAAGATTTAGCTTCCTCATTTGCATCTTTCTGCAGAGACCGTTGCAACATTTATTGCAAAAGTTGGAGGAGATCCAATTCCAAATGTTAAGTGGATGAAGGGAAAATGGAGGCAACTCAACCAGGGAGGCCGCATTATAATCCAGCAGAGAGGAGATGAAGCCAAACTAGAAATAAAGGACACAATAAAAACTGATTCTGGCATGTACAAGTGTGTTGCTTTTAACCAACATGGTGAAATTGAGAGGAGTGTAAACCTGCAAGTTGAAGAAAGAAAGAAAGAAGTTGTTGAAGGAGATCTCAGGGCAAAACTAAAAAGGTATATTGAAAGCTTTTATGGATTAATTTGCTATCAACACAGAAGAAAAATTTTTTATTATGCATCTCAGAACAAGATATAGTTTTTAAAAAATTGTTAAATAGGAATAACTGTACTAAAAATAAAAGCACCTGACTAGACTAAGCTAAAGGATTCTACTGCAGAGAACAGCTCTGAGGTGATTCAATATTTCATTAAACAGCTTTCTGGGAATGAAATGCTGCTTAGTTAACTTCTGTTATTGATTTGAATAGCACTCCAACAAAAAGAAAAGAAGAGGAAGAGCAACCTATTGATATCTTGGAACTTCTCAAAAATGTAGATCCCAAAGAATATGAGAAATATGCTCGCATGTATGGAATTACAGATTTCCGTGGCCTCCTACAAGCCTTTGAGTTACTAAAGCAAACCCAAGCAGAAGAAAGCCATAGATTGGTAAGATACAGTGTGACTGCAGCATTGGTTCTCTTAGGAGTAATATGTTTCCCTTGAGCAGACATGGTGCCCACACTCTGGAAGCTCTGAAGTTACGATGTGTAGAGAAATTTCTGGTTCCTCTTTAGCTCTTTTACAGGCAGTTCTCAATGTCTTGCATGCTCAAATCCAAGAAGAAAACATGGGCCTTCTAGGCTAAGTAGGTTCTGTCTTCATAACTTGATTGCAGTTGTTAGAAAGGGAAGATTTCCTGGTTACAGTACAGTTACATAAAATTTGATGTAGGAATGAATTCTGTGTTGGATAAATGTGACAGCTTGACATTTAGTATCCTTTAATCTTTGAGTATATTCTGCATTCTTATAGGAAATTGAGCTCACAGAGAAAGCTCAAAGGGAAGATCAGGAGTTTGATGAACTTGTAGCTTTTATTCAGCAACGACTCACACAAACAGAGGTAAAGCATTTTTGGACTGATTTATGAAATATTCAAGCCTATAACAGGGGAACTTGAAATTAACTTAAACTAATATTTTCCAGCCTATTACTCTGATCAGAGACATTGAAAATCAGACGGTTTTAGCAGATGAGGATGCTATCTTTGAATGTGAGATTAAGATTAACTATCCAGAAATTAAACTGTCATGGTACAAGGGAACACAGAAACTGGACTCCAGTGACAAATATGAAATTAGAATTGAAGGTGATCGCCACATACTGAGAATTAGAAACTGCCAGCCTGAAGATCAAGGAAATTTCAGAATAGTGTGTGGACCACATATTGCCAGTGCCAAGCTAACTGTGATTGGTAAGTCTACTTCTGAAGTAAATATTTGAATTAGTTTACACTTTATTTATTCCACTCTCTGATCTCTGTTAAAATGTATGTTTTAACATGCTGATAGAACCTGCAGTTGAGCGGCATCTTCATGACACTACTTTCAAGGAAGGAAAAACATGCACACTGACTTGTCAGTTCTCTATCCCAAATGCCAAGTCTCAGTGGTATAGAAATGGGAGGCCCATTAAGATAGGAGGGAGATATTCAACACAAGTCTCTGACAAAGTGCACAAACTCATCATCAAGGATGTTAGAACGGAAGACGAGGGACAGTATACCTGCAAGCTTGACAGTCTAGAGACAACGGCAGATCTGGCCATTGAAGGTTTGTAAAGATGTAGAATCTCTTTCTTACAATAGTGACACTTTCTGGAGGTTTCATTAGCAGAACAAATGAAAATAAAAAGAATTTCTGAAAGACAGATTCCAAAGCTTGGAAACAGACTAAATAAGAAATTTTACTGTCCTTTCTCTTCCAACAACATGTGACATAGTTGTGCAATTCGGTTAAGTGTATTCTTCACTAAACCATGATTAATAATGTCCCATAGCCCACAAGCAATCTGAGTGGTACTAGCTTCTGTTTTCTTTGGGACTCTTTCTTTGGACTTTTTCTTAATTATTCTCTATCTTTAGTTTCCTTTATGGCTTCTCTTAGAAAACATATCTTCACAGCAATCTTATTATAGTTGAATTCTTATGTCTTCTAACCTTGATTCTTATCTTCATAGAAGGTAGAATCCTTTTTTCTTACTCTTCTTTTTTTAAGATCTGTTGCTATTATCTCATTAAAATTTACCTATTTTGATGACAACAGTGAGAAGCATTCAGCTACAGTAAATGCCGTGGTGGTGCATAACAATTGACAGCGATATTTTTTCTTTCTAAAAACAGCGGAACCAATTCAGTTCACCAAGAGCATACAGAACATCGTTGTGAGTGAACACCAGTCTGCAACCTTCGAATGTGAGGTGTCTTTTGATGATGCAGTTGTGACATGGTATAAAGGCCCCACTGAACTGAGAGAGAGTCCCAAGTACAGCTTCAGAAGTGAAGGTCGTTGTCATTATATGACTATTCACAATGTCAATGCAGAAGATGAAGGTAAAAATGCATGAAACAGTTGTGCTGGTGGCATTTTTTATATGTTTTTTTTGTCTGGTTTTAAATTATAAATGAATATAAATATGAACATTCTTGGCTGCTGCAGGTGTGTATTCTGTAATTGCTCGTCTTGAACCAAGAGGAGAAGCAAGAAGCACTGCAGAGCTCTATCTTGTAACCAAAGGTTAGCAAATTTTCTAAACAAATTTGTGATCATAACCATGTACAAATTTGTTTGCTTGAAACATGATTCTGGAAAAATCAATAGTCCTAAAAGAAATCTAATATTCCTTTGCAGAAATCAAACTGGAGTTGAAGCCACCAGGTAAAGTCCTCAAGCAAGACTGGCATAAGATCTTGTCAATACTCTGTCATAAAATTAAAGCATTGCTCTGCTTTTTTATTATTTTCAAATCTTTTTTTCCTGGTTAGAGTAAGTATAAACCACATCCGGAAAAGTATTCCTCATCCACTGACATGCGGAACTATTATTCTCATGAGTAGTGGCAATGAATACTGAGACAAATCCACAACCAGTGACATTAATAGGAACCCCATTTTGTACAACATGGAATGCCCCATTCTCTAAAACACATAAGTTATTTTTTTAACTGCTAAGGAATAGAACAATGAAGATATTCAATTAATATATAGGATCTCCTCTGTGCAACTGGAAAAAAAAAACAACAACCAAGGAGACAAAATAGGTAAAAATCACGTCCTTATGATATGCAGTGATCTTCTTTTTTGAATGTTCTTAAGAGCCTACTCCAAATGTTGCAAGAATTATTTAGAAATAAAACATAACATTGTATGGGCTGGTTGAACTGAAAAGTTAATACAATTAGTTATCTATTGGTTGTCTAGCTTATGCTTGAGGAGCGAGCTACAATCCTTTTATGTTACGAAAAGAAAGATTAAAACACCATCAACTACTATCCTTGAGGAGAGTACATTGAATTTTTTTAATTGGTAGTATTTATTAAGTCAATTAAACATTTTGATTTTCTAGATGTTCCTGATGCCAAGGTTGCAGTTCCACCTCAAAAACCAGCTGAAGGTAGGGTAACAAACCATACTTGTTCTGTATCTGCACTGAACCAGAAGGCCAGTGGGAACCTCAGAGAAAAATCTTAGCTCAGCAATAAGATCTAGTTAATTGTCCCTGTGAGCAAGACTTGATTTGGATAGGCTTCTTTGCTATGTGGAAGGCAAAAACTCTACACCACCAGTGGTAGGAGTTAATTTAATTCTCTTAAAAGGAGAATTTTTAAGAATTTCTCTTTAAAAGAGAATTTCAATTCTCTTAAAAAGAGAATATTTTCCATCATGTTTTCCTATCACTCTTCAACTGATATCAGTTCAATTTCCTATCAGTTGTTCATTTGATCTTCTTTTTATATCCATCTTCCTCTCTGATAATTTTTTTTAATTATAATATTTTCTTTTTGCCACAAAAAATACCTTTTAAACAAGCTATCTGAATTACTGCCTTAAAAAAAAATATTATTTTAAAGCTGTACATTGGATTTCATGTTTATGGCAAACAGTCTCACCCCAGGCTCTGGTTTTGGACTGCAGGCTACAAACAGTATTTATACTTCTGTTACGTTCAGTAGCTTACTATAAAGGTCAGCAATTTGAACTTCTTGGATTTTTTTCCAGGATAATTTGGTAAATGCTTCCAGTGGCAGCAGGAAGGGAAAGATTTGATATTTAGATTAATTAAAATCTGCAAAGATAGGAGAATGATGGCAGCAATAAAAATAAAGCTGAGGACATTCAGGCCTCAAAAAAGTAAACCGGGGGTTCCTACTCAAGTTATATTTATTCAGCTGCTGTAAACTCTCAGAATAAGCACCATGTTTGCTTTTATTCTGCAGCTGCAATAAAATAATATAATCCATTTTACCAAACCAGGATTTTTTTCATTTACAAGGAAATATCAAACTTAAATTCTGTTCTAAATATTTCATTTTTCCTACAAGCTGCCCCTATTCCCATTCTTCTGCCTCTTGTTCCACCTCCAGAGGAGAAAAAGCCAGGTAAAAGTACTTATAGTATTTGAATACTATGCTCATGTTTCGTTATGACAGTTGATTTTTGGATTTTTGTTTGTTTGGCTTTTTGGGGCTTCTTAAGGTTTTTTAATTCAAAGTTTTAAATCTATTATTTTTAAGCAGAGAAAAAGGTTCCATTAAAGAAAGTCCCCCAAAAGGTGGTTAAAAAAGCTCCTGAAGAAGTCCTGCTACCTAAAGGTAAATTTTTTCCCTTGTTTGTAAATTTTTTTAAAAGACTAAAATTACCTTATGGAAACAGAGTGTTTTGTTTTGAAATAATTTCAGTCTCTCACAATTGTTTGATTTCTGGATTTATGTTAAAAACATACATTTAAGATCCAAGCTGATTGTGACTGCCTAAAAAATAGTCCCTTCTTTAAACCATCCATGGGGGTAAAATATTTTCACTAAATGTGAACATACAATATGCCTTGTGAATTCCACACTATGATATGAATAATCAATTTATTTATTTTAAGTTCCTGAGGTGCCACCAGAGAAGCCCAAAGAAGTCAAAATAACATCCATGGCAAGGAGAGAAGAGATACATGAAGAAAAGAAAATACATGAAACACCCAAAGAAATTTATGAAGAATGGGAAGAAGATTATGGTGAGGACCATGACTATTATGTCAAGGAAGAGGGCTATGATGAAGGGGAAGAGGAATGGGAAGAAGCTTACGAGAAAAAAGAAGTGACTTACGAAGAAAAAAGAATAATTCATGAAGAAGGTATTTGAATTATCATGTCATTTTATTTCTTCTCTTTTCTCATATTTATTATTAAGGCCCCAACCTTTTGAACCAGGCAACATGTGTTTTGTTTTGTTTTTGCTAAAATATCTGGAACCATAATATGCTGACAAATTTTAAGTGGCACTTGATGATATCACAAGATATCACAAGGTAGGGATGCAGATAAGAATGGATACATTAGAAATTCATTGCCAATGAACTTTGCAGGTCTTTGAAACCTAACATGACTTAGTAGTAAGGATATGTGTAATTTTTAGTTTTTTGGCTATTTCTTCTATAATTTTCCTGCACTCTTGATATATTTAAACATTTCACACATTTATTGATTGATGTTTATGGCTGTATTTTGCAATTTCTTGCATGTTATAACTGTCTTGGGGATTAGCAACATGTATGCCTTGAGGAACAAGTTTTGGCTCTGATGAGAAAAATGAACCTTGGAAATAAGCAAAACATTTTACTTCCACAATTGGATCTCCAAAACTCTCTGTGTGTTTTTAAAATTCATAAAACTATAATGGCATAACTAGGACCTTTCTGTCTACAGAGCCTTTAGGCAACACATTTTTTATCATTAAGTGATGTTATTTTGTTTAAGTGACCGAAGTTCCTAAGAAACCCGTGCCTGAGAGAAAGCCACCGGCCATTATAGCTGAAAAGAAGGAAAAGAAGGAAGTAACTGTTCAAAAAGGTATGACTTTCGCCCAAAACTAACAGGAGTTAGATTCAGATATGTAGATTGAGATGTCGTATGCATCTCCTTCAAGCTGACTAGCACTGCTTATTCATATTTCCTTGGAAACAAGAAAATTCTCTTTATGTTGAACAGTGAGATGAGCAAGGGTCATGGCAACTCTCTTCTCCCACCTCATTTCTGAGCTCTCTGCTCAAAGGTGGTTGAATCAAAACAAGAATTGATGGTAAAATCAAACTGAGCTTTAGTTATCCTTCCTTCTCCCTGTATATTAGCCTTGGGAATGGGAGTAACGTGTAAGAAATTAAATGCTGCCCTTCTGGGAAATGTTTCCACTTAGATCACTGCATATCTCTCAGGGCAGAGTGGCCTTCACTGCCATCACCATTCACCACCATTAAACAATGCATTGAACCGAGCACAGGATGCACAATGTTTATAACATCCTAAACAAAAAAACCCATCCAGTTCTATGTGGTCTCTATCCAGAAAACTATTTACAAGATCACTTAAACAATAAATCTATCTGAATTACTTGCAGTTGTCAAGAAACCTGTCGATGAAAAAGTGGAGGTAACCACTCAGAGGGTTGCAGAAGAAAAAGTCAAAAGGGCTGAGGGTAAATACTGTTTAGTTATCTTAATGTCATCTTTCTGTGAAAGTTGTGCCTTTCGTTTCTTAGCTGATCTGCATATGCTTTGTCTTTACTCAACATGGTCTGATCAATTTTTCAGTCTTTGAAATATCTAACAAAAGCTTCTGCTGAATTCTTTAAACAGAAGATTGAAAGCTTTTTAGGGGAAAATTAATATTAACTACCAATGCTTTAAGAAAGGAAGCATGTATGAAATTGCTGTGGGTGAAATAGTGTGTTTCATTCTAAGCTGAAGATGTGAAATCCCTATCTTGTTTAGCATTCCATTTTGACCCATCTGTCAAGATGCTTTGGTTACTTCTTTGGTTATAAAATAAATATGCACCCTTATTCTCTTAGTAGCTACTTCCTTTTGTGTAGCATTTCCCATTCTGCAGCAGGATTCTCTCAGCTGCAATTTAATAAGTATCAGGAAATTACCTGTATGCTAAATGCCCTGAATATCTTTAGAACATAACAATGAAAAGAAACAAACACATTTCTTATGTTGCTTTATGTGATTCTAAGAAGCCTGACTTAGCTGATGAGTTAGATTGTTTGTCGTGTTTGTGGTATTTTCATCATTGATAGATTTCTGTAGACTTATTTTTATCTCTTTGCTAAATGTTTGACTGAGTAACAAAATTCTAACACCAACAGTTACCAAGAAAGTTCTGCCACCAAAACCTACACCAGTGGTCGTTGAAGAAAAAGTTATGAAAAAAGAAGGTACAGATCAGCATCTTTGAATTGCAGTTTACACTTTTTTTTCAGCACCCAATGTATTTCTGTGCTTCTTTGGAATTTGTGGGCCTGTGTGTATGTATCTGGATCCATAGGAGTAGTCATGCTGTGACTGCTCTCTGTGTTTAGTTAGTATGTCTACCATGCTTTTGTTTCTTATAAAGTCTGTTTTTAACATATTTGTGGATAGCCTTTTGGTTCTTGTTTAAAGAGCCTACAGTCACACTGCAGTGTGACTTAGCTTTTTCTTCATCTATTCTGCTTGCTGGCCTAACCTTACATAATAAGTATAATTGTGTCCCCATGGCCAAAAATATCTTTGAAGAACCACCTTTAGAATTCTTCTGATGTACTATCTCCAAAAGCCTGTGCATGCATTTTGTTTCAAATGTTAGGGCTAAAGGTGTCTGTGTCCTTAGTCTTTAACAAATACTAAATATTATACTTGTGTGCTTGCTCTGTGTTCAGTATTTTACAATATGAATACTGACTGTCTAAATATGTCTAAGACTTTAATGTGCAATTCAGTAAAGACCTGATAAAAACTCACATGCTGACTACCACTAATGTGGATCTAGAATATTAAATACTAAAATAAAATCCTATCTTTAAAGTACCAACAGTAGAAACATGGACTGTTTCAGAAGAAAAGATGTCAGTTTCTGTCCACAGAGAAGAAGAATATTCATATGATGTTACAGGTATGTACAAAACCAAAAGTCTGTGTACCCAAATCAAAACAATCCTTCAATTATTCTATACCTTCTTTTGATCTATTTTTATGTATGGCAAATTACATATTTAGACATATTGTACATTTGTCTTTTGGTATGCCTTGCTTTTTTTGTCCATTGTGTTATGTAGCTTTAGTATTATTTAGCTTAATAGATGGAAATATTTCAACTATTTTATCTTAATATTGTTTAAATGCTTTTCTTTGAAGAGCCAACAGAGCATGAGAAAACAGTTGAAGAAAGATTCTTTGAAGCTGTTTATCCAATTGAAGGTAGTTTGATTATGGATGGGAGTCTAATAAGTATTTGTTTGCTTGTTTGTTTTAATTTGAATCAAAATTCATTGTGAGACTTGCACATGCTGTTCATCTTTTACATATTAACATATATGTTTCAGTGATGATTGTGTAGTATACACACATAATATCTTCTTGAAGTTTTTTTAGATTTATTATCGACATTGGTATTTCCTATCTCAATATTTAATGTCTTTAAAATTCCTATTGTAGCACATAGAGAGGTTGAGGAGGAGGAAGAAGTTGTTTCTACAGAACTGGAGATCTCTCATGTTGAAGGTGAATAAGTCTTTGCATCAACATCTGCTCTGTTTTTCTGGACTTTCACATTATCTGTCTGTAACACTGTTTACCAAAGGATAGCATGTCAGAACTGAGATCTTTCAATTTCCCTATGGCTCTGCTCTCAAAGCTTCAAGCCTTATTGCATTTCTATCTTATTCTTCTTCATGACTGCTTTAAATAATTCCTTTAATAGCTTTTTGTGAGATGGGCTTGTTGTATTTGTTTGATAAAACAGATTAGGTTTTGCCGTTTAGTGTTTGTTTATACACCATGTTAAGAGTAGCCAACTGTGGTTTATCAATTATTTTAGCTGTCTGCTAAATGATCACCACCTGTCTTTTAAAGTGCCTGAGATACCAAAGAGGCGTGTTCCAGAAGAGAGAAAGCCTGTTCCTGTGCCTAAAATGGAAGCTCCTTCAGCTAAAGGTATTTCTGCTGCTCTAGTTAAAAAAGAAAGAAGCAAAGCCCAAACAAATTTTCTTTCTTTCTTTCAGATTTTTCATGTTTTCTTGCATATATTTAGGAATTTACTCTCTATGTCTCTTTGTTTTTGCACTATCTCCATATGCATTATTTGATTTTGCATTGTCTCTGTTGCAGTTTCAGTTTTTCAATTGTTCTATAGCTTTTGTCTCAGCTTAGGTCCTTCTCTTTCTTAGCTATCTCATGCTTATTATTTCTGTTTAAGTTGTGCTGCTTCTTCAGGCAAGTGTAGAGTGTTTTTACTTCAAGAGAGTAAAATGAAAGGTGCTAGTGCAGTGATTTTAACATAGGAGTTTTATACTGTATCATAATGTCTTTCCTGTACTGTCCACATTTGTCCAAAAGGCTAAACATAGTATTGTGTCACTTGCAGTGCTCAGATCCTTGTCCAAGCACTGTCTTCATTGTGTAAAACAATCTTGGATTATTCAAATCTGGATTAGTATTCCAAAAACTAAGCATCTCTTACTTTAACAATGTTTTCCAAAGTGCCTGAAGCCCCTAAGAAACCTGTTCCAGAAAAGAAAGTTGCTGTTGCTAAAAAGGAGGTGGCTCCCCCAGCAAAAGGTACAGCATCTTTCAAATGTGGACTTTAACCAGTTCTGTGCTGTTGTCCCCTTTTCCTAACTTCTCTTATGTTCCCAATACATATGATAAACTTTGAGTGTTTACGCATATGTAATCTTTGTGTGTTATGTGTGAATGTCTGTTCTCATCTAAGGCATTCAAAAGCTTTAGAAAGATTACCTAGATGAATTTTAATACCTTTAGAGTTTTTGAAGGGCCTAGAAAAATTATGCCTGAAGAAAAAGTACATATTCCTTTTCCCAAAGGAGAACATCTGCATGCCAAAGATACACTTACTGATGGAGTGTGCACTACTTGTTGAGTTTTATTTTCCTGTTAGTCTGTCTGTAAGCATGTTTGTGTTAGAATTTATATTTTATGTATAATTCTCTGTACATCCATGAGATTTTTTCAAAACCTGGTAGTATATTTGAGCATCTCATTCTTCAGTTAAGAAATCAGTCTTAAAATATTTGATAGTCTTCCAGCAACTGGTTTGATTTTATTTTTAATCAAACATATGTTGCCCTTGTCATAGATCTTTCTGTGTTAAGTGTATGAATGTGTTATGTGGTGTGTCTTGATATTCTTACAAATGGATTAATGAAATCTATAACACTCCAATAAATCTTTGAAAGTTAGAATTCAGTTATCTTATACTTTATGGTTTTTTAAGTGCCAGAGGTTCCTAAGAAAGCTCCCCCAGAGAAAAAGGTTGCTGTTCCAAAAAGAGAGGAAGCTCCAACACCTAAAGGTACACCTTAAAAAATAATGTTCTTTTCTTATTATCTTAAGCATCTTGTTTATGTCAAATTTTGGGTTTGATTGCTAAGTTAATCTGGTTATACTGGTACTTCATCTATGTTAACATGTATATTTTGTGTCAGTTTTGTGTATAGGTGTGCTGTAGATTTATTCTTTAAAAACTTGCTAATTTAAGCTGATTATATTATAATTAATATCTTTGAAGTGCCAGAAGTACCTAAAAAACCAGCTCCAGAAGAAAAAATGCCATATGTTCCTAAAGTAGAACCTCCCCCTGCAAAAGGTATAATACAGCTAACCTTAATATCATTTATTGTAATCTTTAGAACATTGCATTTATCTCAATTTGGTCAGCTGTCATGTTTGTCAAGCAAAACATATCATGTGTAATCTTTCTCAACAACACATTTCTCTTGCGTGATGCCTGTGCCAGTTTTTACTTCAAATGTTCTAAAACAAATACTTTTTTTAAGTGCCTGCAGTTCCTAAGAAACCTGTCCCTAAAGAAAAAGTATCTCCTGCTGTTCCTAAAAAAATTGAGGCTCCTCCAGCTAAAGGTATGCTTTCCAGTAGAATGCAAGAATATGCTATTTCTCAGCTTCTGTCTATAAGTTCTGTGCTGTTATTAGTCATTGATTTGTGCTTCTCCTGTGAGTTCTGCTGTTCTGATTTACACAATGAATCATTACAGTACATTGTTGTATCTCGTGTGCAATACTTACGTGGTATTCTTTCTAAATATTGAATCTCTATTATATCTTATGTACTCAGTACTCTTCTTTGGAAACCTAGATTTAGCATTTCAAAACTATGTTTTCACAATGGAATTGGAAAAGCATACATTTAATATCATTATCTTTCAAAGTGCCTGAAGTGCAGAAGAAAGCCACTTTTGAAGAAAGAGTACTTATTACAGAAGAAAGAATATCTGTAGCCATTCCAGAGGAAATTCCATCACCTGAAGGTACACTATAAGCAGACAATAGTGAGAAACTTAAGCTATGTCTGCAAGTCTATTCTAATATCAAGATCAAAATACACCAAATATTTTTTAATAGTTATTTTGTATAAGTTTTGTGTTGAACTGCCAGCAGTTAAAAGCCTCTTAAAATGCCATTTACAATTTCAGTCTTGAATGTCAGGATCCCACCACACTGATATGGAAACACTACTATTGAATACAATAATCCTCAGATGAGGGCCTCATAGGTTTGCAGTAGCAAATATGGATGTATTGTTTATTTTAGACTCCACAAATTAGGGCTGTAACCATCCATTTGCCATACTCACTACAAAGCTCTCTGTAGCCCTGAAGATAAAATACTGCTTCCCTCTGCAGTGTTAGCTTCTCACCAGCTTTCAGCTCACATTCTCGTGTTCAGGGAAGATTGACATCAGTTGTTTTAAGTTAGTATAATTCCATATAATATCTGCTTCAAGATAACTGAAAACATCATTTTGTCTGTTTTTATTAATAACTACCCAGTCAAGAAAATTTGCACTTTCTTTTAAAAACCATAAATTAATTTTTAGAAGAAAATTTGAAACATGTCTGTCTAAAATATGGACTTGCAAATACACATCCGTATGGATACATGCAGTGTTAATTTCTGCTTGTGTCTTGCAAATTAACCTTTTCTCCAGAACTAGCTGAGGTTTTCCCTGATACAGTCACCTTTGTAGATGAGTACATGCCAGGATTTCCTTTCAGTTCTTGACCTATCCATTTCATTTTTTCCTTTCCTCACTTTCATACAATTGGATCAAGGAGAAATCTCTAATTCTTTGACTCTTGTTCCCCCACTTCAGTTGTTGTGATGGGGAAATTTGGGTAGCAGAGGCATTCTAATGAACTGACAGTTGACCAGTGTATGGTATTAGATACAACAGCACACAATAGGGAACCTGGGACACAGATAAATCATATAGATGCATACAGTGCACAGCACTTTCTGGATTGTATGCATATCTGTCATTGCTATATACAACTTCTAAGAATTGGTCTTCATCTTTATCCATCAGTCCTTCCCTCTGTCCATTTATCCATCCTCCAAAAATACTAAAACTACACTTTTCCTTAAAGAACCAACAGTTGAAGAATGGTCTGAAGAAGAAAGAGAGGAAGTATCTATTTCCATCCACAGAGAAGAGATTTCTGAAGGTATGACAACAATTCAGGAGCACTAGGAAAAAGCAAAAAAGTAATTTTTGGTCTGTACCAAATAGGCAGTTTGGATTAATATCTGCTTTACTCATAAGGAAAAAATTACTACTCTATAAATATGTTTTGGAACTTATAAATTTTAATTTTAACTTCTACAACTTCTGTTTCTTGCTTTTGAAAAGTGGAGTAGCTAATCCTGTTTCAATGCAGTGAAAATAATAAGGTATCTCTTTGATAGTGAGATCTGTCAGGACTTCTTTATGTTTACAAAAATCCTCTGTTGGAAGTTCCTCTACCACCAGGATGATTGGATAAAGTAAATGTTCTTCTGAATACCATGATGCACTCGGGTTTCTCAGATAATTTCACTGTAAAATAACTGTATTTTTTGCACCCGTAAGTTTATTGGTGGTCGCATAATATTGTGAAGGGCAGTAACTGACTGACTCAGTTTCTATGACTAGTGACACCACAGATTTTTCAAGGGACATCTTTAGCCAAGGAATTTTCTCAGTATTTGGGAAAGAAGGTTTCTCAAAATAGACAAATTTCAACATTAGTGCATGAGTGGACAGAGGAATGGAGCATTTTCAAATTCCACGCAAATACAAGATGAGAGCTCAGTCTCTTGGTCCCATTTAAGTTGCTTGGAGTGTTTCTATTGGCCTCAGTGGAAGCAGGATGGCTCGAATGTAGATTTTGTCATCCCAGAAGAGTCTGTTAATAAAGTACACTGTTTATTTTTGTCTTACAAATATTTTGTTGCTTACCAGGGCCATGAAGGCAGTAATATATGTGAAATACTTAAACTTAAGTGTTTTTATATTTTACTCTTTTAAAAAGTGACTGAAGAAGAGTCTTACTACATAGAGGAGACAGTAACTGTTCCAAAAAGAGAGGAAGCCCCACCTAAAAAAGGTATAAGTTCATTTCACTACAACATATGAGTTGTTTCATCATTCTTAACATTATGTTGCCACTACATGTTTATGTCCATTTTTGGCATTTTTGTTTGTATTTGTGCTATAGCGATACTACTCCTCTATGTAAAACTATGTATTGTAATCTTTTAAAGTGCCTGAGAAGCACAGGAGAGTTGTCCCTGAGCCAAAAGTCCCAGCTGCTCCTAAGGAAGCTCCAGGAGTTAAAGGTATAAACCAGTTCCCCAATCAGTTCATGTGTCTTCAAAGGGATTATGTTTGTCTTAATGTCTTGCTTGTACATGTTGACATAGGTGGTGTCTTCTCACAGTGATGATTGCTGTCTCTTGAAAATTCTTGTTTGTGGTAACTCAGTAAAACACATTGTGTGGTAGGCAATTGCAAATATTACACTTTAATATTCTTTCTCATCTTTCTTCTCATCTTGCTCATTTTTCTAAAGTTCCTGAAGTTCATAAGAAAGCAGTTCCTAAAGAAAAAGTACCTGTTCCTGTGTCTAAAAAAATAGTGGCTCCACCAGCAAAAGGTATATGTGTTTTGTTCCTGTTGTAAAAAAAAAAAAGCTTTTTTGCTGCATTCCATTTTTAACATATATGCCTTGGCTGGGGATTGTATTGTTGATACAACATATATTTCTGGTATCGACTTTCTTCAACATTAAACATGTTTTTATGTCTGTTTGTCTACAATGACACCTGTGACCTGTGCTGTCTTGATGAGATTTATATGTTATTGTGTGTTATTTATATGTTATTTCATCTTCTATCTTATACCTGTTGATGAAATCAAACAAATTTTCTAAAGTTACATAATCTTTTTTAAGAACCTGAGGAAGCATTGGTGCCCACTTTTGAGGCAGAATTTGAAGAACCTCCAACAACCAAAGGTAAACAGATTATTACCATGGAGATTTTTTAGTTAGGTCTTGCAGTATTTGTGGTTAGGCATTTTAATTAAATACAGTTTTGTTTGTTAGTATCTGTAACCTTTGTAGGATCTCCCCTTTCTTTTGACTCTACTCCTTTTGGTGCTGTGAATGTAAAGGCTGCTTTTCAGCAGTGTCTTATTTTTGTAGCTGTTGAAGTTCACTTAGCACTTTTTTTAAACAATCAGAATAAGTAAAAGAAACATATATCTGCATTTCAAATATTGTAATTAAATATCCTTGCACATTATTTTTAAGTGACTGAAGTGCACAGGAAAATTATCACAGAAGAAAAAGTTGCAGTTGCTAAAAAAGAAGTGGCTCCACCAAAGAAAGGTATATAAATTTTCAGTTACACTACAGAAGTCTTGTCTCAGAATAGTGGTTTGTATTTATATCTAGTTATCTAACACAGACTCTAATGTTCAGTGTTTGCTGTCTTTTTTTTCTTTTTTTATTTTAATAAATATCAAGTATCTGATTTGTGTTTTGTCATCTGCTTATATTTGTATACTTTGAGTAATTTAACATCTATTACAATAAACTTCTTTTACAAACTGCTAGTGGTGCCCAAGAAGCCTGTGCCAGAAGACAAAGTACCTGTTCCAATTTCACAGAAAGTGGCAGCTCCAGCAGCTAAAGGTATACAAGTCCTTTTGGAAGTAGAGATGGCTTTTAAATATCAGATATCCATGTTCATCATACTCACAGTCTGCATAGTTAATAAAATCTGTCTCTCCTGATTTGGTTATAAATGAAAAGGACCTTCATCTTTTCCCCTTCAAAATACTGCTGAGTATGACAGCGAATAGCCATGCACCTTCATTCTTTGCATTTTTTAACTAGGATTTCATTTTATTGATCACTCTATATGCTTAAATTCTTGCAAAGCTGAGTGACATTTACTCAGTGAAAAAAAATTAAAAACAAAATTTAAAAAAAAATCAATCTTTATAATATTCAATGAAGTGTTTCAATATTCAATGAAGTGTTTCAAACTTACAAATATGTTCTCTGTTTCTGTGCTTTTCTTGTCTTTGATTTTGTTATGTACCCTGAGTGTATGGTGTTCTGTGTTTTAATTGAGTTTCTGAAGAGTTTAGAGACAAAGTGTTTACCTCTTACTTTCCTCTTCATTCCATCTTACTTCCCAATATGTGAATATTCTGCTCAATTTTGTTTTGTCTATATATCTATTACTCTAACATTAGATCTATTATTTTACTATATATTATCTGTATGTCTCATGTGATTGTTGTGTTTATTATATTTTCTTTTAAACAGTTTGCTGTTTGCTCCTAATTGTTTGTCTATAATTCTTTCATACAAGTTTCAGAATGTGTGTGATTTCTTTTAGAAGCTAGTTTTCTTACAATTACTATCTTTAAAGTCTCAGAAGCACAGAGGAAAACTGCCAGAGAAGAAAGAGTATCCATTGCTGTTCAAAAGAGAAAAGTGTCTCCACCACCAGAAGGTAGTCCTGCCCATGGGTTAATCTACAAAGAGATTGTGCTCATTTAAGACTACCAGAGCTTCAGGCCTATTGCTCTGGCATGTCTCCTGAGGTTCAAATTTAGAATTATAGAATCATTTAAGTTGGACAAGACATTAAGGTCATTGAGTCCAACCATTAACCTTACACTACCAAGTCCACAACTATGATCCACCGTAGTCCCAGAGGAACTTTTACAAAGTCTTTGAGAAATACTAGAGACATTTTTCCCAATTAGTCTGGGTGTGGGTGGTGTCAGGAAACAATAGTTATTTTTCTAAGAAACTCCAAATGGGATATTTATTATTGTACATGGTATTACACCAGAAAAAAAAAAAAAAAGTTAATGTTAGACTCTGTCTTTGAAGTACCAACAGAAGAAGAACATTGGGCTATGTCAGAGGAAGTATCCGTTTCTCTCCACACAGAAAAGGAGATTTCATACACAGGTATGAGGACTAAAAAGATTCTGTATCCAAAGTTACATCTTGTCAGCTAGTAAAAAAAACCAGCAAGAATAAAACAAAATTTTATGTTCTTTGCTACTGCCAGTTTATCACGAAAGGGAAGCTTGTAGAATGGTGCAGGACAGTATTTCATTCTGGCAATAAAATACTGTCTCTCCTTTAATTCTTTCCTTTAGCTTACTGCTGTTCACATTGTGGAAGCCAAATAATTTCATTAGGTCCTCCTTTTAAAATCTTGCCACCTGTCTGACCTTTGAGGGAAAACGAGAGACAGTCTTTGCTTTCATTTAAATTAACATGCTTTATTATTCTGAAAAGACAGACAGTCCTTTTCTGTTCTGTAAAATCAACTCCTCGCCTAAATCCGAAGGTTAAGGAAAAAATCATTAGCTCTACTGCTGCCTGCATGGCTGAGACACTTAACACAATCCAGTGTAATGGATCTGCCTGCTCAACAGTCCATAGCCTTTAAGGAAAATTTATTGGTCTTTTACTTTTGCAGACTATCAATTGATTTGTGAAAAATTACCCACAAGATGCCTCACACTCACTACTTTCAAATCTGATACTGTTGATAAATGGCATTAGCATATTCATATCATAAAAGATTAATACAGACAAATCAGCGTGAAGTTAAATTATCTATTTAGTTTCCAAAGTTGGGGAGACAAGCATACTATGAGTACTAAGAGTATGATGAAAGATGACCTTTGATTCTCTGTAAGGCAGGTGTAATATGCCATCTGGTCTGGAAAGAAAAGGGTCAAAGTAGAAAGACATAAAGGCAACAGTTCTTCAGTAGGGTACCAAACTTTGGTGTTTTAGCTGGGAAAAAAAAAAGAATCCAAAGGAACCTGAGCTTTCTGAAAAAGGTACTCATGCATAATGCAGTTTTTGTTTCCAAATCCACCAAAGTATCAGTTCCAAGCAGTTTCTGTTGAAGATTTCAAGTGTAGATGCACCTGGCATTTATAATTAAATATCAAGGAGGACTATGCCAGAAAATACTTAGAGAGCTAATGAATCTTCACATTACCCCAAAAATAACACCAAGCATCAAGACATGTGACAGCCACTCATCTATGCTCTCTGTATCTTGTCATGAATAAAGTTTCTTCAAATCTGTCAGCAACAGAATGGATTCCATCTCTGAAGGTCAAAAAAAAAAAAATCTCAAATCTGTTAAGAAAATGCCAGTTATTCTCCGACTTGGCAAGTCTGCCAGATCTTAAAATGGCAAGGTGACTTTCTGTGCAGTTTCCAATTATATTGGTCAAAAATTTTCCAAGACACCTGCCTCAGAAAGACAAGACCCACACACTTCTGTAAAAGGGAATATGGTGCTTAAACATAGTATTCTTTCCTGAATAAGTCTGAAAAATTGAACATATCCACATCTTAATCTTTTGGAGATGCTCCTGCTTTTACAAGGAATGGCTCCTTGCCATGTCAGAACAAACAAGGCACTTCATAAAGTAATTGACAGAAGAGGAAAAACACCTTCCTCACTGAGCAAGTCATTCTCTTGCTTTTAATTAGCCCAGAGCCCTTATCTATTGTTACTCTCAAAGGTTTTCTCCATGTGTTCCTTCACCTTCATCTAGAGTTTTCTACACAAATCTTTTGTGGTCAGTGAATGACGACTCTTGATCTCTTCCCGAGGTAGTGCAAAGTGTCACTGCTCTGGAGAGAAGCTGCTACAGAGAACAATGAGGTTTATTGATTTTGTAATTGGATGGCTTTGGATTTTGAATTCTGCCCATCAGCAAGCTTAGCTTCACTGTTGGCAGCAGTGGATGAAGCAGGAATCATATCAGCTGCTTATACTGGTATCTTGAAAAGACTGTTGTTTCTTAATTGAAAAGAAGCCTAATGACTTCTCTAGATACATGTCCAGTGACAATAAGCACACTTGTTTTTTACATGTCAGCTGTGTGTTTGTAAGATATCTTTTTTCTGTTTCTTACCAAGAATTCTTTTGCTTTTAAATAATTTACATATAAAAATTCTTAAATGTAATTGTACTATATCTTTCAAGTGCCTGATGTACCAGAGAGGGCTATCATTGAAGAAAGAGTACCAATTTATCCTCCTAAAAAAATGGCAAGACCACCAGCCAAAGGTATACTGGATAGAGTATTCAAATATGGTGTAAATGTTTTTTGTGTCTTGTATGTTCCGTGTACAGTGAGTACTGATTTGTTTTCTGTGGAATGTTCCTCCTTTGTTTAATTCCTAGTTGACAATGCCTTGTGATCCTTATTATAAGATCTATGTGCTAAATTTTAAGGTTCTTTTAATTGGTATCTTTTTAAGTGCCTGAAGTACGCAAGACAGTTGTCCGAAAAGAAAAAGCGTACGTTGAAGTTCCTCAGTATGAAGAGGAGGAGGAGGTTCCAAGGTACGAGGAGGAAGACACCACCAGATATGAGAGGGAGGTGATCCGTTACAAGGAGGAAGTTCGGCATTACGAAGAAGTTAGTCACTATGAGGAGGAAGCTCCTCAGTATGAAGAGGAGGAAGCTCCTCAGTATGAGGAGGAAGAAGTTCCTCAGTATGAAGAGGAAGTCATCCACTATGAAGAAGAAGCTGCTTATTATGGAGAGGAAGTTGCTGAATATGAGGAGGAAGAGCCACAGGTTCCTCAGTATGAAGAGAAGGCTCCCCCACCAACTAGAGGTATACTTTAACTTTAGGGTTTCTGTGAGGAAAAGTAGTATCTTTTCATTCTATGAAAGTACCAAACTTTTGTTTTACAGTGTTGCAGTGTGCTTTACAGTGTGCATTTTTAGAGATGTTTATTGATTATTATATAGTGCAGAAAACATGTGATGGCTGTATATCTACTCTTTACTACTAACTCCATAAATTAAAATTTTCATGTTCATGTTCATTCCTCTTTCATATGATCTCTGTATAAACCACTATGAAAATTTAACCAAGCTGAATTTCATTCTCATCTGGGGTCCAATTTTTCTATCAGACTGTGCTTGAAATATTTAAGAATACTTATGTAAATTCTGCAATCATAGACAAAAAATATATTTATCTAGAAAACAGCGAGGATACTTGAAAACAAGTGATGTAGGAACACAATTCACACTGATTTTTTTCAGAATCTTAGAAAGCCCTATGGTTGATGTCTATTTCCATCTTGAAGAGAATACTATACTTCCATGAAAAAGAAAAATATCCATATTTAAATAATCTAGTTTCAGGTGTTTTCCTTAGCACTAATTTTTATGGTATGGGTATAAATTTTCTACATTGTTAAGATAGGATGAGCATAGTATTCACTACTTAGGAGAACTAGGTCATGCCCAGATCTTGGTAATAAAGATCTGCATATAATATATTCTGCATCATAATATAAAGATACAGGTAATGTATATCCGATTTTCCTAAATTATATGATCATCAAAGAATATAATTTCCAGTCCTGATCCAAATCATTCCATAGTGTTATTTTCCATCAAAGAAGTTCAGAATTTCATTTGACTAATTAATAAATATCAAAATTATATCTAACATTGTTTACATTAGAAATTTTGTCATGAACATGAGAAAAGATGAGGCTGTACACTGCAAAACCCAGGTTAATCCTGAACAGGAAAGATTAGTGTGGGCTGAAATTTCCATTTAATCTCCCATATTAGCTAAGTTTAATTCACATGTGCTCCAAACTTTCTTCAGTATGCTCAGAGCCAGTGGAATTATTCTCCTGTCATTGTAAAATTTATATGAACATTTCTGGGGTTTGGAGTACAAACAAATGTTTAGATACATTTTAGTTGAAACCTTTGCCTCACTGCAGTTAAAGGAAAAGTCTGTTGATTTCAGAAGAGTAAAGGGAATTTTTAAAAAGCATTTCATTTACCCAACAAATTGTGGTATAAACTGCTGGGTACTTATAATGGACAGTGCTGTGCTTGAAGTAAGTCAGTTGATAAACTAGATGTGCTTGGGTTTTTTGCATTTAGAAAGCTCTTGGAAATTTTTCAGGAAGAAGATGCAGTCATCAATTTATATTTAATGTATATAAAAGAATATGATCAGATGCAACCTATTACATGCCTGACAACCATAGGGAACATGTTTTTAATAGCTGGTTAGAAAAAGTGACTGAATCTCTCTGACTTAACCTTCTGAAAAAAGAAAATCTTCTTTCAAAAAAGCCCTTGAAGTTGAAAATATCTTCATTGATGGCCTCCATGGCTAAGCAGGGAGAATGGACATAAAAGCAGCTAATATGAGGTGTTTGTTATTTTATTTTGTCTTAGTGATAAAACCCTTTTAAATCATAGCTGTTTTTTTGGAGTATGTGATGTTTGTTTGCATGAATATGTATTTGTTATTTGTGATGTTTGTTTGCACTTTATGTTCTTGTTGTTATGGAAGTAAATACCTAAAACTTTAATGGTATCTTTCAAGTGCCTGAGGTTCCCAAGAAGCCTGTTCCAGAGGAAAAAATACCTATTCTGAAGAAAAAAGAACCTCCTCCAGCTAAAGGTATATATAATCTCTTTACATTAGAAGACATCCTCTGAATATGTAATTATTTTTCAGATGCCTTAATTGCTTATTACTTTTTTCTGTTCTTTTTGGAGAGGGTTCTTCATATGAAATATTTGTGTTGCTGTCTTTTTTGTTTCATTTCTGTTTTGAGTAGCTTATGGTTTACTTTTTTAACCAAAATCATGTTTTTGAAGTGCCCGAGGTGCCAAAGAAACCTGTACCTGAAAAGAAAGTCCAAGTGCCGAAGAAGGAAGCTCCCCCAGCTAAAGGTATATACACTTGTCATTGTCTGTGATCAGAAAGATCTTCTAGCATTACTTTATCTTCTCACTTGTGTTCAAAACTAGGATAGAAAAAGAATTGTTACTCTTAATGACTGTGGTTCTTTTTGTTTGTGTTTAATTGTTTTAGTGTGACTGGTTTGTATGTCATGTTGTCTTAGATTTTCATGCCAAGCTCAATATTTTATAATATCTTACTAAGTTCCAGAAGTGCCAAAGAAACCTGTGCCAGAAGAGAAGTTTCCTGTTCCTGTACCAAAAAAGAAGGAGGTTCCACCAGCCAAAGGTATATGACTTGATATAGCTCTTGACTGAATGCTTTATACAAAAAAATAATTTAAAAGTCAGTCTTTTTTTTTTGTACGTAATGTAGAGTGAAGAGTTTTCTATTCTTGACAGTTCTTCTTTGTCACCCAACTTTATTGATTCATATCAATGTTCTTTACCTTATGGCTCAAAAATGAAATTCTTAAGCTACAATAATATTTTTTCAAGTGCCCGAAGTACCAAAGAAACTTGTGCCAGAAGAGAAGGTACATGTCCCAGTGCCTAAAAAAGTGGAAGAACCTCCACCAGCCAAAGGTACGCCATTTTCTGGTTCAACTGTGTGGTTCTGTTTTTGTTTCTTCATCTTTATAAGAAGATTGTTACTGGCAGTTACAATCCCATTCTTCAGCCTAATGTGTTTGAACCACTCCCTGAGCTGTTTGACACTGTTGTGTCTGTGTCTGTCAATCATGGGGTCCATCCTTACTCTTCGCTTTGAAAATGTCTTTGTGTTTTGTATCGTCTCTGTCTTTTGGATCTTACAGATCTAAATCTTTTAAAGGGCTTGTTGCTTCAAAAACAGATGGTCCAAAAGATAAAAAATTTACCTAAACAGCCAGACTTCCCCCTTAGCTTTACCACACCAGTTTGTAGCTCTGTTGTCCCTGTATGTTTGTAAGTTTACATCTGTGCATAAATCTGTGCATAAAATCAATGTTAACTTTCATCACACTACTAGATTTTGCCATATTTGTGTAGTTATCTTAATATCAGATGTGCAGTTATCTTTTTACTAGGTTTTATATTACATTGAAAATTAATCCCCTAAACAAAAATGTCTTTAAAGTGCCTGAAGTGCCCAAGAAGGTTCCAGAAAAGGCAGTACCTGTCCCTGTACATAAAAAGCCAGAACCTCCACCAGCCAAAGGTATCGCTTCCTATAGCTGAACATGTGGATAATGCTTGTTCTTGGTTTTGTGTATTTGTTGTTAGAATTTAACTGCAGTGTCGTAGCAGTGTGTGACAAATGTACTTGCTTTAGCTTCTGTGTAAGTTGTGTCTAAGTTTTCTACAATTAAAAACTATCTTTAAAAGTGCCAGAAATACCAAGACGTCCCAGTGAAGAGGTACCTATTTTTGTTCCTGAAGAAGAAGAGGAAAAGGTTCCAGAGATGCCAGCAAGAGGTACAGCACTGATTCTTGAAGATTATGAGAGCTTTGTTCAATTCATTAATAGATCTTCATCTTCAGTGATTGTTTTAAGCTTGGTATAAACCTCAATTAACCTTTTGAGAGGAGTCTTCTTCTTCTTCTTTCTGGTCTTTGTGGCTTTGTTCTGTAGTTTTAGTACTTTTGATGCTCTAAAAGCAATTACTAATTTCTTATCAAAACTATATCTTTGAAGTGCCAGAGGTGCGCAAGAGAGCTGTCCCAGAAGAAAAAATAACTGTTGCCGTTCCTAAAGTAAAGAAAATTCCACCAGCTAAAGGTATATCACATTGTGATGTATGCAGATAGCTCCTCTCCCTCTTATTTTCTTGTTTCAGTGGAAGCTAATTTTAGCATTCAGTTTATACTCATGTGAATCCAGGTCCTGCTGTTTCCCTGCAGCGAGCAGTGCTAGGGCTCAGACAGGGCCTGTCTGTTCTGTTATTGACTGCAGCCAGCTGAGAATCAGGCTGGCTTTATTCCACTTTAGGTGATTACTGTGAATGAAATAATTCCTTGTGATACTATCATCCAGAAATAATTTTTAAAGTAATTTAAATTTTCTTTATGCAAAATAGCTGAAATTAAATTTTATGGCCCTTTACCTGGAAATTCTTCAATTTAGGGAGATCACTCTTACATGTAACTTGAGAATAGATTCTCTAGGGTTTCAGCTAAACTTATACAAAAATAGGTATAGGATCAGGTTATTAGTATGATCAATTTACAACTGATCATACTAATAACCAGATCCTATACCCTAAATGTGAAATTTGAAATGGAGGTACACTATTGCAAAGGCCACTGTTGGATGCCAACCAGATTCTATCTCAGTTGAGTTTTTTAAATAAAAAAAAGCTGAGTTTTTTTAAAAAAACTGAGTTTTTTAAAGAAAAAAAAAAAGAAAAAAGAAAAAAGAAAAGAAAAGCAGACACTGGAAGGTTTTTATGTAAAAAACCTTAATGCTAATAATCTTCTTCGACTCTGGTTTGTAGCATATCTTGCTAATATTTTCTGTTTGCCATGACACTGTGGAATTAAAAATTGGGAAAAAGTGCTAGTCCTCATATAATCCTTGTAACCCAATTACATATAACTGTTTTCAGGGAGTAAAAAAATACCCAGAAGTTTCCCCTATTTTTATTTCTATTTCTACTGTTACTTTAAAGTTGGTGTCTTTGTGTTTTATATTATGGATTTTTCTTTGTGATGTTGTGAAAGTAAAGTTCTTTAAACAATATCTTCAAAGTGCCTGAGGTTGCAAAGAAGGTTGTGTCTGAAGAAAAGGTTCCCATTTTTGTTCCTGAGGAAGAAGACGAGGAATTTATTCCAGAAGAAATTGTACCAGAAAAAGGTACATGATCTTTTCTTGCAAATCACTCATGCCATCTTTTGTGTTCATCAAAATTCATCTCTATTTCTTCTTCTAAGTTTTATGTAACTCTTATATATGTTTTGGGGGGAGTTTGTGGTCTTGTTCTAAGTTTTTGTCTTGTTTCCATGTTCACACTTTTACTGTTCCAAAAGCAATTTTAACACGTTTGCAAAATAATATCTTTAAAGAACCAGAGATTCCTAAGAAACCTGTTCCAAAGGAAAAAACGCCTGTGCCTCCACCTGAGAAACTGGAGCTTCCTCCAGCAAAAGGTGCATAAGTTAACAATGTGTTGCTATTCAGTGTCTCTGTTTAGTTTGTTTGTTATTTATGTTAGCTTTGTGTACCTGCTGCATTTCTGTATTGATATCTCAGAGTCAAATTCCTAGAACAAAACAAGCTCTAAAACTATTTGAGTTGCTCAAAAAGTCTGCCCATGGGTGTAAAATGTCTTTTGTTGAAATTTATGTTTCGTCTTTTAAAAATATATTCTTCAGATCAGTGCTTATTATGTCTCTTTGTACATGTTTTCTGTTCTCTTTCTCATACTATTGGTGGATGACATTCTTAAAATAAAATGTCTTTAAAGTGCCTGAGATGCCTAAGAAACCCATTCCTGAAGTGAAAGAACCTGTTCCTAAAAAGGTGCCAGCTCCATCAGCCAAAGGTACTGCAGATTGTAAATGCTGTTATGGTTAGCTGATAATATTCTTGATCCAAGAGTTGAGTTTAGCAAGGGACACTTTAGTATTTCTGTCCTGTATTGTATTTGTCACTATAGTATTTGTTTGTTTGTACATTTCTGCTCTGTTGTTCATAAACTTCTGGATTTCTGTCCATTTAAATATTGTGCAAAAGTACACTGAAGTTAGGTTTTATCTTTAAAGAACCCAAGGTGCCTAAGAAGGTTGCTCCTGAAGAGAAGGTGCTGGTTGCTCCCGCTGAAAAAGTGGAGGTTCCAGCTGCAAAAGGTATATGTCCTCCTTATAATTAATATTTATGCTAGGGATACCCTTGACCTTCTTCTTTCTAGCTTTTGTCTCTGTTGTACAAGATCTTTGTTTGTATTTATGTTTAAACTCTTAAATTTTCAATGTTTGTGTTGTTGAACCATAAAGCTCTGTTTCTTGTGCTTTTCTACTTACATTGCTCTAAGGTGATTTGTTGTGTTTAAATTCCTAAACCAAATCTGTATCTTTTAAGTCATGGAGGTGCGTAAAAGAGCTGTGGCAGAAGAGAAAGTGCAAGCTGTTGTGCCCAAACCCAAAGAACCGACACCAACCAAAGGTACAGGTATATTTCCTCTTATTTTTCCCAAAGATTTTTTTCCTCTTCATTCTAAAATCTTTTATAATATATATATCTTTTCTAATTTAATGTAACTTATGCTTGAGGTTGTCATGCATATTCTCTGTTTTTTGTCAATTATCTTGGCTAACTGTAAAAAAAAAAAAAATAATTGTCAGGTAGTAACAACAATACTGTTTCTAAAGTGCCCGAAGCACCCAAGAAACTTGTACGGAAAGAAAAAGTCCCTGCTCCTACACCTGTGGTGGAGAAGTATGAGTATGCCTATGAAGAATATGAGAAGTATGAGACATATGAAAGCATTGAAGAGTTTGAGAAGATCCAGGAAGCTGAAGAAATTGAGGCGTACGAGGAACCTGAAGAACCTGAGGGATATAAGGAAATTCTGGAACAGGAATATGAAGTGGAGGCTGAGGAGAAAGATGTCTATGAACAGTATGAGTTTAAGGAGAAGGAAGAGATCTATGAGAAATATGAGGAGGTATATGAGGAGGCTTATGAGACCAAACCAGCTATAGGTAAATCAAGTCATGACTTCTTTGTTCTTATATTGTGGTGAGTTTTCAGTTGCTGCTTAAGCTTCCTATGGGTGTTTATTTCTATTTTGCCTTGTTTGTAGTCCTATGTGTGTCTGTTGCTGGTAATGATAAATCCATTCAAAGTTTGTCTCTATCCTAGTGCTTCCTAAGGAATTCCCTTCTCTGTAAAATGGGAGGGGTCCCTATCTGACTGCCCAAGAGCAAACTAGCAGATATATAGCCCAAGCAGAGAAAATGTTAATCTTCTGATGTCATTCAGTTTCAACCTGAAATATTTTTTATGCATTAAAATTTAATTCTTTTGTCCAGTTCGGCTCCTTTGAGTTATAAAGATATTAAGACTCATGTAGAATCTTCTTTCCCATAATTTAATTTATGATGATAGGATCCCTCACACCAAACAGAAAGTGCATCTACAATGTACCAAATAGATGTACAAAAGATGAAATCTTATTTAATTACTCAAGAATTCTGAGATGACTGCTCCCTTTTTTCTGCATGAATTATGAGATGGCTCCTCTACAAATGAGTGATTGCTCTGCTTGCTGTCTTTATGTCTGTTTCTTCATAAATAACTTATAATCCATAATGACATATTTTTAAAGTGCCTGAGTTGCCCAAAAGACCTCTGCCAGAAGAAAAAGTACCTGCTCTTAAAAGAGAAGCTCCACCAGCTAAAGGTACATCATCCATCAGATAAATTTGAAAACACAGCCTTCTGCATGAGTCTCTGAATCCTCAAATCCAGTACTTTACCTACTGCTAGACTCTTAGCTTTCTTTCACAGTACTGTTAAAGACAGATTATTAAAAAAAAATTCTTTAACAAAACAAAAATCAAACAAATTACTTCCTGGAGTCAAAGGGAATGAAGTTAGTACCTTAATTTATTTTTTGCCATCACAATGATATTTTAAAGCTAATGGTTAAAACTCTACCTAAAAACTTAGAACTTTTTTTAACCTAACAGTGTGCTGAAGTGTGTGCTATCTTAATAGGTATTCTCTGTATCAGGCTTTATGAAACATAAGTGTCATGAATAGCAATTGTCAGCGAGTGCTAGAGAAGTTACTGCACTAGTCCAGAGCTCTGTAATTTTCTGTTCATAGCTCTAAATTTGCCAGGAATTCATTTTGTGCTAACTTCTATTGTTATTTCTCATATGAATTGTCAGAATGAAATCAGAGGGAAAAGGTGGATCAGTCTGCTTGTTTGTTTTTACAGAAAAGCTTGGAGTTATTTGATAGGAAATTGCAACCTTACCGTATTCCCAGCTGCCATTAATTAGAGCTGATAGTACATGAAACCTAATTGTTAAGGCTTATCCCTTATTCAAAATTTATGCAACACCAGCAGTGTTTTTCTTTCACTGAATATTGAAACTAGCTGCATTAATCCAAGCAAAACAGATAGGTGGCCTCTTTTATATAACATGTATTTATGTATTTGAGAAATATTTTTGTGTTTTGCTAAGTTTTCTGACTCTTTGCATTGTTTGCTTTTTGTTGAACTTCTATTCTTACATAATACTCATATTGCAAATGTTCTTAAAAAAACTACCAATGTCTTTAAAGTGCCAGCAGTGCCGAAGAAACCTGTTCCAAAAGAGAAAGTACCACCTGCTGTTCCTAAAAAGGAAGCACCTCCGCCAGCTAAAGGTATACTTCCTCTTCATTGTCCTTGTGAAACATGAACTCTAATTTCAGTCTTTTGTCCTCATTATTTGTTGAGAAACACGTGCATGTTTTATGTCCCCACGGTGGGTCTTTTTTCATTTGTTTGTCATTGAGTGTTTTTTGCCTGTTGGTTTCAAGTCATTTGTTGAAAACATGTTAGAGTCGCTTAAAAAATGTGTGTTCTGTCATTAACTTGCACATGTAAAAAAGTCCAGAAAGAAATAATATCTTTATTTTTTCTGGAAGGGAATCTTTCAAGAATGTATTTTGTAATATGTTATTCTTCTGTCTAATCTTCAAAACTAACATAAATGTTCTTTCAGGAAGGATTTAATACTTTGATGTTTCAAGATTCTTCCTTGTTAGACTTGCTCTTCTTCTTTCTAACTTCTTTCAAGTAGCTTTGAAAGCCCTAAAAGTAAATTATATCTTAAAGGGCCAGATGATTTCAAAAGACCTGTCCCTGAAGAAAAGAAACCTACACGTACACCTGAAATAGAAGTTCCACCAAAGAAAGGTAAAGGAGACTTTGATATGAGATTATATGGAAAGGAAATATTTGTGCCATTTTTTCCCAGCTAACATCACTAAAACTTGTCATGTTCTTTACACCAGTGCAGTCTCTAAGTGGAGATTGAAATCTCAGTGATAAATCCCAAACTCTGGGGCAAACATTTCAAATATGTGCTAGACAGTAAATCACTGAATTATGAATGAAAACACGCTGAGGAAGTATTGCTCCTTACAACACCAGTATGTAAAGCTTCAGTGCTTTTCTGTTTATAATATAGTTGTGAATTTAGTTTAAACTGGGGTTTTGATCCCAATACACAGGTCATGATATTGGTTAAGAAGCAATAGGGCAAGAGCCAGTAAGTTAAAGCTATCAAAGCTGTTACACCAGCCAGAAGGAAGAGCATGACAATGCAGTAAGGAAAGCAAATGTCTCACTCTTTGAGAGCTGAAATCATAGATTTCTTCATATAGGTCATTGTTCCAGGATGGCAGTTCTAGAACTGTATCATACTTAATTCTTGAAAAGTTTCCAAGACCTCAAAATGGCTTAGTTTTCTGGGTTTATTTCTGTTTGGGATATTAAAAGTTGAAAATTACTTTGAAGTTACTAAAAAAAGCTAATATCTTTGAAGTTCCTGAGTTTCGTAAGAGAGCTGTCCTTGAAGAGAAAGTACCCACCATTATCCCTAGAGAAGAGGAGCCTCCTTTTTATGAAGGTACATCAATTACTCATCTACCAAATAGGAAATTGAAGAGAATATATCAAGTCATGCTCTATATTATTCTGTAAAATATGAACTAATTTTAATTCATTTTTAAAGCTATTTAAAAGAAGCTTATATCCATATCTTTCAGACCATCTATGTCCACAGATTTAGATAAAATTCAGCATTTTAAAATCTTTAAATTTAAAACCTTACACTAAATGTAAAAATGGAATTTAGCATTTTAAAAATGCTATACTTTTTTCCTTTAATAATGAGGAAAAGATACATAAATAAGAGAGATTAAGTTTCTGATTCAGGAAGCACTTGAGTCACACTGAAGCAAAGAAATGAACTTAAGTAGACAGTGGTTTAAGAACCATCCTGAGCAACACCTAATTTTTGAGTTGCAATGGAGATAGTCAACTCCAAATGAAGACATTAAAAAATTCAGTTACAAATTCTATCTAATACACAGAACTAAGAAACTAGAAAATAAAATTAAATACTTCTGTAAACATATATTTTACTAATTGGAAATGGTAATTTTTAGCAGTAGTAAGTCAATGATCAGGCTGAAAGATATTTAAATAACTTCTGCTCAAACAGCTCTATGTCCATATGCATTTCTGCATGTTTTTATTTTGTCTTTCTACTCCTGTCTTGTAACTAATATTAAAATATGTAAAATAAACTAATATCTTTAAAGAACCTGAAGGTTATGAAGAAGTTCCAACAGAAGAAAAGATGCCTTTTATTACTCCTAGTGAACCAGAAGCTCCAGCAGCTAAAGGTAAACCAACTCTTCAAGTAATCTGTAAACCAACGCATTCCTACAAATTGTTCATCTTCATCATTCCACCTGTGTGCTAATCTGTTATTTAATGTTTTCATTCTAATGTTTCCTTAGAAGCTATGTGTCTGTCATTGCTTCTTTGCTACTTACGCTTTGTGTATTGTAATGTTCTTTAAAAAAATTAATATCTTTGAAGTATCTGCAGTGACAAAGAAAACTGTCGCACTTAAGAAAATACCTGCTGCTGTACCTACAGAAGAAGCTCCTCCAGCTAAAGGTACATTACCTCCAAATTAACCCTCTCTAACCTCTTATGAAAGTCAGATACCAAGTGAGAAACCCAGCTTGCTTGTTTTCCTTAAACAACACAACCAGCTGCTAGAGACACTTTAGAGTTGTTGGGTTTTTTTCCTATGAGTAATTGCTTAAACAGATTTATACATTCTGCATCAACAATTTAAAATTTAGGAAGACTAAATTAGACACAGAAATTTAGTAGGCAAGAAAGTCAGGGATTAGTCTTATATCTTTTTGACTTCATGTCTCATGTTCTACTTCTCAAAATACTTTCTCTGACAATATATTGGAAAAAATCTAAAAGGCTGTGAGAGAAGCTTATTTGCAAAAGGACTCTTTGTAGTCATATCAAGGGCTTAAAGAAAGTCAAGATTAAGGTACAACTTTAAATCAGGACAAAATAAAAAGCCACAAAATTTTTAATAGAAACATAATTTTGTTACATGATTCCAGAATTGAAGAGCTCTATACATGATGGAAGCCTAAAAAATCGTTATTTGAACTGGATTTTTGCCTTGCTTTTATGGGTAATTTTTAAATTTCAAAAAAGAAAACTCTTTTTAGAGCCAAAACTCCTTAAATACACACATACACATGCAGACAAAAACATCCTACCAACTAACAAACAAAACCAGGAAAGACAAGCAAAAACCCAAACATAAAAAACCCCTACATCTTTTCAGAGAAGAGCATATTCAGAACCATAAATACTAGAAGTTAGAAAGTGGTTAGACTCCAGAAAGTGAAATTGTTAAGTTTTATTCATATCTCAATACCACATATTTTTCCTATTGTTTTAGTAGATTTTTTTTTTTTTACAAAACTGTATTACTTATTTCATAATGCAAATTTCTAAAATAAACCAATATTTTTAAGTTCCTGAAGTACGAAAGAAAGCTGTCCACAAAGAAAAAATACCTCCTGCTCTACCTAAAGAAGAACCTTCACACCTTACAGGTATAAGAAATTTTAGGAATTATTTGAAGAATAAAAAACATGTTTTCATATGTAAATTATTTTGAGAGCATTCTGTTTACCATGAACTTGAATTTACTTAATGGCTTTGGTTACTTGCAACAGTAAAAAGTAATTTAAAGAATTATCGCCTGTAGTTGTTCTTAAGTGCTACTTAAGATCAGCCCAAAGGGGGAAAAAATAAAGAAAAAGTGACAGAACTGAGACAGACAGGGCCTATCTCTGCACTCACGGTAGTAGCTCAGTTTAGGACACATCACACATCTTCCTTCTGACAAACTGCAGAGGTCAGGTCAGTGTAGAATGTCAGGGGTTTTTCATCCCTTTTTTGAAAGCATCCCAATTTTGTGCATGGATATAAAATAGACCTGTATGTCTTCAGAGGAGCATGAATATTTGATTATATTTGTTATTTATCTAACATGTTGTCTTGTTTTCCAAAGATGCTCTAAGTTAATTTAAGTGTTTAAACTAATATCTTTCAAGTGCATGAAGTTTATGAGGAGATTCACATAGAAGAAGAAATTTCTACTGTTCATAGGAAAGAGGAGGCTCCACCATCTAGAGGTATATGACTTCTTCATCACCTCTTCCTACAATTTGCTAAGTCTTGAACTCCAGGAAAATTGAATTGTTCATGTTTGTGTTTTAGTCCTTGTTCAGCATAATTCATATTTGTATTTATTCTTTCTGTACCTTACTTATATGAAAAATTTAAAATTTTTTCATGACATGTCTTTCTCTCATTAAATTGAACTAATATCTTTAAAGTGCCTGCAGCCATTAGGAAAGCTGTTCCAGAAGAAAAAGTACCTATTGCTATGCCTAAAAAACCAGAACCTACTCCTGTGCCTAAAAGACCAGAATCTCCACTGTCTAAAGGTACTTTGATAGTCTGGTAGAACTGAGGTCTTTCACTCATAAACACCTTTACTTTTTTACTCTTTCTTACATAGTTTCTGATTTAATAGTTCAGATTTGTGGTGTTTATGTTGTATATGTCCCATTTTCTGTTTCTTAAGTTGTGTTTAAGTCATCAAATCAAAATCAGTAAATAGCTTTCAAGTGTCTGAATTGCCCAAAAAAAGTATTCCTGAAGAAAAACTCTGCCTAAAAAACCAGAAGCTGCCAAAGGTATAGGTCAGCATATCCTTTAATTATTTTTCTACAAGTTCCTTCTGTCCCGTGTACTGTTGTTGTCAAAGCATTAAAGATTAGTTGAGTTGGTCTATTTATTCCACCCAAGAATAACCCAGAAATTGTATCAGAAGCCAGTAAAAGGGACTAGAAATAAGGAAAGCTCCAGCCATGTTAACACACAGTGAGATTTACAGAACGTTTTCACTTTATGGGTACAGCCTCAGAAATTTGATCATACACTAGCAAGAAGTACATCCTATCCCTCTGTTTCACATTGCTCATGTTAAATTTAGGGGTCAATTTATTTCATTTTGAATGGAAATAGAATTTGCACAGAAACCAGCTGTTACAATTCATTCAGGTGTTTTAAAATCTGTCTGAACTAGCAGTTTGAGTGGCATTAACAACTGTCAAGCAGCACAGCTTATCCCCCCCTAGTCATTATCACACAGGACTGCCAAAAGGCATTCATTCAAAAGGCATTTCATTGAAGTTCGACTTTTGCCAAGACTTTTTTTCATCTTTATGGGGAGCATAGCAAATCCAAAACCGCTTGACAACAGCTCCCAGGCAAAGTCACTTCCAACTTATTCTTTGCCAGAGGGGTAGAACCATGAAGGCTTCTCAGAAGTTGTAACAGTTGTCAAAGCACCCTTATCCATCTGCTTATTTTGTCACATCCTTGTATATCTATGTGTTTTGTCTTATGTCTCTGTATTGAATGTTTAATTTTTGTAATTTTAAAAACTACACTAATATCTTTAAAGTGTACAAGGTACCTAAGAAATCAGTAAATATTGTTATACCCAAAAAAACAAGGGTAACACTACCTAATGTCAATAATAGTGTCTTTCGGAGGAGATTTTTCTGTTGAGCATTAGAGTTTACAGCAAAACTAATTTATCAAAATCCTATTAGTATGTAATAGTATATAACACTTTTTGCATTATATCTCTCTTTTTATATCTTTCCTTCTGATATGCTTCTTGTGATCATCTTTCTTCTTTACACTGTACATATTCGAAATGCTTTAATTTTAATTTTAAAAAATGAATGCTGTTTTCTTTAAAGTGCCAGAGGTGCCCAAGAAAATTCCAGAAGAGAAAGTGCCCACTGCTGTTCCTAAAAAACCAGAACCACCACCAGCCAAAGGTATGTTGCACTACAGAAAACTAAAATTTGGAAGAGAAAAAACACCTCTATCTTGATTGTGCAGATTAGTTATCTGATTGCTTGTTTGTGTTTTCCTGTTACTTTTACTTTCTGTGCCCATATAGTTCTATATATGTTACTGTGTTTAAAATTCTTCTGTTTTGAATCATAGTTGTAATCTGTACCAGTGTCTTAGAAATATTGATGTAGCTGATGAGCAGAAATGAGAATGACACTTGAGAACAAAAGCAGAAATTTTAAAAGAAGAGGAGAAAAGGTGGCCTCTGTGATGTGAAATAGTCCTGACTGACAATGAAAAACTAGCCCCAAAAGAGAACACAGAATGAGTGATAGAGATGTCTAATATAGAAGAAAACTTGTGCTTGGAGACAAAAAAAATTTATATCAAAAAGTCCTCACACACAGAAGAATGTGACAAGAAATACAAAATAGACAGTATCAGTCTCAGTCAAATAGGGATTTGGGAGATATTTGAATAAATTGGAAAAATAATTTGATGTAGAAGAAGAAACTCCAGAAGACTCTGAGGTGTTTCTTGAGGCTTTACAGGGACATAAAATAACATTAATACAATAAACAAGTAAAATCTGAGGTTTTATTAAGAAACTTGGCAATTTCTACTGAAAAGTTTTGAACATAACTGTAATATAATAAATGAAAATAATCTGTTTCCTAAAGCTCCTGAAGGACCCAAGGAAGTAGGTGTAGAACAAAAAAAATCAAAGTTGCTGTGCCTAAAACCTTAGAAGTTATACCAGCTAAAGTTACCTGACATTATGACAAAAGTACAGAATAAAAAAAAATATTCTTTTCTTGTTTTAACAATATGGAAGAGACTATTCAAGACCTCTGTTAGCATTTTCTTCTGTTATGAAAAGTTTTTCAAGGGAGAAAATGTTCTGAGTGAAAAAAAATCGATCTTTGTAGTTGGTGTTTCCACTAAGAGTGATCTGCTGTTATGCTTTATTGTTTATGAAATCCTGACAGTATAAAGTTATTGCTATTGTTCAAGTGTCTGAGGTACCAAAGGAACTGGTCCCAGAAGAGGTTTAAGTTGAAGTATCAAAGAAACCAGAACATCCAGTGACTAAAATTTTATGCAAGGAAAGAAAACCCCTTAATTTTCTACGGTACCATTTTAACATCATCGTAATTTACTTTTACTATTAATGTCTTATAAAATATTTTTGTTGTTTCAGTTGTACTTTTTTGCATCTGTAACTCAGTGAGGCAGCAGAGAGAGTTTTCTCAAGGGAAAGGAGAAATTACATATTCACATCTAAAACCCCTCATGCTTTCGAAGTCCCTGAGATTTACTTTTTCTTAAAGTCTGAACACTGCAGACATACATAAATAAAATTAATTGCTTTTTTTAAAGTGCCTGAGGTGCCCAAGAAAGTGATTTCAGAAGAAAAAGTACACATTGAAGTTCCTAAAAAGCCAGAACCTCCACCAGCCAAAGGTATATGTTCAACAGTAATAAGACTGCACACACATATTTCTCTAAATAATATCTTTCCTTCATTTGTGCTATTAGCTTTTTTGTATATTTTGTATAATATATTTATAAGTGTTACAGACTGTGTGGTCTTCTTCCTTTGTGAATAGCTCCCAGTGACAGGGGCTACTAATAGTGTGCATAAAGCAATATGGAAAAAAAACCCAACAACCAAATGGTTTATAAGGGTGGGCTTTTTTCTGATGCTGTTAGTTATTTTTTTTACTTTGGAGCTATTATTGTCTTTTTAATTCCTATTCTTCAAATTCCTGAAATTAAAACAAACAAATATCTTTAAAGAACCCGAGGTGCCGAAGAAAGTTGTTCCAGAAAAGAAGATACCTGTGCAAAAAGTACCAGAACCAGTGGTTGTCCCAGAACCAGAGGCTGCACCTGAAGAACCAGAACTCCCACCAAAGGAAGGTAAATCTCAACACTAATAAAATAACAAAAGTAATGCTTTTCCTCTTCTCTTTAACATTGTGATTATCCAAGCCTTCTGTTTCCTGAAATTCTAAATTCTGCTTGTTCTATTTATCTACATATATGTGTGAAATAGGCACACATGGTTGTTTTTGAAAAAAAATAGTGGCAAATATTAGATGTCTGAATTGCCTGTATGTTGTTCTTACTGTTATTCTACTTCAGTTCTTCTTACTATTTTTGCATATTCTTGCTATTCTACCTGCTTGGGTTCAAGAAAACCACCACAGCTAATAACTTAAAAGTTTATAATAGGAGAAGAAAACAAAGTACCCATTCTAGTAGCTAAGAGGAGAAGTTATAAATTAATTGAAATACCAGAAGTTCCACCAAGAAAAACTAGATGCCATCGCTGCTGTTTCTTGAAAGAATCTTCAGCTTATTGCCTGCAGTGCAATTAATATCTTTTGTCCTGTCCATTCTGTTGACAATTATCATGGCTTTTACTTATATCTTAAGTTACATTATTAGTGCATGTGTGTATTTCCATATGAGAGCATGAGTTTTGTGAGGCGGAGTGCGTGTATGTAGTCTTGAGAGAAAAGAGAGAAAAGCCAAAATGTCCTATATGCATAATTTAAAAGGCCAGCATAAATTATTGATACGTGATACGTTTTTAATATTTTCATTACAACTGTCTTCTTATGTTTTATGGTTGGCTTAATTTTGGTATGATTGTCAGTGCAGCTGTTAAATTTAGAACTAATATCTTTTATGTACATAAAGCAACCAAGACAACTTTGCCAGGAAAGAAGGTACCTGTTCCAGTTCCTCAAGAACCAAAGTCCATTGCAGGGCACACAAAACCAAAGCCTCAAGAGGTGGAACTGCAAAAACCAGAAGTGGCTGGAGTGGCCCGAAAACTAAAGTCTGTAAAGGCAGTTCAAAAACTAGAGCATGTTCTGGCATCTGAGCAGCCTGAGACTGTTTTGACACTCCAAAAATCAGAATCTGTTGTAACATCCCAAAAAACAGAGCATATTGTGGTGCCTGAGAAATCAGAGTTTGTTGTGGCACCTGAAGAACCCAAGCCTGATGTAGAACCCCAAAAACCAAAACATGGCGTGATGCCCCCAAAACAGAAGCCCATTGTGGAATCCCAAAAACTAGCACATGTGGTAGTGCTTGAGGAACAAGAGTTTGTTGTGGCACCTGAAGAACCCAAGCCTGATGTAGAACCCCAAAAACTAAAATATGGCGTGATGCCCCCAAAACAGAAGCCCACTGTAGAATTCCAAAAACTAGCACATGTGGTAGTGCTTGAGGAACAAGAGTTTGTTGTGGCACCTGAAGAACCCAAGCCTGATGTAGAACCCCAAAAACTAAAATATGGTGTGATGCCCCCAATACAGAAGCCCATTGTAGAATTCCAAAAAGTAGCACATGCGGAAGTGCTTGAGGAACAAGAATTTGTTGTGGCACCTGAGGAACCCCAGCCTGGTGTGCCACCCCAAAAACCAAAATATGGCGTGATGCCCCCAAAACAAAAGCCCATTGTGGAGTCCCAAGAACTAGCACAGGTTGTAGTCCTTGAGGAACAAGAGTTTGTTGTGGCGCCTGAGGAACCCCAGCCTGATGTGCCACCCCAAAAGTTAAAATATGGCACGATGCCCCAAATACAGAAGCCCATTGTGGAATACCAAAAAGTAGCACAGGTTGTAGTGCTTGAGAAACAAGAATTTGTTGTGGCACCTGAGGAACCCCAGCCTGATGTGCCACCCCAAAAGTTAAAACATGCTGTGATGCCCCCAATACAGAAGCCCATTTCAGAATCCCAGAAACCAGAAGTATTTATGGCCCCTGAGGAATATGAGATCATAGTAGTGTCTGAGGAGTCAGAGACAGTTGAATCAACCCAAAAATCAAAGCGTGTTGTGGAGCCCCCCAAAACAAAACGTTTTGAGCAGTCCCAAAAAACAGCATTTGTAGCAGCTGAAGAAACAGACTTTGCTGCAGATTTCCAGAAGTCAAGGTCTACTACAGTGTCCAGAAAATCAAAGTCTTTTGTGCCAGAACCAGTCATGGTGTCTGAGGAACCAGAAACTGTTTTAGAACCCCAAAACCTGGAGCCTTCTACATCGCTTCGAAAACCAAAGTCTGAACTGGCATCCAAAGAACCAGAGTTCATTTTGGCACCGGAGGAGCCACCAGCAGCCAAGGTGGCCGAAAAGGAGCAGCATGTTGCTGCTAAAAAGCGAGCAGCTGCACAGCCTAAAGGTATCTCTTGTGCGTAGGATCTCTTTTCCTTCTCTTGAGTATGTTGTTTCACTGCTCATTTTAAACTTAATATAGATAACTAATAGATACTAATATCTTCAAAGAACATGCAATGCCCAAAAAGTTGTCCCAGAAAAGAAAATTTCTCTAGCTATTCTTGAAAAACCAAAACCTACATCAGTCAAAGCTATGTCATGAATACATGACAATGACACTGAATCTTCTTTTAAGTATTATTTTAACCTCTTTTGTTCTGTCTGTCGTTTTTGATCTGTTTTAAATGATGCTTGCTAAACAAATTACACTGAGTATGAGTGTGTGTTAGATTATTACTTCAAAACATGTCTGTTGTCCTCTGTGTTTCAGTCTTTGTATTTAATACTGAGTTTTATTTTAACTGTAAAATTAAATGCACTAATATCTTTGAAGTGCCTGAGATGGCTGAGAGGACTGCTCCAAAGAAGAAAGTGCCCCCTGCCCTATCTAAAAAACCAGAAGCTTCACTTCCTAAAGGTACATGTCACCACTATTATCATCATAAGAAAGGGTGTTATTTGCTTTTTAGGGTTCTTTTTAAAAATCTCAGTTTTAACTGATGTTTCACTGTATACACTGATATCAAAAATGTGGGAGAGATGTGCCAAATATGAATTGCTGTGCAGGGGTGTGAAATGTTTCCTCAACTTAAATCATCCAAACTTTTGTTATACTGGGTTTATGTCGTATCAAGAAGATATGATAAATTCCTGTTTATCCTCCTACCAAAAAAACCACCAAAATCTTAGAGATTCAAGAGAAGGAGTTCATAAACAGTTGCTCACATTATTAGTAGGGATGGTTTCATACATGGTTTAGTGGGACTGAGCAGTTTTATATTTACAGTTAGATTTGATGATTCTAAAATTTTTTTCCAACCTAGATGATTCTATGAGGAAAGACAAAATAGACAGAAAATAAAGGTTTCAGCAGAGAGTAGCAGTTTTAGTACATAGAGCAAAATAATCACAAACATCTCTATGTATCTGTATCACAGAGCAGAATATTTTCTTTAAACTGTTATTTTTAATTTGTCTGTATTCTGGTCATACATTAACAGTTTCGACTATGGGATTTGCAAAGGTTTTACTTTGTATAAGTAGCATGAAAGAGCTGTAAAGTTACTGTCAGCATGTAAGACAGTGAACCTTTAAAAAGGCATTTATAATTGAAATACAAAAAAATGCATGTAAGACAGTGAACCTTTAAAAAGGCATTTATAATTGAAATACAAAAAAATTGCTAAAGACACACTAAACCGAAGACACTATCCATTGATGCAGCGATGCATCATTTAATTTCCTTTAGAATTCCCAAGCTCTGGCCAGAAAAAACATTCCCTCTGCCATCAGATTCTCTCCATCTAAAATACAAAGACTTTCCTCAAGTGAAGTACCACCACAAAGTGATGATATAATTATTTAAATAATTGAAATTAATAGAAGAGGAAACAGTTACAAGCAACATCTAGTGATTACAATGAAAGCCAAAGGATGACAGAGGGAAAATATGAGAAGTTAAAGAAGAGGAGAAATATGCAGAGATAGAAAAAGAAAGGTGAAATCACCCTGAAGGATAAAAATAGTAACAGTAAAGTGGCAAGCAAAAATATGACAATGACTGCATAAACCAGCACAGAACACAGTGATTTATTAAACATGGCTGGTAGACAAATACATTAGGATTCTACAAATAAATCTCTGATCATCTGTTACTAAGAAGCCAGATATATTTTCTACATTTCCTGCTCTGTGGGGAGGGCTGAGAGCAGCACTTTGTCATTTTGTACCTCTGTGTGTCTGCACACTCCCCACAAGACAGGGTGGGGTTTTCCAGAAACCCCCATCTCAATCAGCCCGTGCTGGGGCTCTTTGTAGCTTGTCCGCCTTAAGCAGGAGTGATTGGCTGAAGAGGACACCCTGGTAGTCAGTCAAGTGTTCACTTTCCTCTTTTCCTGCTTTGCCGTCTGCGTGTTTGCTGACCTTAAGCTCAGTCAAGTAAACGGATCTAATTTCTTTAAAGTGCCTGAGGTGGTTGAGGCCGAAGAGGCAGAAGAAGAGGTGCCAGTGGTCGTTCCCCCAAAACCTGTGGCTGTGCCCAAGAAACCTGTTGCTGTGCCAAAGAAACCAGAACCTCCTGAAGCTAAAGGTATATCTTCTGGAGAGAGATGCTTTTTATTTTACTTAATTGATTAATATTTTCATTTCTTATCCCTTGTTTTTGTAAGATTTGTTGTTTGTCATTGACCCTTAACCACTGCTGGACCAATCTTTGTGCATGACTAACCAACCAGTCACTAGAGGAACTTTACAGTGCTTAGAAATATCTAAACTCTTGGATTGAGTGTTATGATCTTTCCTACTAATTGAACTGTGAAATTAAGATGAAATAATATCTTTAAAGTGCTCAAGGTGCCCAAGAAGGCTGTCCCACAAGAAAAGATGCCTGTTGCAGTACCCAAACAACCAGAACCATCACCAGCCAAAGGTACAGGTCACTGTTAGTATCATCATTAGAAAAAAAACCATGCTCTTCTGGACTTCAGTTTAACTAATTTTTTGATGGTGATCAGAGATAGGTACCTAAGAAATATGAAGTGCAATGTGGAGTGTCAAAAACATGGCAGAAAAACTAGATTTAATTCCTTGAAAAAATGTCTCTAGCTTACTGAACTTTTAGTAAAGTTTAAGAATAAATATTTACCGACTGTTTAGTTTAAACAGAGTAGCATGTTTTTCTGAAGAAGAACCTGAAAATAAGTCTTTAATTTTAAAAAACAAAACATTGCATCCCTGAAGCTTCTAATAGATGACAGCCACAGAATAAGTTCTCTTCCTCTTTAAAAGTAGGGTAATGCCAATGTCCATGAGGAAATTTTGCTAGCAAAGGACTGGATATGCCTAGTGATTTTCTTATTAACACATTAACAGAACCAATAAGAGAAGAGAGAAGTACAAGTATATCTATTTCTAAAGTAGAATTTAAATGAAAGGAACTGAGGAACATAGAAGGTTAAGAGGTGGTGTAAAAATGGAAGTAATTGATAGAAAAAAAAAAAAAGTTGGCGATGAAAAATCAAATGCTATTTCCTAAAAAAAAAAAAGGTACAATGACAAATTAGTCGTGAATTATATTGGCTGATACACAAACGCACTAGAATTGCACAAAAAATCTCTGATCATCTGTTACTAAGAAGCCAGATATATTTTCGCTCTGTGGGAGGGAATTTTGTCATTTTGTCTGTGTGCATAACATTAAGCTCAGTCAAGTAAACAGATCTAATATCTTTAAAGTCCCTGAGGTGATTGAGGAGGAAGAGGCAGAAGAGGAGGCGCCACTGGTTATTCCTCAAAAGCCTGTGGCTGTGCCCAAGAAACCTGTGGCTGTGACAAAGAAACCTGTGGCTGTGCCAGAGAAACCTGTGGCTGTGCCCAAGAAACCAGAGCCTGTTGCTGTGCCAAAAGTACCAGAACCGGTGCCTGTCCTAAGAAAACCTAAAGTTCCTTCAGTTAAAGGTACATACATCAGTGACTGAGGATCTCCTTATCTCTCTTTGAATACCTTTCCCCTTATTTCACTGATGTTATACATTGCCAGATGAATAATCTGCTGCTTAAATGTATTATTCTTCATGTTTTGTATGCCCTCCTCTTTTTAGTCGTTGCACTTTTCGCTGTTATTTTTATATATGTGTCTTAATATACAAAAAAATGAAAATTTACTAATATCTTTAAAGAAACTGAAGTGCAAGAGAGACCTGTCCCAGAAGAGAAAGTGCCTCTTACAACACCTAAAAAGTCACAATTAGAAAAACCAGAGCTTCCTCCAACCAAAGGTACATATTGCCAGGAGGCACCTTCTGATAATAAATGCTTTCTATACTCTTCTTTATTCGTGACTGAGTCTATAAAGTTTGTCCATTGAATGTAGCCTACCTTGAGAAAGACTGGAGCACAGTCTTTCATGGTTATGGCCACTGTTTCTGTGATTTTATGTCTGCTAGATGTCTTTGTCTTTTTATGTTTCATATGTACATTTATGCACACAAAAATAAAATAAACTTGATTTTTTTTTTAAGTGTCTGAGGTACCCAAGAAACCTGTCTCAGAGGAGAAAGTACCTGTTGCTATTCCTAAAATACCTGAATCACTACCAAGTGAAGGTTTGTGCTACCATAGATTTTACTCTCAGAACAATCCTTTGTCCTGTTCTTCTGAGTATAAGCTTTAAAGTAGACATTTTCCTTTTTCTCCCATTGTGACATTTGTAAGTTGTTTACTTCATATTTTATATTATACTATTCAGTAGTTATATTTCATGTATATCTGTTAGTATATCTTCATATTTGGAAGTAAAATATATGCTCCTGCACAGGATATGTCTCTTTTTAATATTAAATTCTCACTAAATTGGAGTCTCTCAAAAGTTAGTATCTATGTTGCTGTTATAATCTTGAATTAATTAAGAGCATTGACATTTTTATTTTTTCTTGTCATGATGACTCATCCACAAATTTAATGTTTAGTTTATATTGTGTACATAAAAAATTCTGTCCTTCACACAATCTTCACTTATGCTTAGAAAGAAAGTGGTTTTCAAAATCTTGCATTAGCTGCAAAGGTAACAGATACTGAATGATTACTTATCCTAACATGTATTTGTCTGTGTCTGTTGAAGTAGATTTGCTTTTAGTTATATCTGTATAACTGTTCATGTGAAACACTCTTATAATTGAAAACTTACACCAGTTGTCAATATTCCTTAAAGAATACGAAATCATAAAGGAGATTGAGCCCGAAGAAGCAGAAGAAATTCCGGTTGTAGAAGTTGAAGAAGCTTTACCAGTTGAAGGTATACAAAGTACTTCCCTAGAGGCTGCCACACATCTTTCTTTCATCATCATCATCATCATCATCATCATCATCGTGTGCAGATTTTTCTTGCTCTCTCATTTTTCACACATATGCCTGTGTCTTGTAGGTCACCCCTACATTGTAGGTCTTTCTGTGATTCTTCCATTGTTGTGTTCTGGAAAATATTTCTGATCATTTAACTCTAAGTACAACCTGAAGATTATTTAAAATACTTTCATTTTGTTTCTTGTCCACAAGAGTCTTCCCATCATTTGGTTTTCTACTTTTGTTCTCATGTTATTAACATGCTTTTTACAGTCAGCTTGGATATTTGTATTGTGTGCATGCCTTGAAGCAGTAACCTAAGGCTCTTTCATGCTCCTATTTAATTCAATGACATTTTTTCACTGGCTTCACTGGAAATGGAAAATGGTGGTCTTTAGGTTTGTACATTACTCTTCTCATAACCACCATCATAGGAAATTTATTCTAAATCTACTTAATGTTATTTAAAGTGCCGCAGCCTGAAAAGAAGATTCCTGAGAAGCGAAAACCACCACCACCACCTGCTCCAACAGAAGATATTAAACTGGCAAAAGATCTACTTAAAGGTATAATCATCTGAAGTCATAAATAATGGTGGAAACTCAATCTTTTAAAATTATACTGATGAACCTTGAAAAGCATGCTTTTAGGCTATAATTTTGTGTCTTTTTTATTTCTTTTCTAATAAACTATATTTTAATGGTGCGCCTCACTAATGCTCAGTCCATCACGATTTTTTATCAGAGTTTACATGGGTTCTTTTCAATAATTACAGGAAAAAAATATTAAAACCATTTCAATCAAGTTAACACATTCTTCTATACTTAACAATAATTCTTCTCTCTTTAACATATTCTTACAAATGAAAAGAATCCCCAGCAATAATTTGCTGGTGTTATGTGATCACGGGTTTCAGATCAGTTGTGCTTCCTACAGACCATCTGACTTCTTCTCAGCAGTTAATCAGCAAGGATCTTAGCTTTGCAGCTTTTGTCCTTCTTTTACGTCAATACTGTTAATAAGGTGTTCGGATTTTTTAGAAAACTCCTTTCTTTTTGGAGTCTAATATGTGTTGTAAAATTCAAATAATTTTCTTTAAAGCTCCTGAGGCAAGGAAGAAAGCTGTGGCTGCAAAACCTGGTGAGCCTCCGAAACTGGAACCTCCACCTGCTAAAGGTACCTAGGCAATATAAGAATCTAGCTTAAAATAAACCTCTCATGATCCCAAAGTTGTAGTTCTCAGTATCTTCTTGTTTAATTTGCTCAAATATGTCAAAACACTGTCTATGTTAGATTATGCTCAACACGCACCCCTATCTTGGGCATATACGTTTGTGTCATATTTATGTCCACTTTAATCGTACATCATGCAATCCATGAGATGTGAGAGACAGAAACACAGAAAAGTGAGAAAGTTTTTATGAGTTTTAGTAGGTGCTCACTTTGGTTTTCTGCTTAGCTAGAAATAAAAAATAAAATACTATTTAAATGTATACACCATTGTTTCAACATACTTAGTTTATTATTTTTCTGAAATGTAACATATTTTTGTGAGAGGACACTTTCTAGAGGAGGGAATGAATAATGTATTGGGCAAGCCACTTCACAGGTTATGCCTTTATAGTATTCATATGTACTGGAGTTTAAGATAAGCTAAGCAGTGGACATTCCTTCTTAATGCTGTTCCAATTTGGAGATTAAAGTAGATCCTTATGAATATCACCGGCAGACAGCTCTTATGAATAGATAAGTAACACAAGCCTGTAGTAAAAGAGGACAAGAAAATAAAAATGTTATGATGATGATTGTTCTTGAATACACAACCTTTATAGTTTTCTCAAACTATACTTCTGTTGATTTGTATGAAAACTTTCTCTTTTTACATAAGCTTAGATGACAGCTGTATGCAAATTATATAGAAAATATATTAAAACTATTGATTTCAATAGCAACAGTTTAACCTTTGATTTTAATATTCAGTAGTGGACTAGTATTTGATTTGTGTGTTTGGACATGTTAGTTGGTTTACTCTTACTGCTGTTATAAACCTATAATAAAATCTGGAATAATATTCTTTTAAGTGCCTGGACTTGTAAAGAAACCTCGCAAAATACTTCCTGAGCCTACTCCCCCACCAAAAGAAGAAGTTGTTTTGAAAAGAGGTATAGTATCTTGGCTCTGTTTTTAAAAACCCAGCATTTATGATCAGCATAAATCTATCTAATGTCTGTTTCTTGGGAAAAGCAGTTGTAGTTGCAGGGAGGAAGGGGTAGCCTGAAAGTCTCTCAGATGCAAAGGATCTGTAATGAAATAAGAGCAGAACAATGAACATCTAGTTCCCTGTCTCTCTGTCTCTCTCTGTTCTGTTTTCTTTATCTCTTAGTACTAGAGTTGAGAGTCTTCCACTGCCCACAATGTAAAGTTATTAAAGTTACATGTGTAGCCTACGTATTCTCTTTTGTGGTTTTCTTAAAAGTACCACACAGATCACAGAACCCCACGGAACCATTGGACATCAGTCCCATTCCCTGCAAAGTCTGGGGCATTCTGAATCATTCTGTACTCAACCGTTGCTTAGAAAAATGAAGCATTAATTCCAGTTCTCTTTGAAATACCACAGAGGGATGATTCGTGCTTGTGTACCTTGTACCTTCAAATTTCAGACAACATAATAAAATATTCCATTTTTCAGATGAGAGTGTCATTACATACCCAAGACGGAGAACTGAGAGGACAAAATCAAGTGAAATCAATAAAATGGAAAACAGACATTATATAAATTTGAGCTAGCCAAATACAATACTTGAGGATTTACATTAAAATTACATTTAAAAAAACATTAAAATCTTTTCTCTCAAATGGACTGCTCTTAAAAATATTTTAATATTTTTTCCTTAGATGACTTGAATTTTAAATTGCTTTCAGAATAGTATCTTGAATAGTTACAAAAATCTTCCATTTCTATTGAGCTATATATTTTATTTTCTGGTTTCTTTATGACTGATGCTTTTAATCTTTGTCTTGTTCACTGTCTTATTCTTTTGTTTGCCTGTGCTTTAAAAACTGAGATTTCTTTTCTTTTGAAGTTCTTAAAAAGAAACCTGAAGAGGAAGAACCTAAACCAGAAAAAGAGCCTAAACCAGAAGTTAAACCAGTACCTACACCAATAGAAAAAATTAAGAAACCTGAAGGTACTAGATTGCTATCAAATATATTTATTGAAAAATATATATATTTTTTAATCCCACTATTAAGTAGTGTTTTCTTAAGTTCAGGAATGAAACTGGTGTCTTGCTGGTGTCTGGTGTCTGATAATTTCCATTGGCCTAACTGTGCAATTTAAGTCTTGCCTGGATGCGCAACCAAGTTTGGCATTCATATTTGGGTCTGAATTCGGCATTTTGGGATTGTTTCTCAGTCTTCATTGTGTATAGCAAAGAGCTTTACAAGTATTTTATATAGCACTGATAGAAACATAACTACAGCAAAACAGCTAATCCAAGCATTCTTTTAGGTAACATTTTACAAATATGTATCCTTTTACCCATTTATAGTTTCTAATTATTCAAATCTTACTCTTAAAAAATGTATGTTGCTAAACCTTTTGAACATCTGAAACTGCTTATATGTAAAAATAATGAAAGCTTTTAAATGCACTTGAGGGTACTCTGTTTAGGGATTTAAGGTGTTTTAATATATGTTACAAAATAAAAATATTATTTTAAAGTCCCAGAAGTTCCTAAGAAGAAAACTGAGATACCTGCCATAAAAAAAGAGGAGAAACCTGTGCCTGAACCACCAAAAGGTACAGACGTGTGGTGCTCTTTTTCCTTATTGCAGCAACTAAACAATATTCAGTGCTGAATATTATGCTGTATTAACATAATGCATTACTGTCCTCCAGTCTGTCATGACTACTGTGTCCTCATTAACCATTTTGCTGTCTCCTGGATTTCTTGTTGTCTTTATTCTTCAATGCTTGAAAAAGTCATCTTTTTTCCATTGTTTGCAATCTTGCTTTACAAGAGTTAATCTCAAGGTAATTTCTTGCTTTTTGGCAAAATAAAATAGAAACCAAAAAATTCTGTATTCATTTAGCTCTCTCTGTGTTGTTTATCCTAACTTCTAATGCTCAATGTGTTTGCAAAAAAATATAAACTAACCTACTTGTAATTTCTGTGTTTGAAATGGCAGAAACTAAGCAAGCGTCTGTCCCAATTCCTGGGCCTGAACCTAAACCTGTAGTAGGTAAGAATTCTTTAGTTGTGAATACTGGTGAAGCCTTTCTTTTGTGTCTAGAATTTTCCATTTTGGGATTTCTTGCTAACAGAACAGTCACAGAATCATAGAATATCAGGTTGGAAGGTGACTTCAAGGGTAATCTGGTCCAACCTTTCTTGGCAAAAGCACAGCTTTGACTGCATAACTTGTGCGGCAGAATATTAACAGTGTCCACACAAAGGCCTTTAGAATTAAGAAGACTAGAACTTTCCTACCATCTACAAAACATTTTAAAGAATATAATACTTAAAGTAATGTATTAAAACTTTTTTCCCCCATGCAGCTGTAAAATCTCCAAAACCAGCTGAAGAACCCACTGTTACTGCTCCAGTGACAGCTCCAGTTGTTGGAAAGAAAGCAGGTATTTATATGTATTCTATGCTATTTAGAAGGTTTTTCTCTGACATACCTAAATACCTTCAGTATAAAAAAGAGGGAAGAGCTGTACAATAACTCATTCATTACAGGTATATTTGAGGTCCTGTTCAAGGATCTTGTTATTGTATGTACTGTCACCTAATTTAAAACAAAAACATCTCTGATATACTACGGAAAGCAATCTCTGCTCTTTTGTCTGGATGGTAATATGTGTGTCTTTATTTGTTGTCCTACTATGAAATTTGTGTATTCTGTTGTTTTCTTGATGTTCCTCGTATCCTGTTATATGTTATGTGAATGGCATTTTGTATTTTCTGTGTAGACAAAGAGAAGTTACACGTTTCTTAATAATTGTTGTGTTGTTTGGTTTCCTGCTTTTAATTTGTCATTGAAGCCCTGAGAAAAACTGACAGTGATGCTGAAGAATTAGAGTATTGCTACTTCTGTCTGCTATGCTTAGGACCCTGCTGTAAAAAAAAAAAAAAAAAAAAGAAAGAAAAAAAAAGAAAAAAAAAAAAAAAGAAAAAAGCAAGCTGGGATGGTTCAATTTCCTCTGAAACACTCTAAGCCTGTGCTCCACCAGCAGAGCTGATGTCCATTCTGCTCGCCCACCATTCAAAGGGCTTCATGTTGCAGCAGAGCTCAGGTCTTTGGTATTTGAGAAACCAGATCATTAAAGTTTCTTGGCCATTGATCTGGTGATGTAGTCTGCAGTGGCACAATTAACCTATTTTGTGTCAGTGACCAGATAGCTGTAATTTTCTGCTACTTTTAACCTACACTGGATTTAAACTGGAGGTCTAACGAGACATTACTAAGAGTGGTTTACTTAGGTTTTCTGTTCATGTGTGCTGTTCTTACCTTTCTTTGGTGGTTGTGTTTTAAGTTTCTGTTGTGTTGAGAAAAAGTGTTCTATGTTCATTTTATTTCAGGTATATCTGTAAAATTTGTCTTAAATATTGTGTTCCTGATTCTTATGGATTTTTACTCTCTAAATTGCCTATGAAACCTTTGTAGCTGCAGAAAAGCCTGATGCACCATCTGTACTAAAACACAGAGATAAAATGCCCTCAGTGGAAGAAGAAAAGCCTGAGTCAATTGTGTTGAAGAAAATTTCAGTTGAAAAAAGCTTTCATGTAAAAGAGAAAGTAAGTCCTAAGGAGACAGTTCCAGCCATAGAGCCACTTGAGTATAAAATCTCACTGGAAACAGCTGGTGGAATACTGAATTCAGAAACAGATGAGCAGGAGAAAGTATCTCTTAAATATTTTGTCCTGGCTTCTGAAGAAGAGGAGCCAGAAACGACACCTGTAGTTTCAGGAAAGACAACCCTTGCAGGTGAGAAATTAAAAGTTGAAATGGATCACATTGTTCACACAAAGGAGGAACTAGCACCAACTGATGAGGAAGTGAAATTGATTTCTGTAACATCTGAGCATGTGGAAAGAGGTTCTGGAGAAGAAAAGAAGGATGAAATTAAATTGCTTGTTCTTAGGGAAGATGCCATAGAGAAGGTCTCTGAAAAGTTTAGTGTTCTTCATGAAGGAAAGATTCCCAGCCACGAAAAAGAAGAAATTGAATCATCTTGTGTGCCTAAACCCAGAAAGCCAGATCAGCCTAGGGACCAGAAAGGACTTACAGGAAAAGAGAAAAAATCACAAAAAAGTTTGCAACCTGAAAAATTTCACATTAAGGATAAAACTTCATTTGTACAGGATATCATAGAGGCAGACATAGCTGAAACTCCTCAGCTAAGAAAGGAAAATGAGAGAGGAGGTTTTACTCCAGAGAAATATGAAGTTCCTCTTGGAGAATCCATGAAGGGACATGGCATACAAAGTAAAATTGAGAGGCTGAAGCAATCTGGTAGCACAGTACCAGAAGTTCCCATAGACAAGATTCTTAACAAAGAAGCAAAGAAAATGGGAGATTTTCAAGATGATGAGAAAGGTAAGAATCTGGATTTTGCATCAGCAGAAGTACCTTCCTTAGACCTGTCTGAGGAGGCTCAGCCAGGATTAAGAGAAGATTTTGACCTAGAACACCCCATTGAAGATGAGGAGGTTCCTGGTGAAAAATCTCACATAATCTTTAAGCCATCTGTTCTTAAGTCAGAAGTAGTAGAAATGAAAGCAAGAGAAAAATACTCTACAGAGAAAGAAGCTCATTATGAGGAGGGTTTAGGACAATTGTTGACTGAGAAAGCACTCCTAAGTGATAAAAAGACAGGCAAGAAGATTTTGCCAGAGAAGGAAGAAAAAACTATCTTCAGCACCCACTTAAAAAAAGCCAAAATTAGGCAGTCAAATACCCCTGAAAGTCTGACTGTGGAAAAAGAATTTGATACAGAGATTACAGGAGGAATGGAAAGTGAAGTTTCCACAGGAGAACATGAAAAGGGAATATCTGAATTAGTAAAGAAAGTTGCTATTCAGCCACCACAAAGTCAAGATGAAAAACAAATTCAAGAAGTTCATACCATTCAGGATGAACATAAAGAAACTCTGGCTAACAAAAGCAGAAAAGGTAAAATTGAAGAAAAACAATCTACAGAAGGTATATCAGATGAAAAAGTGTCACCTGAACATGGCATTGGAAAAAGCACACCTGGTACCATGGAAAAACAGAAGGGAAAGCTCATAGACAAAGTGTCATCCAGCAAAGGGATCCTTGCAGATGGAGAAGATACTTATTCTTCAAGCATAGGTAAGGTAATAGCTTCAAAGAAAACAGAAGGACAGAAAGAATACCAGAAATCAGAACCTGCTCACCTGACTGAGCAGGCCACTAGACTGGCAAGTGAAAATAAGAATCTGGATGCACCTGGAGAATCACGTGAAGTTCTGGATGTTCCAGCAAAGTCTCATGCAAAGCGAGGTGAGGAAGACTGATGCCAAATTCTTCCACGAAGTGCTTGTACCATTTGCTTCAGGAGAGTGCCACCTGCCATTGTGTTTTAGTAACACCATTCGCAATTCCATCAAGTCTGTCAGCTGGCTTTACTTGGCATTCAGCCACTCTTCACATGTTTGTCTTACCTGTCTGTACACTCAGCTGTGTGATCACTGTTCATTGTCTTAGTCTTACACTTTTCTGAGACGTCATGAATTGTTTTGTGTGCCATTGTCTTCTCAGGAAACTCACACTCTTTTTCTAGTATTCATTTGTCCGTCCACTGCAACAAAATCTGTCCTGCATTTCATTCATATCATCCTCCCATTAAAAATATCTTTCATATTTCCCTTCACAAAAAGGTAACAAGAGGCCTTATAGCACAGGTAATATTTCTAAAAGTCTGTGATGATTCATTGCAAATTAGATTACTAACAGTACATCCCTCACTTGTAAAAGAACTACATAGTCCTGAAACATATATTTAATTCACACAGCTTATACTTTTTTGGTGTTCATTAGTAAAAGTTCATGGGTTTTTTTAAAAAAAGACAGTCTCATATAATATTAATAGGCACTTAAACTATTTTGTCAAGGAATGACAGAATTTTAGGAATTAATGGGCAGGACACCACAATAAGGAAATAGGAGCTTTTAAGCTGCCTCTTAGGCTCTACTGCTGAATAGGTCATTGCCATGCTTCAGGAAATTGAACTTACTGTTGAGATGTAGACAGTATACGCTCTATAAAAATAGAGATACGTTTATATCCTTTCCTCCCCTTTTACGGGTAGGTAACTAAAAGAAGAAAAAATCTGATATATAAAATAAATACTTGTCTTAGCTTTTGTAAGTATGTTTATTTAACTACATTTCTAATAATTTTGCTGTTCTACTTCAGAGGCCAAGCCACCAAAAGAAGAATCTCCGAAGGGTATCAGTCCAGTCAAAGGTAGGATATTACAAGCAGTACCTTGTCATGGTCTAACTCCAGCTGGTAATCAAGCCCCAAACAGGAACTCATTCGCTCACTCCCTTATGGTGGGAAGGAGGAAAGAATAAGAAGGGTAAAAGTGGGAAAACTCACGGGTTGAGCAAAAGCAGAGCGCACAAACAAAGCAAGATAAGGAATTCACTCACCACTTCCCATGAGCAGGGATGTATTCACCCATATGCAGGACAGCAGGATGCCCTTCCATCCCTTGAAGGGCAAATGTCGTAACTCTGAATGCCCCCTTCCTCCCCCCACCTTCTTCTTTCCCCTGCTTTATATACTGAGCATAACACCGTATGGTGTAGGATATCACTTTGGTCAGTTGAGATCAGCTTTCCTGGCTGTATCACTTCCCAATTTCTTGTGAACTCCCAGCCTTCTTAGTGGTGGGGCTGTATGAGAAGCAGAAAAGGCCTTGGCTCTGCAAGAGCCTCTCAGCAATCACAAAAATATCTCTGTATTATTAAGAGTGCTTTCAACACAAATCCAAAACATAGCCCCATACTAGCTACTTAGAAGACTGTTAAATTTCCCCCAACCAAAATCAGCACAGTCTACAATCAAAAGCAATTAATCAGGATTAGTTTATTAATTTCTGAATCTGAATTACAGCCAAGAAGACACCTTCACCAGCAGACGCGGAAAGAAGGAAGCTCAGGCCAGGCAGCGGTGGTGAAAAACCTCCTGAAGAGCCTCCATTTACTTACCAACTCAAGGCTGTACCACTGAAGTTTGTCAAGGAGATGAAAGATATAGTGCTAAAAGAAGCTGAGTCTGTTGGGTCTTCTGCAATCTTTGAAGTCCTTATTTCACCATCCACTGCAATTACCAGCTGGATGAAAGATGGAAGTAACATCCGAGAGAGCCCAAAACACAAGTTTATTGCTGATGGCAAAGATAGGAAGCTGCATATTATTGATGTCCAGCTGTCTGATGCTGGCGAATATACTTGTGTATTAAAACTGGGGAACAAAGAGAAGACCTCTACAGCCAAACTTATTGTTGAAGGTATTCCCTCTTTCAAATTTATCAATAGGCTAGCCACCCCTCAAACTAGAACTGGTGCTTTGTAATTTTACAGTAGTTGGTAGATGCATCCTTTGTTTCCCTCAATCACTATACATATTATATAAGGTATTTCTGCATCACATGTTCTATGTATAAAGGAGACAAATGAAAATAATTTTTTGCCCACAGAACTCCCAGTGCGGTTTGTGAAAACTCTTGAAGAAGAAGTGACTGTCATTAAAACCCAGCCACTGTACTTAACATGTGAGCTTAACAAAGAAAGAAATGTGGTCTGGAGAAAGGATGGTAAAATCATCAAAGCCAAGCCTGGGAAATTTGCTCTGGGTGTTATTGGTTTGTCACATTCCCTCACAATCACAGATTCAGATGATGCTGATGCTGGCACTTACACTGTTACTGTGGAAGACTCTGAGCTATCATGCTCATCTTGTGTTAAGGTAGTAGGTAAGTAATAAAAATCATGTTCTTTTTTTCTCTCTAGGTTATTTGGACTGCTTTAAAATTATGAAAACTTTTTCTCATTGTCTTACAGTATAAGTTGACAGATAAGATTTTTACAGCTGTTAAAAGCTTGTTGTAGTACAAAATCTCTTCATTCTTATTCTTCTTTTTTGACACATCTGTTTGTAATAAAAGTCTGCTAAGCTGTTTTCTTGTGTAACTTTTTGTCATGCAGAAGTTATAAGGGACTGGTTGGTGAAACCCATAAGAGACCAGCATGTTAAACCAAAAGGAACAGCTACTTTCAGCTGTGACATTGTCAAGGATACACCAAACATTAAATGGTTCAAAGGAGATGAGGAAATCCCTGCTGAACCCACTGACAAGACAGAAATCTTGAAAGAAGGAAATAAAATTTTCCTGAAAATCAAGAATGCTGGTCCTGCTGATATTGGAGAATATGCAGTGGAAGTTGAAGGTCGCAGATACCCAGCTAAACTGACCCTTGGTGGTAAGGAAGCTTTTATTTGGATTATATTTAATCATCTTGTATGCCAGTGTTGAAAAACATCTACATAAACAAACATTAAAGGTAACCTGAATTATTACAAAGCTCTATCAAAACTTGATCTAATCATATATGTATTTATTTGTGCATTGTAGAACGTGAAGTTGAGCTTCTGAAGCCATTAGAGGATGTTACAGTTTATGAGAAGGAAACAGCAAATTTTGACACAGAAATATCTGAAGATGATATTCCTGGTGAATGGAAGCTGAAAGGAGAAGTCCTGAGACCTTCACCTGTAAGCATCCTTGAATTTTAAGACACAATTTATTTAAATTAAATACTGTGAACAGGTTCCTTGAATTTTTCTGTTAAGACGTGTCATTGCTTCTCAGTCCAGAATATATTATTAAAAAAACTGATTCTCTAAGTAAGGATTATATTTTATAAAAGCTAATTTTGAAGGCCTTCATTTTCTTAAAGTATTACAGCACATAATTCAAGCAATAAGAGAAATATCCTATGAACAGTGTGGGAATGATTCTCACATTCTGAAGAATTCTGTGGAATGCTGAAGAAATGTACTCCCTATTTTAATTATTGAGTCAAAGTGTTAACATTACTTGAGAAGCAATTTCATTCTTCCTACCTGACACGTCACCATGTATACAATGTTTATGAAAATCCCCTTATTAAAAACACCTAGCAGCAAGGCATTTGCATTGCATTGGTATTTGTATTTAACAAAGTCTGTCATCTCTCCAGACATGTGAAATCAAAGCCGAGGGAGGAAAACGCTTCCTAACCTTACACAAAGTCAAGTTAGAGCAAGCTGGCGAAGTCCTTTACCAGGCCCTGAATGCCGTCACTACAGCCATCCTGACAGTAAAAGGTACAGTGCGCCACGGGGCGTGACACCAGCTCAGACAGAGTTCACAGGGAGCTCGTTACAAACGGTGTGTTATCTTTTGCTTCCAGAAATCGAGCTGGACTTTGCTGTGCCCCTGAAAGATGTCACTGTTCCTGAGAAGCGCCAAGCAAGGTTTGAATGTGTCCTTACCAGAGAGGCCAATGTTATATGGTCTAAGGGCACTGATATAATCAAGATTGGAGAAAAATTTGACATCATTGCAGATGGAAAGAAGCACATTCTTGTTATCAATGATTCACAGTTTGATGATGAGGGAGAATACACTGCTGAAGTTGATGGCAAAAAGAGCACAGCAAGACTGTTTGTGGAAGGCAAGTATTTTCTCATGAACAAAAGAACAAAAAAAAAAAGATCAAGAAAGTGTCTTTCAGGACTACGTTAGCCTTTTTTCTGATTGTATTTATGTGTCTGCATTATAGGTGTGAGGCTGAAGTTCATATCACCTCTACAGGACCAAACAGTGAAAGAGGGGGAAACAGCTCACTTTCAGTTTGAGCTTTCTCATGAAGACATGCCTGTGAAATGGTTCAAAAATGACAAGAGACTTCACACAAGCAGAACAGTTTTAATTACTTCAGAAGGCAAAGTTCATAAACTAGAAATGAGAGAAGTAACACTTGATGATATCTCAGAAATAAAGGCCGTAGTCAAGGACTTGAACACACAAGCCAACCTGAAAGTCTTAGGTAATTACATAAATAATTTAAAACCTGCTATAGAATAAATATTAACTATTTTTATAAGTAGAAAGTGACAAAATATTGACATTTTAGTATATTTGTATAACTAATTTATCTTATCCACTATGGTTTTTGTAGAGGCCGATCCATATTTCACTGTGAAATTACAAGACTACAGTGCTGTAGAGAAAGATGATATTACTCTGGAGTGTGAACTTAGCAAAGATGTGCCAGTAAAATGGTACAAAGATGGTGAAGAACTAATAGCTTCCAACAGAATTTCCATAAAAACCGATGGCTTGCGCCGTATCCTGAAGATCAAGAAGGCTGCAGAGAGTGACAAAGGGGTTTATGAGTGTGACTGTGGAACCGACAAGACAAGTGCCAATATCAGCGTGGAGTGTAAGTAATCATGTCTTCACTAAGGGAAAGGAGCAAAACCTTTGTAAACCAGTGCAGACAGACAGACAGACACTCTCCAGAGAGCAAGACCAAAAATGTACCTATGGAAAGGGCGCTGTTATGATGAATGGCTGAAATATCTAGATATAAAGTTATTAACAGTGATTACAAGAGACTATATGCTTGACAATTACTGGAGAGAGTTACTCTCTCTGTCCAGTTGCCATCAGGAAATAAAAATAGTTTACTTCACCGTAACAGATATCTGGGTTAATTATTGGGAAAAATATTCTCACAAAAAAAACCTAAATTTTCAGACATAGAAGCAGGTTGTAGACTGCCAACTTGCTGCTTTTTAGGAAGAGGTTAGATAAACACTTACTGGTTGCAGCATTTGAATGCTCAAAAGAAGGAAAAGATGCTTTCCACTGTTACATTTCTGTGGTATACAATTTGTGAGTAAACAGATGCAAACTTTAGATTTTTTAATTTTTTTTAGCTCGCTTAATTAAAGTGGAGCGCCCACTGTATGGAGTAGAAGTATTTGTTGGTGAAACAGCACGCTTTGAAATTGAAATATCTGAGCCTGATGTCCATCCTGTATGGAAGCTAAAGGGAGAAACCTTAATACCTTCACCTGTAAGCATTCTTCTTTATTTTTAGACCATAATTTCCAGTAGAAAAACATGATTAATAATTGTGTTTTCTTAGTGGTTTCTTAGAATATTAATATTTGGGGTGGGGTGTGTGTTTCTTTGTCACCAGGACTGTGAAATCATTGAAGATGGGAAGAAGCATATTCTTGTCCTTCATAACTGCAAACTTGATATGACTGGAGAAGTGTCTTTCCAAGCTGCCAATGCTAAAAGTGCTGCTAATCTGAAAGTGAAAGGTACAGTCTGCACTTGGCCAACATTTCCATGTGTATTTCAGAGCATCAGAACAAATTTAGTGTCAGAAAGCACTGTATGAACTGATCTGAAAGAGCTCTTCTTTGATTTCAGAACTGCCTCTTATCTTTATCACTCCACTAAGTGATGTGAAGGTCTTTGAGAAGGATGAAGCTAAGTTTGAATGTGAGGTATCCAGAGAACCCAAGACTTTCCGCTGGTTGAAAGGAACAGAAGAGATCACTCCTGATGAAAGATTCGAAATCGTTTCAGATGGAACAAAGCATGCTCTGATTATTAAATCTGTTGCCTTTGAGGATGAAGTAAAATACACATTTGAAGCTGAGGATAAAAGAACAAGTGCCAAGCTAATTATTGAAGGTTTGTTAGACTTTGTCTTCCTAAGAAAGTTTTGCATCGTATACTTGCATAGTTTCTGTTGATAACATTATGACGTGTTTCGGTGTTATAGGTATCCGCCTGAAATTCATCACTCCTCTCAAGGATGTGACAAAGAAGGAGCGAGAAACTGCAGAGTTCACTGTGGAACTCTCCCATGAAAATATCACTGTGGTCTGGTTCAAGAATGATCAACGATTACATACCAGCAAAGTGGTTTCAATGACAGATGATGGCAAATTCCATACACTCACAATCAAAGATCTAACTATTGATGATACTTCTCAGATAAAAGTGGAAGCTATGGGCAAATCCTCAGAAGCTAAACTCACTGTTCTTGGTAAGAACACCCAAAAGAATTTACCTGATGTATATTATCAGAAGAGTTTTATTAATAAAAAATGGCAATCAGAAAGTCTTGAGGTTAGCCTAAATCTAAATTCAGACTTTAAAAATCTAACAATTAGTTTTTCTTCCTAGGGGATCCATTTACCTATTCATGAAGGATGATTACAATAAAATTTCATGCAAAGTTGCAAAATTAATTAATACGTGCGTAAAACAGTGCTCTAAAAATCCTAGAGCATAAGAAGAATTTTGTCAGTAATATTAGTAATGCCCCGAATAGTTTCTTAGGTGTTTATTGTTTTCTTTGTTGTAACAGAACTGTGAAAAAGGACTATATTTAATCCTTCTCGTGGGATATAAATATATAAAAATATATTTTATGGTAGAAACTAGTTGTTCTTTATGGAAGACTAAAACTTCAGACTGAAATATGTCTTGACTTTTGCTTGCAGAGGGAGACCCTTATTTCACTGGGAAGCTGCAGGACTACACTGCTGTGGAGAAAGATGAAGTAATCTTGCAATGTGAAATCAGCAAAGCAGATGCCCCAGTGAAATGGATGAAGGATGGCAAGCCAATTACTGCGTCAAAGAATGTTGTTATAAAGGCTGATGGCAAAAAGAGAATCCTTATTCTCAAGAAAGCTTTAAAGAAAGACATTGGACAGTACACTTGTGACTGTGGTACTGACCAGACCTCTGCTAAACTTGATATTGAAGGTATGGCTGTTTTAGTGGGCTGCTCTGTACAGGTATTTTGGGATCTGCTAGAAACTGTGGGAGTCAATTGTGTTTTTCTTCTCCAGACCGGGATATTGAGATTGTGCGACCACTCTACAGCGTGGAGGTGATTGAGACAGAGACTGCCCGTTTTGATATTGAAATCTCTGAGGAAGGTGTCCATGGCAATTGGAAGCTAAAAGGAGAACCCCTGACTGAATCAGCTGTAAGCAAATATTTCATTATATTTTTTTATGTGTGTGTCAGCACTTTGCAGGGAAGTAGAGTGTGAGGGAGGGTGACTGCAGAAACTAAATTTGATCTCCTGCTTTCAGGAAGTGTCACTATATTAAAAATAGTGGGTTTTTTTAATTAATAATGTTTTAAATGTAGTACAAATATAATCCAAAATATCTAAATAATAAATGATTTTACATAAAATGGTACATTCTGCCTTGCTAACAATAACTAACAATCATGCATCCAAAGTGCAAAGACCTTGTGGAATTCACTTAAACATAAGGCATTTTGAAATGCAAATTTCAGATTTCATGCTTTTTCCTGTAGGTTTTGCGTTATATTTGGTTTAAATAGATGTAGACCACGTTTCCAAACTCTTTTGCATTTCTGTGACAGCTAAAATCGGAGTTAAATGGTATAGAGCTTCATCAAATATTATAAACTCCTTGCTGGAAAGATCTGGAAATTAATGAAACAATAGAATCACAATTGGCAATAATTTTGCTTCTGTGTAATCGGACAAAAGTGAATAATAACAGAAAGATTGGAAGTTACATGAAAATCACTGTCTGGATAAAAGAAAGAAAGATCTTCTCGAGGAAAGGTCACAGCACAAGCTTAGCAATTTCTAGTTCCCCTGAAGGAACTAGGCCTCTGACTGGTCTACATATATATTAATATATTGGCTACTCAGTCAGCACAGAAATGTGTTGCCTCTTCCCCTTTCTTACCAACTGTATTAAGAGGAGAGTTTGTAAGGAAAGACCTATGAATGAATGTTTATAGGGTATATTTCACGTGGGCCCAAGAGTTGTGAATGGAGTAGAAGAAAACAGACTCATGGTATCAGAAGTAAGGGCTCTTCTGGTGAGTAATACAGAAAAGATACTGAAAAAATTATTTCAATTCTGTTTTTGCAGGAATGTGAAATCAAGGAGGAAGGAAAAAAGCACTTCCTTACACTGTACAATGTACGCTTAGATCAAGCTGGTGGAGTAGATTTTCAAGCAGCAAATGCCAAGTCTGGTGCTCACCTTCGAGTGAAACGTAAGTGTCTTTTAAACTGTAATTAATTGATTAATTAAGTGAAAACATGGTACTCCCTGCCTCTTTGGAATGTGTGGCAAATCTCTGTACTGTATTGAACCCACAGCAATCCTTTCCAGAACAGCAGCTTGGGGATTAGTTACTCAGTTTGTCTAATTTTTTTTCATTAAGGAATGTCCTGTGTGGTTTTAACCTTATATATAATTTATTCATATAGGAGAAATAAAATAAATGGGATGGCCTTGAAGGTTGCTTGATGGTCTGGCATCATATATGCTGTTATGAAATCAAATATTGCAAGCAAAGGCTCTGCTGCATCGAAGTGTCACGTTAGCTGGAAAGGATAGGATAACAGTGATATCTGGGGATAGGGTTCAGAGCTTGATGGACAGGGACAGACTACACGGCTGAAGACCACTTGTTTCCCACTCCAATCCTAGCCCTCGCTATTTTGGAAACACATGCCTTATCTAGCAGCAGGCATGCAAGGCTTGGCAAGGAGACAGATGCAGAGCAACTTTCCTGCTGACCTTGTTCAATTTAAAGAAACACTCGCTGCAAATAGGAAATTGTAGGTGACCAGCCCTCCCCTAAGAACCCAGGGTGGCCTCTTCTATTTAGGGAATTTAAAGAGCAGCATTGCGATGTCTGGCTCTCTTGAGGGAAGCCACCATGGAGATTAGTACGTAAGGGCAGCAGCTCTCTCTTGGGTAGAAGTGACTAATCTAAAAATTATGTCTTCTCCTTACCAAGCTCGAGTAATTGGCCTGCTGAGACCCCTCAAGGATGTAACAGTGACAGCTGGGGAATCAGCAACCTTCGATTGCGAACTCTCTTATGAGGGAATCCCAGTAGAATGGTTCCTGAAAGGAAAGAAACTGGAGCCCAGTGATCAGGTAAAAAAACTAAACTTTACTTTTTCTCATGTTTCCTCCTCCTTCTCCTCTTTCAAGTCTCTTCCCCTTCTTTATTTCTTATTTATTCTCTCTCAACTGAAATATTAAGGCACAGCAATATTGTAGTACTGCTGTGTCAAATGCCAAATCGTGTCTAAATCAGATGCAACTGTTTTTCCCAGAAATTCCATATTCTGGAATACTACAATTATTTATAATACAAAGGGAAACTGAGGTTCCAAAATATCAGTTATTACAACAGTGATTTTGCACCTGATTCTGCTGGAGACTCAGCCACAAGGATACTGAATAATTTTTGCTCAGGTTACCTGTGGTTACAGTGAGAGGATTTTGAAATGTGCTATCAGGAAAAGCCTTTTTTTCTCCTGAATACTGAGTTGCAGTCCAATTCAACGTATAAGGGGATTAAGAGGATTCAAATTCCATTTCAGGCATTTGTTCTGGCTTTCCAGATAACTCTCTGGGCAGATTTGCTTGTCAAGCACTTCTCACTAGCTATTTTTAACCCTTCATCAAGTGCTGGCTCTTAGCTCTGAGATCTGAGCAGCCTGGAATGCAGTCAATTTAATGTTTAAAGTTAATGATACGGAAAATAAATAAAGAAACCTAAATTAATACATTGAAAAATGGAAATGGTTATTACTGGCTGTAAGACTTCTTTTTTGCATGCTAGGCCTAAAAATATAATGCAAATTCAAATAAAAGTTGGAAACTTAAGACATAGTAAACTTTCAAGGCATTGCATAACCTAACAAAGTTTCAGAACCTGTAATAATGCTGTTTAATAATACTTTGGTACGGATTGCTATTTCTTTTAAATACAATTTTTAACTTTCACAACTACATCTTTTTTACAAGTTTTAATTTTTTTTTCAGGTTTTGCTAGATCTTTCTGAGCTTTAAGAAATTTTCATAAATAAAAACTACTTAATAGAATAAATAGAATGTAGAAATAGGAAAATCCAAACAGATCATGATAATAAGGGACTCTATTACAGTATTTAAGGACAGATAAACAAATTTGAAATGCAGTGGATGAGTCTTGAAATAAATCAAGATAATTACTTCTGAGTTTCAGAATAAAAATGTGAAAAGCTATTGATCAGTGCAGTGGATTGATAGTTATGACTGTCTGGCAAGAAAAACATTATATGTTCAGTATAATTCTGTATAATGGAACATTATTTTGGTATTTTCTGTCTGAGCTATCATTTTAATTACATGAAAAAAAATCAGATTTCATGTACATATACAGTCAAAAATGTCATTTGGACAGCTGGAACTTTATCAGGATGAAAATGAGAGTAAACCATATATTTACTCAATGCATTGCTTTCTACCCTTTCAAAATAGCCTCTTGAAATACATTTACAACTGTCTTTAAGAATCAATCTAATTGTACAAGTGTTTCATTTTAGCTGTTTGCTAATTCAAACTATTTTATTACCTCTGTGGCTGGCATTCGGCTGAACATTTATAACCTTTATTCATTGAAGTGACTTTTTTGTTTACTGTGATTGCAAAGTGGTTTCTGCAATAGGTCATCACAGAAACTAGTCTTTTAGGCAGAAAGTTTTACTGAATTTTAATAATAGAAAGATAAATTGGCATTTCCAGAGAAGTGTATATGGGGGATGCCAAACCTCTTTATAGCTGAAAAGGTTTTTCCTTTACATGTAGTCAGCAGTAATGCAAACTTTTCCCATAAATTTGCTTATTTTTTGTATTTATTAATACCTGTTCAAAAATAGACATCATCTCAAGTCAGTCCCAAAATCCTCAAAACTTTGAGGACTGAGCTATATCTAGTATATACAAAAGGAAGTTGTCAAAATTTTACATGAAAGTGGACAACCAAACTCTACAAATCATAAATAGCATGCTATTTCATGAAATATTTCTTAAATGCTTGTTGTAGATGTTCACAGCGGGGTTTTTATGTATTTTGCAAGGTGGTGACCCGCACTGAGGGGAGAGTTCACACACTTATTCTCAGAGACGTCAAGTTAACAGATGCAGGAGAGGTATCACTGACAGCGAAAGATTTCAGAACTCAAGCAAATCTTTTTGTGAAAGGTAAGTCAGTCATTTTAGTTAAACCATGATCAGCATTAATGTTCCATTCATGATTCATCCTGGAATAGGAAGCTGATGCACACTATTTATCAAAGAGTGGGATCATATATACAATATTCAACTGGTAGGTAACTTTCCATATTAAAAAAGCCACCTACTTAAGTCTCTGCACTTCACAGAAGAGCTGAACTAGGGAAAACACTGGAAATGGTTAAAATCTGGGAGATAAACCAGTTTGTTAGGACTTCCAGGGCTTTGCTGCAGTCTTGAACATTCAATTGGTTGCAAGAGGACCCACGGATACCAGCCCTTGTGGCTCCCAGTGGCTTTTTCTTTTTGATATCCAGAAACCTGTGAGAGTACAGGTGCACCATCAGTCAAGGGACAACATAACATTGTCTGTACACCCACTTGTACTGCTCACAGGCTGTGTTATCATTGAGAAGGAAAAGAACTGCACACACTGATCCAGTAATGCATTGAAAAATTGAAAAAAACCCCTAAGCATTCTCTAAGTTCACAGTGTAAGTTTAGAGTCACTGAGATTACATGGGTATGGTTCAGCTAAAGGAATTGAGTTGCAAGGCTTTTTGATGATTTTTAATTAAAAACCCCATGGACAAGGATGTCATTCAGTCTAATCTTACAGTAGGCTGAAAATTAGGAATTAACATGAATTAACAAAAAATGTCTGTGTATTAAAAATAAAAAATGTTTTAAGAAACCTTCAATAGGGACAGCTAAGAGCCTTTTTGGTTATTCAGTCAAGGAAAATTAGTAAACAGCAAGGGATTCTAAAGTTCTATGCAAGCAGAAGACTGGCTGTAATTTAGATATCTTCCATCAAAAATATATCTGTTTCTTTTAGAACCCCCAGTTGAATTTACTAAACCACTTGAGGACCAGACTGTTGAAGAGGAAGCCACTGCAGTACTGGAATGTGAAGTTTCCAGGGAAAATGCAAAAGTTAAATGGTTCAAAAATGGAGAAGAAATTCACAAATCGAAGAAGTACGATATCATTTCTGATGGCAGGGTCAGAAAACTCATCATCCGCGGCTGCACACTGGATGATGCAAAAACATATTCCTGTGATGCTAAGGATTTTAAGACATCATGTTTTCTCAATGTGGAGCGTGAGTAATTCACAGTTTTCTCCAAAATGTCTGGGTTTTGTAAAGGCAATGTACTTGTGTCTATGACTGGCAGTAGTATCAATGTTGGCATTTTTTTACTTCTCTAGCATAGACTTTCCTCTTCTAACAATTTTCTGTTCTCTTACAGCTATTCGTGTCGACTTCCTGAAACCCCTGACTGACCTTGAGGTTAAAGAAAAAGAATCTGCTCGGTTTGAGTGTGAAATTTCTCGTCCAAATGTCAAGGTCCGTAGTGACACTTTAATCTCAGTAACTCCTCCAGCTAGAGGGGAAAATTTTGTTGTATTGCTATAAAAGAACACACTGAAATCTATGATGATGTTAAAACCCGTGTTAACTTGTTCTGGAACAGGTGAAGTGGTTTAAGGATGGCATGGAAATTAGAAAAGGCAAAAAATATGACATAATTTCTAAAGGTGCAGAACACATTCTTGTCATCAGTAAATGTGTCTTTGATGATGAAGCTGAATATTCCTGTGAAGCAAAAACAGCTCGAACTTCTGGCCTACTTACAGTGATAGGTAAACACAGTGTTTTAGAATCTAATATGTGATCAATAAAAATGTGAGAGGGGGATTTTTTAATGGCAGGCTTTAATCATCTTTTGAAATTCTTTTTGCAGAGGAAGAGGCTGTTTTCACAAAAAATCTTCCTGATCTTGAAGTAAATGAAAACGACACTGTAAAACTGATCTGTGAAGTTTCAAAGCCTAATGCTGAAGTTACTTGGCTTAAAGGAGATGAAGAGGTGCCTGATGGTGGTAGATTTGAACACATTTCTGATGGTAGAAAGAGAATTCTTGTTATACATAACGCTCATCCTGAAGATGCTGCGAAGTACACTTGCAAGCTCCCAAGCTCTAGTACAACAGGAAAACTTACTGTACATGGTAAGAGTGCTCCTTTGGTGGGCTTGTATCCTGGAAAAAAAAAATTAAAATATTTGAAAATCAGTAATAATACACAACTTGGTTTATTCCGTTCACAAGTAAAAAGTAATATATATATCTACAAAAATGTTTTCTTTCAGAACTTGCAGCAGAATTTCTTACCAGACCGCAAAACCTTGAGGTGCTTGAAGGAGAAAAAGCTGAATTTGTCTGTTCAGTATCCAAAGAAGCCATTACAGTACAGTGGCTGAGGGGTGACACAGTCCTGGAGCCTGGTGATAAGTACGACATCATTTCAGATGGCAAAAAGAGAATGCTTGTGGTTAAAGAATCTGTTCTAGGAGATACAGGAATGTATACTGTCATGGTTGGTGAAGCTAAAGCTACAGCACACTTAGCTGTGATTGGTAAGCTTTATTTTATCAATGTGTAGGTGCTTGTTTTGTTGCATTCTTTATACTACATGATGTCCTATTTCTTCTGTTTTCTCTCTTTCAGAAAAACTCAAGATTATAACTCCTCTTAAGGACCAAGAAGTTACTGAGTGCCAAGAAATTATCTTCAACTGTGAAGTCAATAAAGAAGGTGCCAAAGAGAAGTGGTACAAAAATGATGAGGCAATATTTGATAGTGCAAAGTACATTATTGTTCAGAAGGGTGTAGTCTACACTCTCAGAATCAGAGATGCAGAGTTGAAAGATCAAGCTACCTACACCATCTCCTTGACAAACCAGAGAGGTGAACACGTTAAAAGCTCTGCTGACTTAAAAGTATTAGGTAAATAACTTGCACTGCATTAAAATCATTTCATCATTTACATTCAGCTTTTTATGAGGATGTAAAAATGTTTGCTTTTTTGTCATAACAGAGGAGGATCTCAGAATTGTTGAGCCCCTTGAAGACATTGAGACGACGGAAAAGAAAACTGTCACATTCTGGTGCAAAGTCAATCGCCTTAATGCAACTCTCAAATGGACAAAGAATGGAGAAGAGATCACATTTGACAGGCGCATTTTGTACAAAATTGATAAATTCAAGCACTCATTGATCATTAAAGATTGTGGGTTTGTAGATGAAGGTGAATACACTGTTACTGCTGGACAAGACAAATCAGTTGCAGAGCTTCTCATCACAGAAGCACCAGCAGACTTCACTGAACATCTTCAGGACCAGACTGTCACTGAATTTGATGATGCTGTCTTTACATGCCAGCTTTCCAAAGAAAAAGTCAGTGTAAAATGGTACAGAAATGGAAGAGAAATCAAAGAAGGCAAAAAGTATGCACATTTTATTATGCTTCTGAATGTGCTAAATATGCTTGTTTTACTTTATTGCTTTGTCTAGAAACTAAAATACTGTCTATTTTTCTCCTCCATAAAGATACCAGTTTGAAAAAGATGGAAATCTGCACAGATTAATCATAAAAGACTGTAGACTAGACGATGAGTGTGAATATTCCTGTGGAGTAGATGACAGGAGATCTAGGGCAAGACTTTTTGTTGAAGGTATGTGTAAAATTTGATGGGATTTGTTTCAACATTATTTCATAATAGTATAAACAATAAACAAATAACACCGAATAAATTAACATTTCTTTCAGAAATCCCTGTTGAGATTATTCGACCACCACAAGATATTTATGAAGCTCCTGGTGCAGATGTCATCTTCATGGCTGAGTTGAACAAAGATGGTGTGGAGGTAAAGTGGTTGAGGAACAACATGATTATCATCCAAGGTGACAAACATCAGATGATGAGTGAAGGAAAGGTCCACAGGCTGCAGGTGTGTGACATAAAGCCCCGTGACCAAGGGGAATACAGATTTATCGCCAAAGACAAGGAAGCTAGAGCAAAGCTTGAATTAGCTGGTAAGTTTCTTGTTTTGTGCTCCTTGTATAAAGTCTTAGATTCATTAACTTAGTTTAACTAAATTGATTTTTGCTCTTTCAAGGATTTGAACTAAAATGAATACACAATCAGCCTGAGAAAAGTGTTAAACTATTTGAGGATTGTTTAACAAGTCTGTTAAACTATGTGAATATGAATTTACACAACAAACATTTTTTATTAAACCATGCTGAGCCAGCTGTTGAGGAAAACCCATCACTTTTCAATGTGTATATGCCAAAGAGCAAGATTTAAGATTAAAGGAGCTTTAAGCTCTTAATTAAGTCATTCAAAAACAATGAAAATTATTTGGCCTACTTATTTAAGTCATATTAGACATATAATTCCTAATTTGTCTGTTTTACAGAGTAGTTAAATTAGTTCTCAAAAAGCAACTCCTTCTTTCCTGGTTTTTTAGGAGGACACAGTACATACCAACCAGCCTGTATTTCTTTCTCTGGAGTTGTCCTACAAGTATATGAAAGATTTCTTTAGAGTTTACACAGCAGCTCCTTACACTTTTCTGTGTCAGCTTCTTTGCTGACTGCACAAGTATATCAATTTTTGTATACATATATATGCAAGTAATGGACTTTTCACATTCATCTTTCTTAGCTGCACCTAAAATCAAGACTGGTGATCAAAACCTTGTGGTTGATGTTGGGAAACCTTTAACTATGACTGTCCCATATGATGCCTACCCAAGAGCAGAAGCGGAATGGTTTAAAGCAGGGGAAAGTCTGCCCACAACAACTGTTGATACAACAACTGACTGCACTACCTTCAAAATTTATGAAGCAAAGAAATCAGATAAGGGAAGGTACAGGATTGTGCTTCGAAACAAACATGGCCAGGCAGAAGCATTCATCAATGTAGAGGTCATTGGTGAGTACTCGTATTATTAAAACCTTGCTTACCATTATTTCACAGAGTAAAAAGCCTTTATTGAGGGGGAAGCCCTCTGCTTCCCCTCATGGGAAAGCTGTAGATCATATTGAGGTCTTCCCTCAGACTCCTCTTCTCTAGCCAGAGGGAAGACAATCGATGCAATGCCCTGAAGTATTGTCATATCTTTAATAGATGTTCCAGGTCCAGTTAGAAACTTGGAAGTCACTGAAACTTATGATGGTGAAGTTGGTCTCGCATGGCAAGAACCAGAAAGTGATGGTGGAAGCAAAATCATAGGCTATGTCGTTGAAAGACGTGATATCAAGCGTAAGACCTGGATTGTGGCCACAGATCGTGCTGAAAATTGTGAATACACTGTTACTGGACTTCAGAAAGGAGGAGTTGAGTACCTCTTCCGTGTCAGTGCACGCAACAGAGTGGGCACTGGTGAGCCAGTGGAAACAGACACGCCTGTGGAAGCTAAGAGCAAATTTGGTGAGCAGAAGTTACAAAAAACTCAGTGTTTCATGGTTGTGTGAAAAAAAAAGCAGTACAAATTCTAACAACAGGAAAAACCTACATGCCTTCTTTTTACCTTTTCCTCCTAAAATAAAATGCAGATGTTCCTGGTCCTCCTCAAAATGTAGAAGTTACTGATGTGAACAGGTTTGGAGCCACACTCAGCTGGGAGCCACCTGAGGATGACGGAGGATCCCCGATTACTGGCTACGTTATTGAACTGCGTAACAGAGCTACCATCAGATGGGAGCCAGCTATGACCACGGGAGCTGATGAACTGACAGCTGTCCTGACTGATGTTGTGGAAAATGAAGAATATTTCTTCAGAGTGAGAGCTCAAAACATGGTTGGAGTTGGCAAACCAAGTCCTGCTACACGTGCAGTAAAAATCATGGACCCAATTGGTGAGTATGCAAAGTATGTATAATTATGATTGTGTTATGAGACAGGAGCATTTTGGGTGCCACATGTGCAGGAAGGTTCAACTGATGAACATGTGTGCTGCAAATACTGTGTAGAGTTACATTTTCCCTACTTTTGTCCTTCAACCATTGCAGGAGTACCTTTGTTACCTCTTGGTTTAGTAAGAACTGCAAATATTTTTTCTCTGAAGTCAGGATGCAACCTCAATTTAAAAAATCAGTTTAGAAAAAGCTGTGCAAAGGCTTTAAAAACCATACTGTGAGATAGAAACAGTTAATTTGCAGAACCATGCTGCTTTATCAGTAGCATAAATCTATTTGTCTCAAATTTTTTTTCAGAGAGACCAAGTCCTCCCATTAACCTTGAGCACTCAGATCAAACGAAGTCATCAGTCCAGCTCACATGGGAACCCCCTCTTGAAGATGGAGGAAGTCCAATCTTAGGCTATATTATTGAAAGGCGAGAGGAAGGAACAGACAAATGGATTCGTTGTAACCCAAAACTAGTACCTGCTCTTACTTTTAAGGTAAAATGTTCTCTTAATCAACAGGTAAAATGTGTAGATCGTCTTTAATATGAGGTAGTAAATGATTGTTTGTGCATTTTAGGTAACTGGACTGAAACAAGGATCCAGTTATTACTACAGAGTCTCAGCAGAAAATGCAGCTGGCGTGTCTGACCCAGCAGAGGCTATTGGGCCATTAACTGCAGATGATACTTTTGGTAAGCCGCATGCCATTTTTAAAAAACAATTAATCAGATAAGGCATACAAAGTGCATCTTATGGGTAATATGTGTATTTTTCACCAGATAATTGGGTCACTTTAGACATTTGAAATCATAAGCTATTTGTCCTCCATTATGAATTTTGCAAATAATTATCTGTACTATGAGATAGAGCCATGTTAGCTTGCCTGAGGAGCAAGGCATGACCTTTTGTCTCCTGACCTACTTTTGTGGAAAGTGAGAGGTAAGAGAAGGAAAGAAAGGTGCAGATCCCTAAAAAAATATAAATAATGCAAAGTTTTTGCATTAAAAGGTAAATTAGATGTCATGGTAATACTAATCTCCCTTACTATCTCACATATTTTCAAAAAAACCCAGAACATTTAGCCAGGAGAGGTAGGGAGTCATAAGACAAAGCTAGGTCCAGATAGGCTGAAATACAGCAAGCTAGACCTGCAGGCTGACATACAGACAGAATCAGCCTCTCAACACAATTATCGTTAGCCGTGTTCATAACATCTCAAAATAATTTATTGAATCCTCTTTCCATTTTTTTCAGTTGAACCTACAATGGACCTAAGTGCATTTAAGGATGGGCTGGAAGTTATTGTACCAGAGCCAATCAAGATCCGTGTTCCCATCACTGGATACCCCGTGCCAACTGCTACGTGGTATTTTGGTGACCAAGTCTTAGAAGAGGGTGATCGTGTGAAAATGAAGACCACGGCCTCCTTTGCAGAACTTGTAATTACTCCAAGTGAACGCCCAGACAAGGGAGTTTATTACTTGACATTAGAAAACCCTATGTCATCTGTTACAGGAGAAATTAATGTTAATGTCATTGGTAAGTGAACATGTATATATTTTAGCAGTAACATTCCACATTTTTCTTGTTAAAATCTAATTAGGTTAATAATGTATAATCTCACAACATCCAACCAAGTACATTAAAATATGACTAAAAACTAGAAATCCCTCCTCAAAAAAACCTCTTTCTGGTAGATACATTACATAGAGATCATCTCTGAACACCAGTTACAAAATAGTACAATTTCTCTGACTTCTAGCTTGTCCAAGTGCACCGAGAGAGCTCAATGTTTTAGAAGTACTCAAGAGTACAGTGCAGCTTGCATGGGAACCTCCAGAAGATGATGGTGGAAGTCCAATTACTGGCTATATAATTGAAAAACGTGAAGTAAGCCGGAAAACGTGGAGCAAAGTAAGTTCATTCTTTTTCATTTAAATTTCTCTATTATTTTCACACGTGCTACTGAGTTTTTTGCCTTATTTTTGTAATCACTCTTTGGAAATAAATTTTAAAAACACATTGAAACCTTTCTTCTCTTTAGGTTGCGGATCATATTGTCGACCAAGAGTTCACTGTACCTGACCTCATCCAAGGGAAAGAATATTTATTTAGAGTATTTGCGTGCAATAAATGTGGCCCTGGAGAACCTGCATATATTGATGAACCTGTAAATATGTCAATACCAGCAAGTAAGCATATTTGAAATTTTGCTGATTTTCTTCAAAGTAAGATATAAAAATAATATTATCTTCCTTAGACTGGTTTCTAAGACCCCGTATGTTTTTAATTTTTAATAGCGGTGCCTGACCCACCAGAAAATGTTAAATGGAGAAATCCAACATCAAAAGGAATCTTCCTAACATGGGAGCCTCCCAAATATGATGGTGGTGCACGCATTAAGGGTTATCTGGTAGAAAAATCCCAACGTGGCACAGACAAGTGGGAGATATGTGGGGAGCCTGTTATTGAAACAAAGTAAGTAAATCGACACAGTAGATAAAATCTCTTAACTAATTGTGCCATCCTCACCACTCTAAATATTTGAATTTTTTTTTCTTTGTTTTGACAGAATGGAAGTAACAAAGCTCAAGGAAGGAGAGTGGTATGCTTATAGGGTTAAGGCTTTGAACAGAATGGGAGCAAGTAGGCCAAGTAAGCCAACTGATGATATTCAGGCCATTGATGCAAAAGGTAACTACTTCACTTGCTAAATTGCCATAGCTGCTTTATTTTAACCAGTCTCTGAAATACTGTTTCGCTAACAAAATTTTCATTCTCTCCTAAATCAGAGGCTCCAGAAATCTTCTTAGATGTGAAGCTTCTTGCTGGACTTACTGTGAAAGCCGGAACTAAAATTGAGCTGCCAGCTAAAGTAACTGGAAAGCCTGAGCCCCAAGTTACTTGGACCAAGGCTGACAAAATTTTGAGACCTGACAACAGAATCACCATTGAAAGCCAGCCTAATCATTCTACAGTCACTATTACAGACAGCAAGAGGAGTGACAGTGGAACCTATATCATAGAAGCTGTAAATACCAGTGGACGTGCTACTGCTGTTGTTGAAGTTAATGTTCTTGGTATGCATGTACTTTATGTTTTTTATATAAATCATTAGTAATGTACCAAGATATGCAAGCAGAAAATTAACATTCATGTCTGGTTCTCTACAGATAAACCTGGTCCACCAGCTGCATTTGATGTAACAGAAATCACAAACGAATCCTGCCTTCTAACCTGGAATCCTCCACGAGATGATGGGGGTTCTAAAATTACCAACTACGTCCTTGAGAAAAGAGCTACAGACAGTGAAATATGGGACAAGTTGTCATCGACTATTAAAGATACAAAATTCAGAGCTACCAATTTAACTCCTCATAAAGAATATGTGTTCCGAGTCAGTGCTGAAAACATGTATGGTGTTGGGGAACCAGCACAGTGTAGCCCCATCATTGCCAAATATTCATTTGGTTAGTTAATTAAATTAATTACAAATTATTGCAGTATTTCAACAGGAAGGGAAAAAAAAAACTCTGACTGATGGTTTTGGGTTTTGTTTGTTTGTTTTTTAATTAATTTATACAGATCCGCCAGGCCCTCCAACAGGTCTCAAGCCCACAGAGGTTACTAAAGATTCAGTCACTTTAACATGGAATGAACCAGATGAAGATGGTGGCAGCCCCATAACTGGCTACTGGGTTGAAAGATACGATCCTGAGCAGGATAAATGGATAAAATGCAACAAAATGCCAGTGAAAGATACAACATTCAAGTAAGACTATAGTCACTTTAGGGTGAAATTGATCACAGAGACATAAAAATGTAACAGTAGCTTTTAAAATAAGTTTTACTTTGTTTTTATTTTTTCCTAGTTTCCATAAGTTGTGATCCGACTACCCCTGGTGGCTTATTTTTTAATTAGTTTTAATGAGGATTATCTTTACAGAAGAACTATTCATCTTGTTTTTCTTTTAAATGTTATGCTCAATAATTCCTGTGCTTAATAATACCATATTCTAAAATGGCAGAGACATGGTCATCCCAAGTCTTAAATTACCAAAATCCTTAGCTTTTTTTTCTCCTGATAGTCTTATTCACTAAAAACCATGGAACATGCAAAAATCCAAGATGGTTCTCAAAACACTCATTTCTGTCATGGTGCACCATTTTAATGTTAACAATGTGTTGACATCATTACCAGTAATTTGGGTATTTTTAGATTTTCTAAGGTATCTGTGGTATGAAAAGGGGAGAGAATAATGTTTTTTGAAACTAATTAATGCCTGGGTTTGGTTTAATCAAACTTAATTTTTATTTCCAGAGTTAAAGGTCTTACAAATAAGAAGAAGTATAAGTTCCGTGTCTTGGCAGAGAATCTTGCAGGACCTGGAAAACCAAGCAGGGAAACAGAGCCAATCTTAGTGAAAGATCCAATTGGTACAATAAATACATTTTTTTAATGGTTTAATTTAGCAACAACAATAATAAAAAATTGTTTTCAATTACATAATTAATACTGGACTCTTGTCTAGATCCACCATGGCCTCCTGGAAAGCCAACTGTGAGAGATATTGGCAAGACATTCCTTACCCTGAACTGGACAAAGCCAGAACATGATGGAGGGGCAAAAATTGAATCTTATGTCATTGAGCTGTTAAAGACTGGAACAGACGAATGGGTGAGAGTGGCTGAAGGAGTTCCAACAACTGAACACTTCCTCAAAGATCTTATGGAGAAACAAGAATATTCCTTCCGTGTGAGAGCTGTGAACAAGGCTGGTGAGAGTGAGCCCAGTGAGCCCAGTGACCCTGTGCTGTGCAAGGAGAGGCTCTGTGAGTACTGTTTCAGAATGTGCTGCTACTGCAAATACAGTCTCTGACTTTTAAAAAGCCCCATGTCTGCCTGTCTTTGTCAGTACTAAATGAACTCTTAGAAGGCTTATGAAGTACTAAAATCTGCCCTGCTTCAGTTCAGGAAATGCAAAGTTTTAATAGTCTTGGTGTATCCCCTGTCTTCCGTGATCTTTCATGAGAATTGCAACATCCTGGTTTACTTTTTCTTTTCCTATTTTGCAGATCCTCCTTCACCACCCCGATGGCTTGAAGTTATTAATATTACTAAAAACACAGCAGATCTGAAATGGACAGTACCAGAAAAAGATGGGGGTTCCCCGATTACCAACTACATTGTTGAGAAAAGAGATGTAAGGCGGAAAGGCTGGCAGACAGTTGACACGACAGTGAAAGATACCAAGTACACAGTAAGCCCACTGACTGAAGGCTCACTCTATGTGTTCCGTGTGGCTGCTGAAAATGCGATTGGACAGAGTGACTACTGTGAAATTGAAGACTCAGTGCTTGCTAAAGATACTTTCAGTAAGTTTCGAATTGCTTACTGAGTGGTCAGTAGCTCACATGTCACGAATTCATAGTCTTCTAATATGTGCCTTTTTTTTTTTTTTTTTTTTTTTTTAACCTTAGCAACCCCTGGGCCTCCGTATGCCCTTACAATAGTTGAAGTGAAAAAAGGCCATGTTGATTTGAAATGGGAACCACCTAAGAATGATGGTGGCAGACCAATTCAAAGGTAAGGTCATTTTAAGTTTGTGTTGGCTCCTGTAGATAAACACCTTTTAACAAGTGAAGATGTTTCTCTCAAAATATTTAAATTTTAAATTGAAGCATTTTATATTAAAAATATGTGGATGAATTTAAGAGAAGCCGTGTGGTCAATGCAATGAAGGGTTTGATTTTAAAATGTAGAAATTATGCAAATAAAATACCTAATGTGCCTGAACAGTGAATGTGTGTCAACATCCTCAAAACAGCATATAATAATAAGGAGCTGCGAAAAAAAAAAAAAATAACATGTCCGTAGTCTGCAGTTCCTGCAAAATAATAGCCACTTAAAATCATCTAGCACGTATTATGCTTGCATTTTCCTTCTGCCTTTGCTTGTCATTCAAACTGTATACACTCATCTAAAATGAGTCTTTGCAGTTCGTTTTCTTCTTTATAACACTTTTCAAACAGACTGTTTTACTCCTTCCCAATCACAGAAAGCACATCTTAAACCAACAAACTACTATAGAGATCTGCCTGAAGAAACAGAAATCACTCAATTTGCATTACTTTCCCATAGCCTGTCCTATGCAGAATTTTGACAGCCAAGTAATCTTCAAATATTCTCAATGGATTGACCACTGATATCCAAACTAGCAAAGATACAAGTAGAGCTTGGAGGTTCTTTTGCCTCTGCAGCTCTCTAAAACCTGGGAACACAACTCAGTTCAGTTCTAAAACACAGAACAAAGTTCAAGAATTGACACTCAGACCTGGGTCTGTCAGTGATGTCAGCCCTATTAGGGTCTGAGACCTACTAGGACTAAGTGGCTAAAGTATGAAGTTCATTGAATCTATTATCCATTATTCTCTTTACTTTTTCACTGTCTAAACGATTCTAATCTCTTTTAATCTATTTTCTTGAAGAAGTCTGAAGTGTTCCTATTTCAAATGCCTCATAGTATTTTCCCCGACCTCTTCAGGTACGTTATTGAAAAGAAAGAAAAGCTAGCTACTCGCTGGGTAAAAGCTGGGAAGACAGCTGGTCCAGATTGCAATTACAGAGTGACAGATGTCATTGAAGGTACAGATGTACAGTTCCAGGTCCGTGCAGAAAATGAAGCTGGATGTGGTCATCCCAGTGAACCAACTGACCTTGTTCATATTGAAGACCCAACAAGTAAGCAGAATAATACAGTGTACGAATTTTAGAAGCAGTGTACTGTTCTGGAAGAAAAATCACGAAACCCTTTTCCATTTCTGCAGGCCCTCCTTCACCTCCTCAGGATTTACATGTCACAGATGCAGGCCGAAAGCACATTTGCATTGCATGGAAACCTCCTGAGAAGAATGGTGGAAGTCCCATTATTGGATACAATGTTGAGATGTGTGAAGCAGGAACAGAAAAATGGATGCGAATCAATTCTCGTCCAATTAAAGATCTAAAATGTAAAGTAGAGGAGGGAGTTGTTCCAGACAAAGAATATGTGCTGAGAGTCAGAGCTGTCAATGCTGTTGGAGCTAGTGAGCCATCAGACATCTCAGAAAAAGTTGTTGCCAAGGACCCAGACTGTAAGAATAGATTCCTTTTTCTGTTTTATTTTTTCAAATCTGCATAACTGAAAAAAAGAATGATGTTTGGCAACCTTCTGATAACATTAAACTTACCTTTACAGGTAATCCAACCATTGATCTGCAAACTCGTGACATTGTTGTTGTTAAGGGACAGAAGCTAAGTATCCCTATACCCTTCAGAGCTGTTCCATCGCCAACTATAACATGGCACAAAGATGGCAAGGAGTTGAAAGCTGGTGACAGAACAACAATGAAGAGTGACTACACCTCTGCATTGCTTGAAGTGATAGACAGCGTTCATGCCGATGCTGGTGTTTATACTATCACACTGGAGAACAAGCTGGCATCAACAACTGGCTCAGTCAATGTCAAAGTCATAGGTAACTATGTTCTTCCATTCTGAGAAACATGCTTATCTTCACTTGGGCCCTGCAGCTGACAGAAGACAGGGCTAGAAAGATATGGTTTCTGCCAGGCGGGCAAATCACTTCAACTCAGACACATGTAGATAGATGTTATGAAGTACCATGAAAAAACACTTTACCTCAAGTTGCTCTAACTATTCAGTGACTGCTCAAAGCCCAATTATTTTGAGAAGTTAGCATATAAATATAAAAATTATTTAAGAATTCTGACTATTTTTCATCTTTGGGAACATGATGCTGTGTAGCCCACATTTGTGGTCTTTGCTTTCTGCAAAGCAAGGAAATTAAATATAATTTCGTATTTGTAAGAATACACTTTCACATCTATTTAATTAACTAATTGTTTCATTCTTATTTAAAACAGGTCCACCTGGACAGTGTAAAGACATTAAGGCAAGCGAAGTAACTAAGAATTCTTGCAAAGTATCCTGGGAGCCTCCAGACTTTGATGGTGGTACTCCTATTTTGCATTACGTTCTGGAACGCAGGGAAGCTGGTCGTAAAACATACATCCCAGTCATGTCTGGTGAAAATAAGCTTTCGTGGCAAGTCAAAGATCTTATTCCAAACTGTGAATATTACTTCCGTGTTAAAGCTGTCAATAAGATTGGAGGGGGTGATTATCTTGAACTAAGAAACCCGATCATTGCAGAAGACCCAAAACGTAAGTTTGTCTTTCTATTAAATAATTTAAAAAATTTAATTTTAAATAAAATATTCATACTCTCTTTTCTCATGTGATCCCTCTTTTGATCTACTCTTTCACAGAGCCCCCAGATCCGCCTGTCGACCTTGAAGTCCATAATCCAACATCAAAATCAGTTACTCTTACATGGAAACCACCCCTGTTTGATGGGGGAAGCAAGATTATGGGCTATATAATAGAGAAGCTTGCAAAGGGCAAAGAGAGGTGGGAGAGATGCAATGACTATCTGGTACCCTTACTAACTTACACGGTGAAAGGCCTTGAGGAAGGAAAGGAGTATCAGTTCCGTGCTCGTGCTGAGAATGCTGCTGGCATCAGTGAGCCTTCTCGGATTACTCCTTTTGTGAAAGCTGTGGATCCTATTGGTATGAATTGTTCATTAGACCATTTGTATTAATTGCCATACATCCTCAGACATATTGAAAGATTCTACACTCCGTTTGTCATTCTTTGTTATTACAGAGGCTCCAAAAGTCTTCCTTGCTGCAAACCTACAGTCTGGCCTTGAGGTGAAGAGGGGTGATGAGATCATACTTGAGGCACATATTTCAGGGTCACCCTATCCATCTATTACTTGGCTGAGGAATGATGAAGTTGTCAGACCAGAGGATATAAAGAAGAGAGTAACAGCACCTAAAAAGAAGAAAGGTGAAGCTGAAGAAGAGAAACCTTTCCAGCTTTCACTGCCAGAACGTATGAGTGTTGACAACCACAAGGAAGGAGAGTCTATACTGTCAGTTCGTGACTCCATTAGAGCTGACCATGGCACATTTACAATTAAAGTAGAAAATGATCATGGAGTTGCAAAGGCCTCATGTGAAGTCAATGTGTTGGGTATGTAAAGAATGTCCTCAAAACACCTAGTTGTTCTGAGTATTAGGTAAAAAGTGCACAAGTTGAGTGCTCATAATTTTTCTTGGTTTACTAACAGATACACCTGGGCCACCAGTCAACTTTGTATTTGAAGATTTGAGGAAAAATTCTGTCCTTTGCAAATGGGAGCCTCCCCTTGATGATGGTGGAAGTGAAATCCTAAACTATGTACTGGAAAAGAAAGACAATACAAAAGCTGAAATGGGCTGGGTCACTGTCAGTTCAACACTCAGGCATTGCAAATTCCATGTAACAAAACTGATTGAAGGAAAAGAGTATCTATTCCGTGTATTTGCTGAAAATAGAGTTGGAGCAGGACCACCATGTGTTTCAAAACCAATGACAGCTAAAGATCCTTTCTGTAAGTTTTAATTTTGAAAAACAACATTTACAGAAAACAAAGTGTGAAACTCTAACAGACTGTTAGAGTACTCAGCTTTATCTGTGCATATGTTTCCCAGAAGAAATTTGAGCTATGTGATAATTGTTGCACATTTTAAACCATTGAAATACAGAGAACTATCAAAAATACTCTAATTTCAATAGTAAACACATAAGAATGATGATCACTGTCATAAAACTTTACCCTTAAAACACTTAACATCTGAACAGTGACATTCTCTGTGCTTCATAGGCTAGTATTCTTACCAAAAAAGAGAACCATTGTAGATTTGCTTACTGATCACCGTTAGGAATCAAAGGTTCTAAGAGAAGAAAAACTATGAATTAAAATTAGTAATTTCTTATATCTTAGTTCTCTCTTAGCTTTGAGTAAGCTCTGAAGAGACAGCAATGATGGCAAAAAACACCTTTTTGTTTTTCAGCTCCACCAGATGCACCTAACAAGCCTGATGTGGAAGATGTAACCAGCAACAGTATGCTGGTTAAGTGGAATGAACCAAAAGATAATGGGAGCCCTATCATAGGATACTGGATTGAAAAACGTGAAATCAATAGTACTCATTGGGCTCGGGTCAACAGGAACCTTGTGAATGCTCTGGAAGTAAAAGTTGAAGGACTGTTGGAAGGTTTAACTTACATCTTTAGAGTGTGTGCTGAAAATGCAGCCGGCCCTGGTAAATTTAGTCCACCATCAGATCCAAAAACTGCACAAGACCCAATAAGTAAGTGGCTTAGCAGAAGCTAATAGCAGACAGTTGACAAGATAGGATTCATAGCCTTTAACTTTGATTTACACTTATTTGTTTATTTATTTATTCATTTATAGTGCCACCTGGTCCCCCGATTCCAAGGATTGCTGATACAAGTGCAACTTCCATCGAGCTAGAATGGCAACCTCCTGTGTATAATGGTGGTGGAGATATCACTGGTTACCATGTGTACAAACAACTGATGGGTGTAAATGAGTGGTCACGCTGCACAGCAAAACCCATTAAGGTCCTGCAGTTTACTGTTGGAGAAGTGAGGGAAGGTGCAGACTATAAGCTCCGTGTTACTGCACTCAATGCAGCTGGTGAAGGACCACCTGGGGAAACTGAACCCGCAACAGTTGCAGAACCTAAAGGTATTGCGATTGCATTATTTTTAAGATATGTCCAGCTGCTTAAAAGGTGGGTTTGAATCCCTCCCTTCAACTAATGAACTGTTTCTCTTTCTTCCACAGAGCCTCCCACTGTTGAGCTGGATGTTTCTGTGAAAGCAGGCATTCAGGTCATGGCTGGACAGACTATTAAAATTCCTGCTACTGTGACAGGGCGTCCTGCTCCCACCATTTCATGGGCTATAGACGAGGGGGAATTAGACAAAGATCGAGTTGTTATTGAAAATGTTGGCACAAAATCTGAGTTAACCATTAAGAATGCATTGAGAAAAGACCATGGAAGATATGTAATTACTGCTACCAACAGCAGTGGTTCAAAATCGGCAGGAACCAGAGTAGAAGTATTTGGTAAGAAAAATACTTTCTCAAATTAAATAACCTTTTCTTTTGGTCAGTATATGCTTTACCTTACTTGTTTGATTTTGTTTTTCAGATGTTCCTGGACCAGTCCTTGACCTAAAGCCAGTGGTCACCAACAGAAAGATGTGTTTGCTTAACTGGTCTGATCCTGAAGATGATGGTGGCAGTGATATCATAGGCTTCATTGTTGAAAGGAAGGATGCCAAAATGCATACATGGAGACTAGCTGTAGACACAGATAGATCTAAATGTGATATTACAGGTCTAATTGAAGGGCAGGAGTATAAATTCCGTGTTAGTGCCAAGAACAAATTTGGTACTGGTCCAGCTGTGGAAATAGGACCCATTCTTGCAGTTGATCCATTAGGTAAGATGACTCATTTTACAGGGTTTTTAAAAAGAAAAAAAAATTATTGTCAGATTAATTAGACAATATTTTTGTCTTTCCTTCTATACAGAAAATGTGTTTATTTTTCAACTACATGGATAGGCATCTACTTTAGCTTCATTACTTCAGTCAGGTTTCTGAAGCAGTTCTCTGAAGCTAGTGTGGTTCTTTACATTTTTTTTACCAGCAAAATACTGGTGCCTACTGAGACACTACTTATTACCTTTTTCTCCACATACATGAGAAACTTTATGCAAGCCATAATCATACTCAGATCCTTTGTGTGTAAAAACTATGATTTTAAAAGGCCAGAGCGACTGCATTCTTATGATTTAAAATTCTCTGATGTTTTAATTTTTTCTTATTGTAATTTTTCTGTGTTAATAGGTCCTCCAACAGCACCTGAGAGGTTCATGTACACAGAGAGGACGAAGTCATCCATTACACTTGACTGGAAGCCTCCACGCAGTGATGGTGGTAGTCCCATCTTAGGATATATTGTTGAGAAGAGGAGACATGATTCAAAAGATTATGAAAGAGTTAATGCAAGGCTCTGTCCAAAAACATCTCTTCTTGTTGAAAAACTTGATGAACTTCATATGTATGAATTCCGTGTGAAAGCTGTCAATGAGATTGGAGAAAGTGAGCCATCACTGCCCCTCAATGTAGTTATACAAGATGATGAAGGTATATGAACTTTAAAGAAATCCATATAAATATCTTTAGAACACTTCAAGCACTTTCTCTGTTTCATCTCCATGTTCACTCTGTCACTTTCCTTCTTTTCAGTGCCTCCAACTGTTACATTGCGTTTGGCCGTGAGAGGAGATACTATCAAAGTCAAGGCAGGAGAGCCAGTTAACATTCCTGCTGATGTAACAGGCCTGCCAATGCCGAAGATTGAATGGGACAAGAATGAAGTTTTAATTGACCAAACGTCCAATGCACTTAAGATAACCAAGGAAGAAGTATCTAGAACTGAGGCAAAAACCGAACTCATCCTTCCTGCAGCAGTGAGGGATGATAAAGGCACTTACACTGTGAGAGCTACCAATCGTCTTGGCACTGCATTCCGCAATGTGCATGTCGAAGTGTATGGTAAGGATGCAGCATTTTAATAAAATGACAGCTAATAAAATACCTTTGCCTGCTTTTTAATGTAGTTCCATGCTCTATTGTTTCATACAGATCGCCCTTCTCCACCAAGAAATCTTGCGGTTTCTGATATTAAAGCAGAATCATGCTATCTAACATGGGATGCACCTCTTGACAATGGTGGTAGTGAAATTACCCATTACATTATTGAAAAACGTGATGCTAGTAAGAAGAAATCTGAGTGGGAAGAAGTCTCCAAAGGCGCTGTTGAGAGAAGATTTGGGGTAATTTATAAAATATCTTTATTACATACTTTATTATGCATTAAAAATAAAATTATTACATATTTAATGGAAACTGCATAGGTATCTGTGCTCATGCTCCATTTAGACTCCAGAATTACTGGATGAATGTTTCCCATCTATGTATCTGTGTTATCCCTCATGTGACAAAAGAAATTGTTCATTTTACTACTTAACCTTAGCTGAGCTAGAGAGAAAACACCTTCCTTTCTATTTTCCAGAATTATCCACTTTTTTACTGACTGCAAGACCAAACATTCATGTTCACTCCTATGCACATGAAATAAGAGTATGCTTAGGACATCACATAGAACTGTGTAGTACATTAACATAGGTATATCAGTCAGACTACAAGATAAAATTTAAATTCAAAACTTACACTTAATTCCAAATAAGTTGATTCTGAAAGTAGCCAAGTATTGATTTAAATCCTCTTTTTCAGGTATGGAATCTTGCAACAAATGAAAAATACCAATTTAGGGTCCGGGCTGTAAACAAATATGGAATAAGTGATGAATGCCTCTCAGAAAAAGTTGTCATTAAGGATCCCTATGGTCTTCCTGGACCTCCTGGAAAGCCAAAAATTTTGGATCGCACCAGATCATCTATGCTGGTGACTTGGGAGCCTCCTTTGGACAATGGTGGCAGCCCAATAACTGGCTATTGGTTGGAAAAGAGAGAGGTGGGAGGTGTCTACTGGGCACGTGTCAACAGGGCTCCAGTAACAAAACCATCAGTAAAAGGTCTAGAGCACAATGTGCTTCGTTTGGCTGAAGGTGTTGAATACCAGTTTAGAGTTATGGCTGAAAATCTTGCTGGAATTGGCCCTCCTAGTGAACCATCAGATCCAGCTTTGGCAGCAGATCCTATATGTAAGTGTATTATTTGTATGATTGTGTTAGAGGACTGTATCACAGCAGAACAAAAAATGTGTTTCTATGACTTTTTAAAAATTTATTAATGAAAATTATTAATAATGAAGTATTAATGTACTAACATTAATCAAAGGCTTTCACATTAAACCTAAGAATATGTCAATATAAGAATATATTGACACAAAGTTTCTGATTTTAAAAATGTAAAAATAATTAGCTTTAATTTTAATTTTTTACCTCTTGTATGTACCTAATACTGTGATAACCCAGGGTAGGCATTGCCAAATAAACTTCAGTTCAGAATGATATTTCTATATTACCCTTTTACTTTACTGTTAAACAGTTCAATCTTTATGCCTTGTACCTTAAGTATCCCTTGCTAACATGGGGAATCTGTGTAATTAGTATGCACATTCCAAGATTTACACTCTATATACAGGCAAAGAAATGAAAATACTTGCATTCTTCTAGAAACCTAACTAGAAAAATACAGGAAGACACTAACACTCAAGTAATTTTTACTTGCTCTTGTTTTACCAGTTGTGCCTGGTCCACCATCATGCCCAGAGGTCAAAGACAAAACCAAATCATCTGTAGCACTTGCATGGAAGCCTCCTCAAAAGGATGGTGGGAGTCCTATAAAAGGATATATTGTTGAAATGCAAGATGAAGGTAGTACTGATTGGAAGAAAGTGAATGAAGGAGACAAACTCTTTCCTACTTGCGAGTGTGTTATTCCCAACTTGAAAGAGCTCAGAAAATACCGATTTAGGGTGAAAGCTGTAAATGCTGCTGGAGAATCAGAACCAAGTCCTGCAACATCAGAGATACCTGTCCAAGATATTCTAGGTAAGAGTTCTGAGAACTGATTTAGGTATTTTTATGTAAATGCCACTTACTGTTATGAATGTTCAAAAAGGATGCCAAGCAAGCCAAAGCCAAAACAGAATAAACAATTATATACAAGAATGTAGCAAAAGACCGACACACAGGTTTGAACTGTCACTATTATGTCCATTCCCAGGCAATGCTCCATCAGGAAACTGATGAGCACCTACAGACATACTAATGAAATACTGTTTATTTTATAAAAAATTTACAGCAACGAATTTTTCTATTTGTATACTTGCCAATTTCCTTTTTGTATGTTCAGCCTTTCTCACATGAACATGCATTCCACATGTTTCTGGGGTATTTCAGCTCAGTGATGATGGAATTTTGCTTTCAGTAGTTCTTAAAATTCATACATTTAAATATTTTTGCAGAGGAACCAGAAATCTTCCTTGATCTTGGAGCACAGGATTTGCTCTCTTGTCGTGCTGGCACAACAATTAAAATCCCAGCTGTTATCAAGGGTCGTCCAGTTCCAAAAACATTTTGGGAGTATGAAGGAAAAGCAAAAACAGCAGCAAAGGTTAGTAAAAGTAATAGTTTTTTTTTCCTACACCTCTCTCTAGACATTTAAGCCTATTCCCTTTTACATTTATATTATTTCCATTTTTTTGTAGGAGGGAGGTCATAATGTACCCGAAGAAGCTCAGGTAAAGCGAGCAATTTTTTTAACCTTAGTATTGTTGCATTTTTGAAACATAAATATTCAAGGTTGCTCTGTAACTTCTTTTTGTCCTTATAATATGCAGGTGGAAGCAACTGATACACGTTCAGAGATTATCATCCCTGACTGCAACAGAAGTCACTCTGGTCGATACAGTATTACAGCAAAGAATAAAGCAGGACAAAAGACAGTGCATGTCAGAGTTAATGTGCTTGGTATGGCTTGCATATATTAAAGTATCCAGATGTTAGGGTTTAGTTTTATTTTTCTATATACTTATGTAAAATTGTGTCTGTTGTGCTTTTACCTTAATAGATGTCCCTGGCCCACCAAAAGACCTTAAAGTAAGTGATATCACAAGAGGTAGCTGTAAACTCTCATGGAAGATGCCAGATGATGATGGTGGAGATAGAATCAGAGGCTATGTTATAGAGAAGAGAAATATTGATGGGAAGGCCTGGACTAAAGTCAATCCAAATTGTGGCAGTACTTCCTTTGTTGTACCTGATCTCATAACTGGCCAAGAATATTTCTTCCGGGTACGTGCAGAAAACCGTTTTGGAGTTGGCCCTCCTGCAGAAACCATCCAGCGGACCACAGCCAGGGATCCAATCCGTAAGTAAAATCAAAGTCAAACAAATCCTTTAAAACCACATGGTGCTGTATGGTGGATTTATTCACTCTTCTGTTTTGGTTGCGAAGATCCTCCTGATCCGCCTATTAAACTGAAGATTGGCCTTGTAACCAAGAACACAGTGAGCCTGACATGGAAACCACCAAAGAATGATGGCGGAGCTCCTGTTACGCATTATAATGTTGAGTGTCTCCGCTGGGATCGTACTGGAGAAGTGAAAGAGTCTTGGAAGCAATGCAACAGACGTGATGTGGAAGAAACAAAGTTTACTGTTGAGGATCTTGTAGAAGGTGGAGAATACGAATTCAGAGTCAAAGCTGTAAATATAGCAGGTCCTAGCAGACCTTCAGCCACTGTTGGCCCACTTGTTGTCAAAGACCAGACATGTAAGTAGCAATACTAGTAAATGCAAATACCATTTTAAAATTGTGAAGTATTTTTGTATGCTATTTTTTTAACATTTTGTTGTAGGTCCACCGTCTATTGAGCTCAAAGAATTTATGGAAGTTGAAGAAGGAACAGATGTCAAAATTGTGGCCAAGATAAAGGGTGTACCCTTCCCCACATTAACATGGCTAAAAGCTCCTCCAAAGAAACCAGATGACAAATCACCAGTGGTGTATGATCAACATGTCAACAAGATTGTTGATGAAGATACTTGCACTTTATTGATCCAACAGTCTCGCAGAAATGATACAGGCTTATATACTATAACAGCTGTAAACAACCTGGGAACTGCTTCAAAGGAGATGCGGCTGAATGTTCTGGGTACGTATCAAGAACTCTTACAATTATTACATTAATTGATAGCATTCATTTGATACTTGATTAATTCTTCTTTCTTAAAATGTATCTTTTAGGTCGTCCCGGACCTCCAGTAGGACCTATTAAATTTGAATCCATTTTGGCTGATAAAATGACAATATCATGGCTTCCTCCATTAGATGATGGTGGTTCTAAGATTACAAACTATGTTATAGAGAAAAGAGAAGCAAATAGGAAGACATGGGTGTCTGTTACTAATGAGCCTAAGGAGTGCATATTCACTGTTCCCAAGCTGATGGAAGGCCATGAATACGTGTTCCGCATTATGGCACAAAACAAATACGGTATTGGAGAACCTTTGGATAGTGAGCCAGAAACAGCAAGAAACCTTTTCAGTAAGTAGAAATAAGCTTTCAAGTTATGTCAGTTGTTTCCATATGCTGATATGCATACAGCATCTGTTAAATACCACTACTCTTTTCTCTCTTTACTAAGTTTTCTAGAATAGCTTGAAGAGTTTTAGCAGTAGTACCTGGTTCTTAAAAGCACGTGTAGTGCTTAAAATATTTTTCTCCCTCTTTGTGTTATATTAAAGTACAATCTCAATATTTTTAATGCTTAAATATACAAGTAAATTTTTATTTGATGAGATTCAAGTTATTCTATTGTATTGGAGACATTATTAATGTCTTGGACCATAAAGAATCCATTTCCTACCTTCAGTTTGGAAAGATAAATTATACAGAAAAGCTCATACCTAGGAGGAATGTTAGGCTGCCAAGAGAAAATGGTTCTTAAAACAGCAAGTGTTAGGCTGAGCACTAAAATGAGGTAGTGATCCAGAAAGGCTAGAAATAAAAAATTTTGACATTTTTTATTTAGAGGAAAGGCATTTCATTTTTCACAGAATTATATGTACCTGAATAGGGGTGAGAAATTGAAAGAGGAAAGAGATCTTGTGCAGATGGCTAATTGCCTAGTGCAATGGCAACCATGTGAGTGCATAGCTCTTCTGCACTCTAGCTATTTCTGTGTAATTTTAGCATATTTTTTACAAGCCATGTGTGAATTTTTTTCCCTCAGCTGTCCCTGGACCTCCTGACAAGCCAACAGTTAGCAGTATAACACGTGACTCAATGACAGTGAACTGGGAAGAGCCAGAGCATGATGGTGGCTCTCCTATTACTGGTTACTGGTTGGAGCGCAAAGAGACCACTGGAAAGAGATGGACCAGGGTTAACCGAGATCCTATCAAGCCTATGACCCTGGGGGTTTCATACAAAGTTACAGGCCTTATTGAAGGCTCTGAATATCAGTTCCGTGTGTCAGCTATCAATGCGGCTGGTGTTGGCCCACCAAGCATGCCATCTGATCCAGCACTTGCTAGAGATCCTATTGGTAAATATTTTAAATTACTTTTTTCTGAATTTGAAAATATTCAAACAAGAACATATACTACATCTTTATGCTCTATGATTATATTTTTCAGCCCCACCTGGCCCTCCTATACCAAAAGTTACTGATTGGACAAAGTCTTCTGTAGACTTGGAATGGACTCCACCAGTAAAGGATGGTGGCTCTAGAGTCACTGGCTACATTGTTGAGTTTAAAGAGGAAGGAAAGGAAGAATGGGAACGGGTAGGTGGAAAACCACTACAAAATCAGCACTTCTTCTCTCTGTGTCTATCAATATTAATTGCTCCAGAAAAATTTTCTTTAAAATTTTTTGCTGTTCAAGTTATTTTCTAAAAGTTTGTACCATAATTATCTTTGTATATTTAAAATACAAGACCAAGCTTGACCTTCCTCAATATGAAGTTAACTGTGCAAATACTAGATACAGAATTTTGCAATTTTTATTTAAAGATGTGGAAAAATATGTAGGTAATACATGATAAAAAACCACAGAAGATCAAGTTAGAACTGTCAGAAAAGTAACCCTCACTCATATCAGATGATGCCAAAGCATTTACAACTGCTATGTTTCTACATTTTCATAATTTTTTTCAATAGTGCATTACTGAAAATTTAACTGGTGCACACCTTGGCTGTTTTTTGTGACTCCATAAATACATGGATTCCTTTTATGTAAAACCCACATTTCCAATACTGTTTCCAGTTGAAGAGACTTTATATTGGATTTTGAAAAGAAAATAAATTCATTCCCTTTTTTTTTTGTTGCTCTCTCTTATATGAGTTTATGTGTCCAAAAATACATGTAATTCTTCTGAGACCAGACTATTGCAATTGTTAAATAGATAATTCTAATAACCTTCTATGTTAGAATATGTTAGAAAAAAGACAAATCTTCAGAATAGCTTGTAGGTCCATGACATATATTTCTTTAAAAAATTCTGACAAATTCTGTGTGGGCTAGATCCGTGTAGGCTTAATACTTTTGTGTGCTTGTATATCTGAAATAATAGCTAATGTCAGATTTGTTTCAAACTCTGCAAAGAAATTGATGGTGTCTTGATGTTTGCTGATGTTACAATGTTTTTTTTCCAGGTAAAAGATAGAGAAATTAGAGGAACCAAGTTTGTTGTGGCAGGATTAAAAGAAGGTTGTTTTTACAAATTTAGAGTTAGAGCAGTAAATGCTGCTGGCATCGGAGAGCCTGGAGAAGTTACAGACGTTATTGAAATGAAGGACAGAATTGGTATTTATAATTTTGATTTACATTTTTAGTATCTCTAACTCAAAATAAGAAAAGAAAATCATTGACTTTTTTTTTCTCTTTCCTCAGTGGCTCCTGATATTAATTTGGATGCAAGTGTAAGGGACAGAATTGTTGTTCATGCTGGAGGAGTAATTCGGATTATAGCATATGTCTCAGGAAAACCACCTCCAACAGTGAGTTGGAGCAGGGATGAGCAAGCTTTGCCAGAAGAAGCCAAAATTGAAGAAACAGCTATTAGTTCTTCTTTAGTCATCAGGAATTGCAAAAGGAGTCACCAGGGTTTATACACCCTTCTTGCTAAAAATGATGGTGGTGAGAGGAAGAAGACAATTATTGTTGATGTGCTAGGTAAATAGCAGCTTCAGTGCTTGTGAACAAGTACAGTTTCCTAAGATTCAGCATGTGTGTTTCAATACTCCATTTTTTTCTTGCTTCCAGATGTGCCAGGCCCAGTTGGATTGCCACTCCTTACAGAGAATCTAACTAATGACTCTTGTAAATTGTCATGGTTTACTCCAGAAGATGATGGTGGTTCTCCTATTACAAACTATATAATTGAAAAACGTGAATCTGACCACAGAGCTTGGACTCCCGTGACCTACACAGTTACAAGACAGAATGCTACTGTTCAGGGACTCATTCAAGGGAAAGCCTACTTTTTCCGAATTGCAGCTGAGAACATAATTGGCATGGGTCCTTTCACAGAAACAACGAAAGAGATTCTCATTAGAGATCCAATAAGTAAGAATATTTTTGGTTCGGATAACTGTCGTATGAGATTTATACACAGGAACATTCTGAATATGAAGAAAAATGAATCTACCTTATTTTTACTTTATTCACAGCTGTTCCTGACCGTCCAGAAGACCTGGAAGTAAAAGCAGTTACCAAGAACTCTGTGACACTAACTTGGAACCCTCCAAAATATAATGGAGGCTCAGATATCACCATGTACGTTCTAGAGAGCCGTCTCATTGGAAAAGACAAATTCCACAAAGTTACAAAGGAGAAAATGCTAGATAGGAAATTCACTGTAGAAGGCTTGAAAGAAGGTGACACTTATGAGTTTCGCGTGAGTGCTTGCAATATTGTGGGGCAAGGCAAGCCGTCATTTTGCACTAAACCAATCACGTGCAAGGATGAAATTGGTATGTTTCTTTTTCATATTTATTTTGAAAATAGTAATTGCGTTTACTGATCCTTACTTTTTCATATTAATATTGCTGACATTTGTGGATTTTGTGTATTTTGTCTTTCAGCTCCTCCCACACTTGACCTTGACTTTAGAGACAAGCTTATTGTTCGAGTTGGTGAAGCTTTCAGCTTGACTGGACGCTACTCAGGCAAACCTGCACCAAAGGTTACTTGGCTGAAGGATGATATTGTTGTGAAAGAAGATGACAGAATAAAGATTAAGACAACTCCTACAACTCTTTGTTTGGGGATACTAAAATCTGTCCGTGAAGACACAGGCAGATACTGTGTTACTGTAGAGAACAGCACAGGATCAAGAAAAGGATTTTGTCAAGTTCATGTCGTTGGTAGGTTTTACTGAACAACAATATTGTCTGTGATTTTTATTGGTGATTAGAATTCATTGATTTTTATAAAATTTAAGTATTGAAATGTGTTCTTTATTACAATAATTCAATTTACTGCTTTCTCAGTTATACTGAAAAGCTATTTATTTATTTATTTATTAATAAACTCTGAATTAGTTTATTCAGCATGAATAATTTAATGTCTCTACATGCATTTAGAGAATCTCAACACTGTAGAAAATGTTAATCCAAATACATTATAAGCATAAAGGAATTAATTCCAATACGTCAAACATTTATTACAGAGGAATAGCCCTGAAGTCTTGATTCCTTATTATAACTGTGATGTCAAGTTTCTAATTTTATACTATATTTGCTGTATTGACACTGTTTAATTGATATTGTTTTGTGAAGTTCATAAAAAAGCATGGATATGCTTTATTTTTCCTTAAACAGATCGCCCATCACCTCCAGTAGGCCCAGTTATATTTGATGAAGTCTTTAAAGATCATATGGTTGTTTCCTGGAAACCTCCATTAGATGATGGAGGCAGTGAAATTACAAATTACATAATTGAGAAGAAGGATACACACAAAGACTTATGGATGCCAGTTACATCTGCCACAGTGAAGACAACATGCAAAATTCCCAAGCTGCTTGAAGGAAGAGAATATCAAATTCGAATTTATGCTGAAAATCTTTATGGCATAAGCGATCCTCTCATCTCTGATGAGATGAAAGCCAAGGACCGTTTCCGTAAGCTTTTAGTTTTCAATTTTATTTAGATACTCCAATCTTTAGTCTGTTTATAATGGTCATACACTCTTTTTTTCTTCTCACCCCAGGTGTTCCTGATGCACCTGAGCAACCAATCATTAAGGATGTAACCAAAGACTCTGCAGTAGTGGTTTGGAACAAACCATATGATGGAGGCAAGCCAATAACAAACTACATTGTAGAAAAGAAGGAAACAATGGCTACAAGATGGGTCAAAGCTACCAAAGATCCAATTTTCCCTGGTACAAAGTTCAAAGTGCCTGATCTCCTTGAAGGCTGTCAGTATGAATTCCGTGTGTCAGCAGAAAATGAAATTGGTGTTGGTGATCCTAGTCCACCATCAAAGCCAATTTTCGCTAGAGATCCAATTGGTAAAGTGTCACATTTCATTTCTCATTGAATTTTTAATGCACTCAGTTTCAGTTAAAAATTATTCTAATAGTTTCCTTTTTTTTTCCTCCCATTTATTTATTGTTTTACTTTTTTAACAGCAAAACCAAGTCCACCTGTTAATCCAGAAGCAGTAGATAAAACTAAAAATTCAGTTGATTTATCTTGGCAACCACCACGCCATGACGGAAATGGCAAGATAATTGGCTACCTTATAGAGTTTCAGAAAGTTGGAGATGAGGAATGGAAACAGGCTAATCTTACAGCAGATTCTTGTCCTGAAACAAACTACAAAGTCACTGGTCTTACTGAGGGATTAACCTACAAATTCAGGGTCAAGGCAGTCAATGCAGCAGGCGAATCTGATCCAGCACATGTTCCTGATCCGGTAGAAGTAAAGGACAGGCTTGGTGAGTTGAATAAAATCAGATAAGTTAACCTAAGGACAGATTTCTTTTTCCTCATTTTGTAAAAACTTTTATTTTTGATTCCAGAACCTCCTGAGTTAATACTTGATGCTAATATGGCCCGAGAACAGCATGTAAAAGCTGGAGATACCCTGAGACTTAGTGCTCTTATTAAAGGTGTTCCATTCCCAAAAGTTACTTGGAAGAAAGAAGATCATGAGGTCTCACCCAAAGCTGATATTGAAGTTACAGGAGTTGGCAGTAAGCTTGAAATCCGTAACACTGTCCATGAAGATGGTGGAATGTATTCCCTGACAGTTGAAAATCCAGCTGGTTCAAAGACTGTTTCAGTAAAAGTTGTGGTCTTAGGTAATCATTTTGTATTCCTTTTATACAACATCTTTTTACTCTATAACTGAAGATTAGGAAATAAAGAAATTTCTGGAAAATATCTGTAAACCAAGTTATATTTTTATTTTTATGCAAATATTAAATAAATAGAAAAAGGATTAAAACCACATAAAATACTATATAGTTTATCTTAAAATTTACAAAGTTGTTTAAGAAATGCTTCCGTTACCAAATAAATAACAGATTATATTTTTATCAATGTTAGATAAGCCTGGTCCACCCAGAAATCTGAACATCAGTGATGTTAGAAGCGACTCTTGCTATCTCACTTGGATGGAACCAGAAGATGATGGTGGCTCTGTGATTACCAACTATGTGGTGGAGAGGAAAGATGTAGCTTCTGCACAGTGGGTAGCCATCTCATCATCCTCCAAGAAACGCAGCCATATGGCTAAATATCTGATGGAAGGCACTCAGTATCTCTTCCGAGTTGCAGCTGAGAATCAGTATGGTAGAGGTCCATATGTGGAAACACTTAAGCCTATCAAAGCTATAGATCCGCTGCGTAAGTGTTTTTCAGTTATATGGTTTGATTTTTTCATATGGGATTTGGTAATTTTGAGGTTGTCCTGTTGGTATGAACATGATACACTGGTACTGTAGATTTTTCATCCTAGTAACCATTTTGCTTTTGTACTTTAAAAGATCCTCCAGGGCCACCAAAGAATCTGCATCATGTAGATGTTGACAAGACTGAAGTTTCCCTTGTTTGGAATCGACCAGATCGTGATGGTGGTGCTGAGATAACTGGGTATTTGGTGGAATATCAAGAAGATGGTGCAGATGAATGGACAAAGTTCCAGACAGTCCCTATGCTAGACTGTGTTGTTACAGGCCTACAGAAAGGAAAAATATACAAATTCCGTGTGAGAGCTCAAAACATTGTTGGTCTTAGCCTTCCAGATACAACTATACCAATAGAGTGTCAAGAAAAGCTAGGTAATTTTTGTTTTCTCATGTTTTTTCAATGATTTTTTCTCTTTTTCTGTAAGCGTTTTTCCTGAAAAAATAATTTCTATTTTTCTCTAATTTCAGTACCTCCATCTGTGGATCTAGATGTGAAGTTAATTGAAGGTCTTGTTGTTAAAGCTGGCACCACAGTGCGCCTTCCAGCGATTATGAGAGGTGTGCCAGTTCCCACAGCAAAATGGGTTACTGATGACACCGAAATTAAACCAGATGGCAAATACAAGATTGAGACTGACAATTACTCAACTGTGCTTACTATCAAAGACTGTGTAAGAAAAGATACAGGAGAATATCTACTCACAGTATCTAATGCAGCTGGCAGCAAAACTGTGGCTCTACACCTTACAGTTTTGGATGTTCCAGGCCCACCAACTGGTCCTATTAATATTCTTGAAGTAACACCAGAATATATGGTTATTTCTTGGCGCCCTCCTAAAGATGATGGTGGGAGTCCTATAATAAATTATATTGTTGAGAAGCGTCAATCGAAGAAAGAAACATGGGGAGTGGTTAGCTCTGGAACAAGTCACACAAAAATTAAGGTTCCACGACTACAGAAAGGCTGTGAATATATTTTCCGTGTTCGTGCAGAAAATAAGATAGGCATCGGTGCACCCCTGGATTCAGAACCAACAGTTGCTAAATACATGTTTGATCCACCATCCCCACCTGGTAAACCAACTGTTTATGATATTACAGAAAATGCAGCAACAGTGTCTTGGACCCTACCAAAATCTGATGGTGGAACTCCAATAACTGGTTATATACTTGAACGTCGGGAAGCATCTGGTAAATGGGTGCGTGTCAATAAGACGCCTATACTTGATATGAAATACAGAGTCACTGGTCTTTTTGAAGGCAACACATATGAATTCAGAGTTTTTGCAGAAAACATGGTGGGCTTAAGCAAACCATCTCCAAGCTCTGATCCAATAAAAGCATCACGTCCTATCACTCCTCCCGGTCCACCTATAAATCCAAAATTAAAAGACAAAACTAAAGAATCAGCTGATCTTGTGTGGACAAAGCCCCTCAAGGATGGTGGCAGCCCAATTCTGGGATATATTGTGGAATGTCAGAAAAGTGGAACTACGCAGTGGAATAGGATTAATAAGGATGAGCTCATTAGACAGTGTGCTTTCAGAGTACCTGGATTAATAGAAGGAAATGAATATAAATTCCGAATAAAAGCTGTCAACATCGTGGGAGAGGGAGAACCAAGAGAACTACCAGAAACTGTGCTTGCAAAAGATATTCTTTCTCCTCCAGAAATAAGCCTAGATGTGACCTGTCGAGACTTAATTACTGTCCGAGTAGGTCAAACAATACGTATTACTGGTAAGGTAAAAGGCAGACCAGATCCTGAAATAACATGGTCTAAAGATGGCAAAGTACTAGTCCAAGACAAGCATGTTGAAATACTTCATGATCTACCTAATGTTGAACTGCAAGTGAAAGAAGCCAAAAGATCTGATCATGGCAAATATATAATAGCAGCTAAAAACAGCTGTGGACAAGCTCAAGCTTTTGCTATTGTTAATGTACTTGACAGACCTGGACCATGTCAGAACCTGAAAATAAGCTATGTCACAAAAGACTCTTGTATGATCTCTTGGGAGAGTCCAGTGGATAATGGTGGCTCTGAAATTACAAATTACATAGTAGAATACCGTCAACCAAATCAGAGGGGATGGTCAATTGTCTCCTCTGATGTTACTAAACGATTAGTAAAGGCAAATCTTGTAGAGAACCGTGAATACTTCTTCAGAGTTTGTGCAGAGAACAAAATAGGTCCAGGTCCTTGCATTGAGACCAAGACTCCTATCCTTGCTATCAATCCTATTGACAAGCCTGGAGAGCCAGAAAATCTTCACATTGCAGAGAAAGGAAAGACATTTGTATACCTGAAATGGAGGAGGCCAGATTATGATGGTGGAAGTCCCAATTTAAGTTACCATGTTGAGAGAAAACTGAAAGATTCAGATGAATGGGAAAGAGTTCACAAAGGCAGCATTAAGGAAACACACTACATGGTAGATAAATGTGTGGAAAATAAAACTTACCAATTCCGAGTTCAAACTAAGAATGAGGCCGGTGAAAGTAACTGGGTAAAAACCGCTGAAGTTGTTGTGAAGGAAGATCTTCAGAAACCAGTGTTAGATTTGAAGTTAAGTGGGGTTCTAACTGTGAAAGCAGGCGACACAATTAGAATTGAAGCTGGAGTCAGAGGAAAACCACAGCCTGAAGTTGTATGGGCAAAAGACAAAGATGCCACAGATCTCACCAGATCTCCAAGAGTCAGTATTGAAAACACTTCTGACACATCTAAGTTTGTTCTCACAAAATCAAGGCGTACTGATGGTGGGAAATACGTGATTACAGCAACTAATGCGGCTGGTAGCTTTGTGGCATATGCTACTGTTATTGTCTTGGATAAACCTGGTCCCGTACGAAACTTGAAGGTCACTGACATTTCAAGTGATAGATGTACTGTTACTTGGGATCCTCCAGAAGATGATGGTGGTTGTGAAATACAGAACTACATCCTGGAAAAATGTGAAAGCAAGCGTATGGTTTGGTCTACATACTCTTCCTCTGTCCTAACAAACTATGCCAAAGTGACACGCCTCATTGAAGGTAATGAATATATATTCAGAGTGCGTGCAGAGAATAAAATGGGCACTGGTCCTCCAACAGAAACACATCCAATTATTGCAAAAACGAAATATGATAGACCTGGACGCCCTGACCCTCCAGATGTCACAAGAGTCAGCAAAGAAGAGATGACTGTAGTTTGGAATCCACCAGAATATGATGGTGGCAAATCAATTACAGGATACATTTTAGAGAAGAAAGAGAAACGATCACTGAGATGGGTTCCTGTTACTAAAACTCCAATCCCAGAGAGACGCAAGAAGGTTACTAATCTCTTCCCTGGTCATGAATACCAGTTCCGTGTCAGTGCTGAAAATGAAGTCGGACTTGGAGAACCAAGCTTGCCATCAAGACCTGTAATAGCCAAAGACCCAATAGGTAAAATACCACTGAATTTTTCTGTATTATTTCGATGTTAACAGGTTGCTAAACTCTACAGCTGTGTTCTAATCTGTATTTTTTACTGCCTTGCAGAACCACCTGGTCCTCCCACAAACTTGAGAGTGGTTGATAGCACAAAGACTTCCTTAACCCTTGGCTGGGGAAAACCGGTGTACGATGGTGGTGCTCCGATTATTGGATATGTTGTGGAAATGAGACCAAAAGTTGAGGGTGCTGATCCTGAAGCAGGATGGAAACGATGTAATGTTGCTGCTCAAGTTATTCATACAGAATTCACAGCTACCAGCCTGGATGAGAAGCAATTATATGAGTTCAGAGTTTCTGCCCAAAACCAGGTTGGCCTTGGCCGACCAGCAGAATTGAAAGAAGCTGTGTCTCCCAAAGAAATACTTGGTGAGTTTTCCCATCTTCTTTTGGGGTGTTTACATACAACACGTTATTTGCTATATGCTTATTTTATTTAATGTGCAAAAATTTGCATTTTATTCTTTGTCTTTCAGAACCTCCTGAGATTGAGCTGGATGCCAGCATGAGAAAGTTAGTCACAGTCAGAGCAGGATGCCCTATTAGACTTTTTGCCATTGTGAGGGGTCGCCCAGCACCAAAAGTCACCTGGAGGAGAATGGGTATTGATAATGTTATCAGAAAAGGACAAGTTGATCTGGTTGACACTATGGCCTTCTGTGTCATTCCTGATTCAACACGTGATGACTCAGGCAAATATTCATTGACACTTGTTAATGCAGCTGGAGAAAAGGCTGTATTTGTGAACGTCAGAGTTCTGGGTAAGTAATGTGAGAAATACCTCAAGACAATTCTAAAACTATTTTGGATGTTCCTTGCAAGTATATTTGTTTTCCTCAGGTGCAACAGTTTTTTAGTCTAATTCTATCATCCAACACTAACTCCCTCCATATAGACAGCTGTTGGTCCCCTTTAATTTTAACTTATTAAAGAAGAAAATACTAACATAAATTGAAATTTCTTCATAGATACTCCTGGACCTGTGTCAGACTTCAAGGTTTCAGATGTCACCAAGATGTCCTGCCATCTTTCATGGGCACCTCCAGAGAATGATGGGGGTAGCCCAGTGACTCATTACATCCTGCAGAAACGGGAGGCTGACAGGAAGACATGGGCAACAGTCACAGCAGAACTAAAGAAAACTAGTTTCCAAATAGCGAACCTTGTGCCTGGAAATGAATATTACTTCAGAGTAACAGCAGTGAATGAATATGGGTCAGGTGTTCCAAGTGACATACCAAAACCTGTTCTAGCAACAGATCCTCTAAGTGAGTATGCCTCTATGTATATTTTATGTTTGCCTCCATGGACATTTTCTGTTTGTCTTTCTCTAATTTTAGCAGATTTTTGCATTTCTTGAGTTAGTGCTTCTAAATGGAACAATGCTGCTGACTACTCAAGTATAAACATAAGTATGTCTGTATCAGTTTCTTTCAAATAACATGATCAATGAATATTGTACCTATGAAATTATTATGAGTTTCCATCTTTTATATAATGTGTTTGTTGAATTTGCGTAGATAGTATCCAATATTCAACAGTAAGAAAATCTTGGAAATTCAATGTTTAATGCATTCCTCTTTTCCCCTGAAAGGTGAACCTGATCCACCAAGAAAACTTGAAGTTACTGAAATTACAAAGAACAGTGCTACTTTAGGCTGGCTGCCACCACTGCGCGATGGAGGCTCTAAAATTGACGGATACATTGTTAGCTACAAAGAACATGATCAACCAGCAGATCGCTGGATGGAATATTCAGTCGTTAAAGATCTCTCCATTGTTGTGGCTGGTCTGAAGGAGGGAAAGAAGTACAACTTTAGAGTGGCAGCTAGAAATGCTGTAGGAGTAAGTTTGCCAATAGAAGCTACAGGAGAATACGAAATTAAAGAACAACTCAGTAAGTAACAATTTAAATACTACCTAATATACTGCTTCAGTAATTAAATGAGATATACAGGTTTTTGAGTCACAGAAGGATGTTTGCTTTATGGAGTTATCTGGAGGATTATGGTTAACTGTACTGAATATTTTGACAGGTCAGGAAAAAATGAGAGTTGTCCACTAATTCAGAATTATTAAATAACTTTTCAGGTACAGTTTCAGTTGGAACTGGAAGATAAGAATTAGGGAGAAATAATAAATACCTTCAAGTTTAAATGGAAGAGAAGAAGTGTCAGACTGGTAGTTTGAGAGATAAATTGGAAAGCTGGACTTGTTTCAATATAAGAGAAAATAAATGGTTTATATTGTAAGGTTGGTTGAGAATCTAAAACAAAAATCATGGAGGACAGGTTGGCCTATTTAAGGTGGCAGGGTTCCTGAGGCACAAGAAGATGTAGGGTAAGGGCAAGATGAGCAGAATCTTCATTTGGGACATGGGAAGAAAGAGAGAGAGGTACAGGAACAGGAGAAAGAAAACTAGCCAGTGGAAGGAAGTACACCAAGCATGCTGCCAGGTTTCTTTTGGGAAAAAATTGATTTTGTGCAAAAGAAGAAGTAGGAGAAAAATAATTTAAGGATACAGAAAGACTGACTGTGCAAGCAGGTTTATCTCAGTAAGAACTTCAGTTTTCTTCTCCATGTGTCTTGTAGAAGGCCACCAATAAGCCAGCAACAGATTTCAGATAAAAAGAGAAATTATATTTTGTGCATTAATAGTGCACAAATCTCTACATAAATGCAGGTGAAGGCAATCAAATTCATAAATATTATCTTATAAACTGTACAATAATACAAAAGTATTATTGGATGGAATGGATATTGCCACCTGCAGAAACTGAAGTTGTCCATAAGTGGAACATAAATTAAAGAATTTCTAGTAATTCATACAGGTGACTCTACTTAAGAGAGATGCAGAGACATTTCACATGAAAAATTAAGAAAAAGTAAATTAATATGTCAAAGAACTTGAATTTATTTTCCTCTGTGTGATTTTTTTTTTTTTACAGTCCCACCTAAGATTCTGATGCCTGATCATGTTCACATTAAAGCTGGAAAGAAACTGAGAATTGAAGCTCATGTATATGGGAAGCCTCAGCCAGTCTGTAAATGGCTGAAGGGAGATCAAGATGTGGTTACATCCAGTCGCCTTGCTGTGCATAAAGCAGAAAAGTCTTCTGTTCTTATCATTAAGGATGTGACTAGAAAAGATACTGATTTTTATACTCTTACTGCAGAAAACAGCTCTGGTATTGATAGTCAGAAAATCAAAGTGACAGTCATGGGTATGTCCCATTTGGTTGTTTTTCAGTCCAGCTTTATATAAAGCTGGTTTTACTATATTCCAGTCATTGCCATATTATTTCATCCATTTTCTTAATATACTTTTTTCATGCAGATAAACCAGGTCCACCACAGCCTCCATTTGATATTTCTGAAATAGATGCTGATGCTTGCACTCTTTCATGGCACATACCTCTTGAAGATGGTGGCAGCAACATTACAAACTATGTAGTTGAGAAATGTGATGTAAGCCGAGGAGACTGGGTAACAGCTTTATCTTCTGTCACAAAGACAAGCTGCAGAATTGGAAAACTGATTCCTGGAGAAGAGTATATGTTCCGTGTTCGTGCTGAAAATCGTTTTGGGATTTCTGAGCCACTTGCTTCTGACAAGATGATTGCAAGATTCCCATTTGGTACGCCAGTTTTTGATAGCAGCATTTCTCTATTTAAACTTTCTACTAAGAAAACATACAATTGATGTCTATCTTTATATTCCTTTCTAGATGTTCCCAGTGAACCAAAGAATGCACGTATTACCAAGGTCAATAAGGACTGCATTTTTGTTGCTTGGGATAAACCAGATAGCGATGGAGGCAGTCCGATCACTGGTTATCTCATTGAGCGCAAAGAAAGGAACAGTTTACTGTGGGTGAAAGCTAATGACACAGCTGTGCGCTCCACAGAATACCCTTGTGTGGGCCTCATCGAAGGTCTTGAGTATACTTTCAGAATTTATGCGTTGAACAGAGCTGGAGCAAGTAAACCTAGTAAACCGACTGAGTTTGTCACAGCAAGAGCACCAGTTGGTAAGCTACCCATACTAATACTTTGCAACAGACTGTTTTTGTGATAATTATCAATATAACTGCAACTTATTATGATCTTTAGTTTACCCTTCTATTTATACTTTCATGTTTATTATGACATCACTCTGCACTGTCTAGGTGTGCAGTAAATAGGATCCAGTAATATTAAAGCCATTTTCTAATGTGTTAGCTCTTTTTTGAAAAATATACTATAATATGTTTTTATTTGCCATAGATCCCCCTGGAAAACCTGAAGTTATTGATGTCACTAAGAGTACTGCATCACTGGTATGGACAAGACCAAAGCATGATGGTGGTAGCAAACTTATTGGCTACTTTGTGGAGGCTTGCAAATTACCTGGTGATAAGTGGGATCGGTGCAATACAACTCCATATCAAATACCCCAGGAAGAGTACACTGTGACTGGTTTGGAAGAAAATGCTCAGTACCAATTTAGAGCAATTGCCAAGACAGCAGTTAACATTAGTCGACCTTCAGAACCTTCTGATCCAGTGACCATTCATCCAGAAAATGGTAAGGAGTACAAAAGCATTTGACAACTCTGGAAGGAGTCTGTGCATGTTGGGAACTAGCACTCATGTAAAGAACAAGACATTTATCTCCTGCTAGATTGATTAACTCTTGGACTCTTTCCTTTCAGTTCCTCCCAGAATAGAGTTAGATCTGTCTATGCAATCACAGCTTACAGTAAAAGCTGGAACTAATGTGCGCCTGGAGGCAAATGTGTATGGCAAGCCAATGCCAGCAATCACCTGGAAGAAAGAAGGAGAAGTTTTAAAGCCATCTGAAGGTCTTAAGATCACCACGAAGAGAAATCTTGCTACAGTTGAGTTGTTCAGTGTTAACAGGAAGCAAACAGGAGACTACACTATCACTGCTGAAAATGCAAGTGGATCAAAGTCAGCAACCATTAGGCTTAAAGTACTTGGTAAGCTAAAGACTGTCTATTAATAAACATATTTATAATTAAATGATATAGCAAGAGATAGAACTATAATAATGTGATGTTAATTGTTCTAGATAAGCCTGGCCCACCAGCTTCTGTCAAAATCAAACATATGTATGCAGATCGTGCAATGCTTTCTTGGGAGCCTCCTTTGGAAGATGGAGGTTCAGAAATTACTAACTACATTGTAGACAAGCGTGAAACAAGCAGACCTAACTGGGCCCAAGTCAGTGCCAATGTACCCATTACAAGCTGCACTGTGGAGAGACTGATAGAAGGACATGAGTATCAGTTCCGCATTTGTGCTGAAAACAAGTACGGTGTTGGAGACCCCATCTTGACTGAACCTGCAGTTGCTAAAAACCCATATGGTAAGTGCTTTGTGGAATAGTTTCATGTCACTGGGTTTTTGTCTATACTTAAGAATGTGAATGTAATCTTCAAATTAATCTCCACAGATGTGCCTGGACCTTGTGATCCACCAGTAATTAGCAATGTAACAAAAGACTTTATGACTGTGAGCTGGAAGCCACCAGCTAGTGATGGTGGATCCCCAATAACTGGTTATATACTTGAGAAGCGTGAAACAAAGGCTCTTAACTGGACAAAAGTAAACAGGAAGCCTGTCATTGAAAGAACTGTTAAAGCTACTGGACTCCAAGAAGGAACAGAGTATGAGTTCCGGGTGATAGCATTGAATAAGGCTGGACCTGGCAAGCCTAGCGCACCATCTAAAGCAGTGTATGCTCGTGACCCTCAATGTAAGCTTGAAGTCTCAGATATTTTCCATTATTATTTCCAAATATTATCATGCAGCATTTGGTATGCTAATTTTATGTTGTTTTAATTCCCAGATCCTCCTGGCCCACCTGCTTTCCCAAAAGTGGTTGATACTACTCGTAATTCAATAAGCCTGTCATGGAGCAAACCAGCATATGATGGAGGAAGTCCTATCATTGGTTATCTAGTGGAATCAAAACGAGCTGACACAGACAACTGGGTCAGATGCAATCTACCTAAGAATTTACAGGCTACACAATTTGTGGTAACAGGGCTGATGGAAGGTACAGAGTACCAGTTCCGTGTTTATGCTGTCAATAAGATTGGATACAGCGATCCAAGTGATGTTCCAGATAAACACACTGCCAAAGACATTTTAAGTAAGTTCACTTGAAAACACATTGCCTTGTTGACTTTTGTTTCAGTTTATGGGGTGTGTTTCAAAGACAGACTTTGTCACAGGTCATAGGCACAGAATTATTTGGAACATGTTTTTATTCAAAAAATGTAGGCTAACAGTGGCTAATTTGGAAGAAAGCAGGGTAGTTAGGAACAGAATTGGATTTGGTGTCTCCCTTTTTCACTGTAGGCTTTATAGCCTTCTGCCTCCTACTGGATCTTCAAGATTTACTTTTTTTTCCTAATCTTAATATTAGCGTTGTCAGATCGCTCATCTTTCTTAAAACTTTCAGTCACATTCATATCTTCTAAATTATTTGAAGCCAAAATTACTATTCTAAGCAGTTGTATGATACTCTTTGATTGTATGACACTTTCTCTTTAAGATGCATGCTAGCTTTTGTATGCATTTTGCGGTACCTACAAAAGCATTGCTTCACAAAACTATCTTAGTTCAAGAAAAGCATTGGAGTCCAGGGTGCTCTGAAACTCCTTTGAATTCTAGAGAAACTAAGAGCCTTTCTAACATAAATGGTGTAAAGGCAGGAAAAAAAAAAAGTAGGTGAAAGCACTGCAAAAGAAAAGGTATATTTTCAAATTATCTTCAGACAGGAGTCAGGACACTTACTAACATCATCACAGGCATGAGAAGTTGGGTAGTCTAGTGAAATGCCAGTAAAAAGGGAGTTTTTGTCACAGTAACTTTTGTGATCATCTTAAACATGATGCTTTAATTACATGAGTTTTTTTCTTAAACACACAGTTCCACCTGAAGGAGAACTTGATGCAGAACTAAGGAAAGTCCTTGTGTTGCGTGCTGGAGTCACAATGAGACTTTACGTGCCAGTAAGAGGACGTCCACCTCCTAAGATTTCATGGTCTAAAGTGGGTGCCAACCTAAGAGATAGACAAGGATTAGACATCAAATCAACTGATTTTGATACCTTCCTGCGTTGTGAAAATGTAAATAAATATGACGCTGGAAAATACGTCCTTAGTCTGGAGAACAGCTGTGGCAAAAAGTCATATACCATTGTTGTAAAAGTACTTGGTAAGTCTCAGGGCTTTCCCCATTATAATATATTTGTTAACTTTTTAACTGGTATTCAAAAGTCTGTTACTAAATCAAATATGGTGGTGTTGTGTTTATCCAGATACTCCAGGCCCACCCATTAACCTGATTGTAAAGGAAGCATCTAAAGATTCTGCCTTCATTACATGGGAACCTCCTCTAGTAGATGGGGGCAGTCCAATCAAAAATTATGTTGTTGAAAAACGTGATGCAGAAAGAAAATCATGGTCCACAGTAACAACAGAATGTCCAAAGACAAGCTACAGGATAACTAACTTAGAAGAAGGCAAATCTTATTTCTTCAGAGTTTTTGCTGAAAATGAATATGGTATTGGTGATCCTTGTGAAACTCGTGATGCTGTCAAAGCTTCTGGTAGGAAAAATGAATCCTTTTGATCTTTTTTTTTTTTTTTTTCTGTTCAAATAATCTTTATTTTTAGCTTGAATGAAAACTTACTATGCTTTTCTTTCTTCTAGAAACACCTGGGCCAGTTGTGGATCTAAAAGCTTCAGCTGTAACAAAATCCTCATGCAATTTGATATGGAAGAAGCCTATCAGTGATGGTGGAAGCCGTATTTCTGCATATGTTGTTGAGGTCCTGACTGGTGAAGATAAATGGCAAGAAGTCATGCGGGGAAAGAACCTCCATTTTTCAATGAGAGACTTGAAAGAAGGACAAGAATACACTTTCAGAGTGAGGGCCCAAAATGATGCTGGATATGGAACTCCATCAGAGATCACAATTGTAGCAAGAGATGATGTTGGTGAGAAGCAAGATCATTAATTCAATGCTTTACTTACCCAGATTATATTTTATGTATACTATCATTACCGTGTATACACAGAAATAAGACACCTTTAAAACAGCATCTTAATTTTACCACAGATTTTATGTTTGGTGAAATAACTGGATTCCTTCATTTTTTACAGCGGCACCTGAACTTGACTTAAGAGATCTGCCTGATTTGTGCTATACTGCTAAAGAGGGTAGCAATTTCCGTCTTAAAATCCCTATGAAAGGCAAGCCTGTCCCAACCGTAACTTGGAAGAAGGACGAAGACCAGGCAATTACTGAGAGTGGAAGAGTTGCATTTGAATCTACAGCAGTTAACACCACCCTTGTAGTACATGACTGCCAGAAAGCTGATGCAGGAAAATACACAATAACTCTGAGGAATGTTGCTGGCAGCAAGGAAGGCACTATTTTTGTGAAAGTTGTTGGCAAACCTGGCATACCAACAGGTCCAGTGAAATTTGAAGAAGTCACAGCTGATGCCATAACCTTAAAATGGGGCCCTCCAAAAGATGATGGTGGTTCAGAAATCACTAACTATGTTCTAGAGAAGAGAGATAATGTAAACAATAAGTGGGTGACTTGTGCCTCTGCAGTCCAAAAAACCACATTTAGAGTTACAAGACTTCATGAAGGAAATGAATATACATTCAGGATCAGGGCTGAAAATAAATATGGAGTAGGGGAAGGTCTTAAATCAGAGCCTGTCATTGCAAAACATCCATTTGGTAAGTATCCATTGTAATTTTTGAAATCTAAAAATTTAATTTAGAGGTGATAATAATTTTTAACACTGCTGCATTTTTTTTCAATATTGTTCAGATGTCCCAGATGCTCCTCCACCTCCCAATATTGTTGCTGTTCGGCATGAGTCTGTAGCTTTAACTTGGACTGATCCCAGAAGAACTGGAGGTTCACCAATCACAGGTACATCCCCCAAAGCCTCCCTAGCATTTCAGTAGTTAATACTACTTAATGGTTATTTCTCTCTGTCAAAAGGTAAGATAAAAGTAGCAGGTATTTATGCATTAAATTGATTGATTGATTGACTGACTGACTGATTAATTGACTGATTACACTGGTTTACTTCCTATTTAAAAAAGTAATAACTCAAATGCTGGGAAAATGCTAGCTGAGAAAAAATATCTTTGCTCGGAGCCAAAATATGTAAAGAAATAGACCCAAATTTGACAATACTTGCATCTACAAAATTAGCAATTTGCATTTACAAACACCTCCTCATTGCAGTTATGTACATCCATCATCTATGTTCACATCTATTTCTTAACCTGATTTTCAGTGCTCCTCTTGTACAATGCACATGCAGTGTGCAATATGGGCAGTATGCTGTTTCACAATGCTGTGAGAAATTAGGATTTCTAGAAACCCCCCCATATTTTTATCTCATCATTTATCTTCTAGGCTATCACATTGAAGTTAAAGAAAGAAATAGTCTTCTGTGGAAGAGAGCAAATACAACGCCCATAAGAATGAAAGATTTCAGAGTGACAGGGTTAACTGAAGGTCTGGAATATGAATTCAGAGTAATGGCAATCAATATGGCTGGAGTAGGTAAACCAAGTCTTCCATCTGAACCAGTTGTGGCACTTGATCCTATTGGTAAGTTATCAGGCAAATAAAAAGGAAAATTCTGAAATTTGAAATAGCTTTTGTTTAACTGCTATTTTTTTTTTCTCTAGATCCTCCTGGGAAACCTGAAGTTATCAATGTAACCAGGAACTCAGTAACACTCATTTGGACAGAACCAAAGTATGATGGCGGACATAAATTAACCGGCTATATTGTTGAAAAGCGTGATTTACCCAAAAAGACTTGGATGAAAGCTAATCACGTGAATGTTCCAGACTGTGCATTTACTGTAACTGACCTTACTGAAGGCTGCAAATATGAATTCAGAATTAGAGCAAAGAACACTGCTGGGGCTATCAGTCCTCCATCTGAATCCACAGGAACCATAATATGCAAGGATGAGTATGGTATGTAGATGGCATTGAAAAGGCAGAATTTTACTTGAATAATTATAATCAAATTTCTTTTGTTTCCTATCCCTGTGTTCTTGTTGTAACAATCAGTATTTTTTGACTTTGTTTTGACAGAGGCACCAAGCATTGTTCTGGATCCTACTTTGAAGGAAGGTTTAACAGTAAAAGCAGGGGAAACCATCACACTGTCTGCTATTAGTATCCGTGGCAAACCACCTCCAACTTCAGCATGGTCCAAAGCTGGAAAAGATTTTAGACCCTCAGAGCTTGTGCACATTGAAACCAAGCCAACTTCTTCTACTCTAAGTGTCAAATATGCAGCCAGAAAAGATTCTGGAGAATACACCATCACTGCAACCAATCCTTTTGGCACTAAACAGGAGACTGTACATGTGAAAGTTTTAGATATTCCAGGACCTCCAGGGCCTATTGAGATCAGCAATGTTTCAGCAGAAAAAGCGACTCTTACATGGACACCTCCTGCAGAAGATGGTGGATCACCAGTAAAATCATATGTTCTTGAAAAGAGAGAGACTAGTCGACTGCTCTGGACATTGGTTGCTGAAAACATTGAGAGCTGTAGGCATGTTGTTAGCAAGCTCATTCAAGGAAATGAATATGTTTTCCGTGTCTCAGCAGTAAATCAGTATGGCAAGGGTGAACCAGTACAATCAGAACCAGTTAAAATGGTGGATAGATTTGGTAAGTAGAACAAGCTAAGGAATTCCAGTGTGGTTTTATTAATTTCTAAAGACTTGATTTTTTGTTTAACTGTACTTTTTTTCTTCCTGAACAGGTCCTCCAGGCCCTCCTGGAAAACCAGAAGTAACAAATGTGACTAAAAATACTGTCACAGTTACCTGGAAAAGGCCAGTCGATGATGGTGGAAGTGAAATCACAGGTTACCATGTGGAGCGAAGAGAAAAGAAAGGTTTAAGATGGGTGAGAGCAACAAAGAAGCCGGTTTCAGATCTTAGATGCAAAGTAACTGGTCTTCTGGAAGGAAACGAATATGAATTCCGTGTCAGTGCAGAAAACAGAGCTGGAGTTGGACCACCAAGTGATACTTCAAACTCAGTCCTTTGCAAAGATGTTGCATGTCAGTATCATGCTTTTTCTTTTTGGGGGTGGGTGGGATGGGTAGGGAGCACATTCAGAGAGAATATAAATGACTTCTGCTGTAATGTAATGTTTTATCTTTTATTTGCTTTACAGACCCACCAGGTCCACCTGCAAATCCAAGAGCAACTGATACCACAAAGACAAGTGCATCTTTAGCCTGGGGCAAGCCTCACTATGATGGTGGTCTTGAAATCACTGGCTATATAGTGGAGCATCAAAAAGAAGGAGAAGATGAATGGGTGAAAGACACAATAGGGACTGCTTTAAGAATCACTCAGTTTGTTGTAGCTCCTCTGCAGACCGGGGCCAAGTATAATTTCAGAATCTCTGCCATGAATGCTGCAGGTGTCGGTGAAGCAGCAATAATTCCAAGTGTGGAAATCACTGACCGAGAAGAGATTCCTGACTTTGAACTGGATGCTGAGCTGAGAAGAACACTTGTTGTTAGAGCTGGATGCACTATTCGGATTTTTGTACCAATTAAAGGACGTCCAACTCCAGAAGTTACATGGACAAAAGATGATGCTTCACTCAAAGGACGTGCCAGTATTGAAAATACCGACTCTTTTACACTCTTGATTGTCACAGAGTGCACCAGATATGATGCAGGAAAATATGTAATGACTCTTGAAAACGCTGCTGGTAAGAAGACTGGCTTTGTAAATGTAAAAGTCTTGGATACGCCAGGTCCACCAATAAACCTTAAGCCTAGAGAAATAACCAAAGACAGCATCACCCTCCAATGGGATATGCCTCTGGTAGATGGAGGTTCACGTATAACCAACTATATTGTTGAGAAACGCGAATCAACTCGGAAGGCATATTCAACAGTCACAACCAACTGCCAGAAGTGTTCCTTCAAGGTTCCTAATTTGGCTGAGGGGTGTGAATACTATTTCAGAGTACTGGCTGAAAATGAGTATGGTATTGGTGAACCAGCTGAAACTACAGAACCAGTAAAAGCTTCTGAGGCCCCATCCCCACCTGAGAGCCTTAACATTATGGATGTGACACGGAATTCAGTTAGCCTAGCTTGGCCAAAACCAGAACATGACGGTGGCAGCAAGATCACTGGGTATGTAATTGAAGCACAGAGAAAAGGAACCAACCAGTGGGCACACATCACCACTGTAAAAACACTGGACTGTGTAGTAAAGAATCTAACTGAAAATGAAGAGTATACTTTCCAGGTTATGGCAGTTAACAGTGCTGGAAGAAGTGCTCCAAGGGAAAGCAGACCAGTTATTATCAAGGAACAAACAATGCTACCAGAGTTTGACCTCCGTGCTATTTACCAGAAAACAGTCATTGCCAAAGCTGGTGACAATATCAAGATTGAAATCCCTGTACTTGGTCGTCCAAGGCCTACCGTGACTTGGAAGAAAGAAGACCAAATACTTAAGCAAACACAAAGGGTAAATTATGAAAATACAGCAACTGCAACCATACTGACCATCAATGAATGTATTCGAAGTGATAGTGGTCAATATCCACTGTCAGCTAAAAATATTGTTGGAGAAGTTAGTGAAGTAATCACAGTTCAGGTTCATGACATACCTGGACCGCCTACTGGACCAATCAAATTTGAAGAAATTTCATGTGATTTCCTAACATTCTCGTGGGAGCCTCCTTTGAATGATGGTGGTGTACCAATTAGTAACTATGTTGTAGAAATGCGTCAAACTGACAGTACCACGTGGACTGAATTGGCAACTACAGTGATACGCACTACATTTAAAGCCATTCGTCTTACTACTGGAGTTGAGTATCAGTTCCGTGTTAAAGCTCAAAACAGATATGGAGTTGGTCCAGCCATTACTTCAGAGTCTGTAGTTGCCAACTATCCATTTAAGGTACCTGGGCCTCCTGGCACTCCTCAGGTGATTGCAGTCACCAAAGAAACCATGACCATTAGCTGGAATGAGCCAGTTACTGATGGTGGAAGCCCAATACTGGGATATCACATTGAAAGAAAAGAGCGAAACAGCATTGTTTGGCAGACTGTAAGTAAAATGTTGGTGTCAGGAAATATCTTTAAATCATCTGGACTTACTGATGGCATTGCATATGAATTCCGTGTTATAGCACAAAACCTGGCTGGGAAGAGTAAGCCAAGCAAGCCATCTGAGCCTGTGTTTGCCCTGGACCCAATAGATCCACCTGGTAAGCCGATACCTCTGAACATTACAAGACATGCAGTTACGCTGAAGTGGACTAAACCAGAATATAACGGAGGTTTTAAGATAACTGGCTACACAGTTGAAAAAAGAGACCTTCCTAATGGCCGTTGGCTGAAGGCTAATTTCAGCAATATACTAGAGACTGAATTCACTGTAAGTGGTTTGACAGAAGATGCTGCCTATGAATTCCGTGTCATTGCTAGGAATGCTGGTGGAGCTGTTAGTCAGCCCTCAGAGCCATCAGATGCAATCACTTGTAGAGATGACATTGAAGCACCGAGGATAAAGGTGGATGCTAAATACAAGGACACCATAGTGCTGAAAGCAGGTGAAGTTTTCAGACTTGAGGCTGATGTTTCAGGACGCCCTCCACCAACTATGACATGGACAAAGGGAGAAAAAGAACTTGAAGACACAGCAAAATTAGAAATAAAAATAGCAGATTTCTCTACCATTCTCACCAACAAAGATTCCTCAAGAAGAGATGGTGGTGCTTACACTCTTACTGCAACAAACCCTGGTGGCTTTGCCAAGCATGTCTTCAATGTTAAAGTTCTTGATAGACCTGGCCCCCCAGAAGGACCTTTGGCTGTGTCTGAAGTCACTGCAGAAAAATGTGTGCTGTCTTGGCTACCCCCACTGGATGATGGAGGAGCAAAGATTGACCATTATGTGGTTGAAAAACGTGAAACAAGTAGATTGGCATGGACATCTGTAGGCACAGAAGTTCCAGTGACTAAACTGAAGGTTACTAAACTGTTGAAGGGCAATGAGTATGTATTCCGAGTTATGGCTGTTAACAAATACGGAGTTGGTGAGCCTCTGGAATCAGAGCCCATTCTTGCAGTAAATCCATATGTTCCACCTGATCCACCTAAAACTCCTGAAGTTACAGCAATTACAAAGGATTCTATGGTTGTCTGCTGGGGACATCCTGATTCTGATGGAGGGAGCCCAATAACTAATTATATTGTGGAACGTCGAGACAAGACTGGTCTACGGTGGGTGAAGTGTAACAAAAGGGTTGTTACTGACTTACGTTTTAAGGTGTCTGGACTGACAGAAGGCCATGAATATGAATACAGAGTCATGGCGGAAAATGCTGCTGGTGTCAGTGAGCCAAGCCCAACCAGTCCATTCTATAAAGCCTGTGATACTGTATTCAAGCCTGGTCCCCCAGGTAATCCTCGTGTTTTGGATAGCAGCAAGTCCTCTATTACAATAGCATGGAACAAACCAATATATGATGGTGGTTCGGAGATCACAGGTTACATGGTTGAGATTGCACTACCTGAAGAAGATGAGTGGAAGATTGTAACTCCACCAGTGGGTCTAAAGGCCACTTCTTTTACCATCACTGACTTGAAAGAAAACCAAGAGTATAAAATACGGATCTATGCTATGAACTCCGAAGGTCTTGGGGAACCTGCTCTTGTTCCTGGCACTCCAAAAGCTGAAGAAAGAATGCTACCTCCAGAGATTGAACTTGATGCAGAGCTACGTAAAGTTGTAACTATTAGAGCTTGCTGTACTCTGAGACTCTTTGTCCCAATTAAAGGAAGACCAGCACCTGAAGTTAAATGGACAAGAGAACATGGGGAATCTTTGGATAGAGCGAGCATTGAATCCACAAGCTCTTACACTTTACTTATTGTTGAAAATGTAAATAGATTTGATAGTGGCAAATACATACTGACAATTGAAAACAGCTCAGGTAGTAAGACAGCATTTGTGAACGTCAGAGTTCTTGATACTCCAGGGGCACCTCAAGATTTGAAAATAAAGGAAGTTACAAAATCTTCAGTTACACTCACATGGGAGCCTCCTCTCATAGATGGTGGCTCTAAAATAAAAAATTACATTGTTGAAAAGCGTGAATCAACAAGAAAAGCTTATTCAACTGTTAATGCCAATTGCCACAAGACCAGCTGGAAAGTTGATTCACTGCAAGAAGGCTGCAACTACTACTTCAGAGTCCTCGCTGAAAATGAGTATGGAATAGGCCTTCCAGTTGAAACTTCAGAATCCATAAAAGTATCAGAAAGACCACTTCCACCAGGGAAAATAACTTTGTTGGATGTGACAAGAAATAGTGTAACCTTATCTTGGGAAAAACCCGAACATGATGGTGGTAGCAGAATTCTGGGCTATATTGTAGAAATGCAAAGCAAAGGCAGTGAAAAGTGGTCAACCTGTGCTACTGTAAAAGTTACTGAAGCCACCATCACAGGATTGATCCAAGGTGAAGAATACACCTTCCGTGTTTCAGCTCAGAATGAGAAGGGTATCAGTGATCCTCGCCAGCTGGCTGTACCAGTTGTTGCAAAAGATCTTGTGATCCCACCAGCTTTCAAACTACTGTTTAACACTTTCAGTGTTCTAGCAGGAGAGGACTTAAAGGTTGATGTTCCTTTTGTTGGTCGACCCAAACCAGCAGTGTCTTGGCATAAAGACAATGTGGCATTGAAGCAGACTACAAGAGTAAATGCAGAAAGCTCGGAAAACAACACAGTGTTAACAATAAAAGAAGCATGCAGAGAAGATGTGGGAGCATATGTAGTTAAACTTACAAACTCTGCTGGTGAAGCAACTGAGACACTAAATATTGTTGTCCTTGACAAACCAGGACCTCCAACTGGACCAGTAAAAGTAGATGAAGTAACAGCAGACAGTATTACCATTTCCTGGGAACCACCCAAGTATGATGGTGGTAGCTCTATCAATAATTACATTGTAGAAAGAAGAGACACTTCCACCACAACTTGGCACATTGTGTCAGCTACTGTTGCAAGAACAACTATAAAAGCATGTCGTTTAAAAACTGGCTGTGAATATCAGTTCAGAATTGCAGCTGAGAATAGGTATGGGAAGAGTACGTATCTCACCTCAGAGTCAATAATAGCCCAATACCCATTTAAAGTTCCTGGTCCACCTGGAACTCCTTTTGTAACAAATGTCACAAAAGACAGCATGGTGGTACAATGGCACGAACCAGTCAGTGATGGCGGTAGCAGGATCATTGGTTATCACTTGGAGCGCAAAGAAAGGAACAGCATTCTGTGGGCTAAACTGAATAAAACACCTCTTCCAGATACCAAATTTAAGACAACTGGCCTTGAGGAAGGTCTTGAATATGAATTCAGAGTCTATGCAGAAAATATAGTGGGAATTGGAAAGGCAAGTAGAGCATCTGAATGCTATACTGCACGTGACCCATGTGACCCTCCAGGTCGTCCAGAACCTGTAATTGTCACAAGAAGCTCAGTAACACTCCAGTGGAAGAAACCTATGTACGATGGTGGAAGTAAAATCACAGGCTATGTTGTTGAAAAGAAGGAATTACCTGATGGCCGTTGGATGAAGGCAAGCTTTACAAATGTCATTGATACTCAGTTTGAAGTAACTGGTCTAGTTGAAAACCAGAGATATGAGTTTCGTGTTATAGCACGAAACGCTGCAGGTGTTTTCAGTGAACCATCTGAAAGCTCAGGGGCAATTACAGCAAGAGATGAAGTAGAACCACCTCAAATAAGTATGGATCCAAAATACAGAGACACTATTGTAGTGAATGCTGGTGAGTCATTCAAGCTTGACGCTGATGTTCATGGCAAACCAATACCTTCCATTCAGTGGTTAAAAGGTGATCGTGAGCTGACAAGCACCGCTCATATGGAAATAAAAACTACTGATTTTGCAACAAGCCTCAGTGTGAAGGAAGCCACAAGAGTTGACAGTGGGCAGTATGTACTACTGGCAAAGAATGTTGCAGGTGAAAAGAAGGTTCCTGTTAACGTCAAAGTTCTTGATAGACCTGGACCTCCAGAAGGACCTGTTGAATTTACAGGTGTTACAGCTGAAAAATGCACGCTGTCATGGAAACCTCCACTACAAGATGGTGGTAGCGATATTTCACACTACGTTGTAGAAAAAAGGGAAACCAGTCGCTTGGTGTGGACTGTCGTTGACTCAAATGTGCAAACCCTGAACTGCAAAGTTACAAAACTTCTAGAAGGAAATGAGTATGTTTTCCGCATCATGGCAGTAAATAAATATGGTGTTGGTGAACCTCTTGAGTCTGACCCAGTAGTTGCAAAGAACCCATTTGTTGTGCCACTGCCTCCAAAGGCTCCAGAAGTCACAGCAGTTACCAAGGATTCTATGATAGTTGTATGGGAAAGACCAGCCTCAGATGGCGGCAGTGAAATCCTAGGCTATGTCCTTGAAAAACGAGATAAGGAAGGCATTCGCTGGACAAGATGTAACAAGCGCCTGATAAGTGAACTGCGATACAGGGTGACTGGTCTTATAGAAAATCATGATTATGAGTACAGAGTTTCAGCTGAAAATGCTGCTGGTCTTAGTGAACCAAGTCCACCTTCTACTTACTACAAAGCATGTGATCCTATTTACAAGCCAGGTCCACCCAATAATCCCAAAGTTACAGATGTTACAAGATCTTCAGTTTTTCTTTCATGGGGTAAACCTATATATGATGGTGGCTCTGAAATTCAGGGATACATTGTGGAAAAATGTGATGTAAGTGATGGTGAATGGTCAATTTGTACCCCTCCAACTGGAATTAAGAATACTCACATGGAAGTAGAAAAATTAGTGGAAAAACACGAATACAAATTCCGCATATGTGCAGTTAATAAAGCAGGAGTTGGAGAGCATGCAGATGTTCCTGGTTCTGTCATTGTAGAAGAGAAGATGGAGGCACCAGACCTTGATCTTGACATGGAATTAAGGAAGATTGTAAATGTGAGAGCCGGAGGTTCCTTAAGACTTTTCGTTCCCATCAGAGGTCGTCCAACACCTGAAGTAAAATGGGGTAAAGTGGATGGTGACATCAGAGAAGCAGCTATTATTGATACCACTAGTAGCTTTACTTCCCTTGTTCTAGATAATGTTAACAGATTTGATAGCGGAAAATATACTCTGACCTTGGAAAACAGCAGTGGAACAAAGTCTGCATTTGTCAGCGTAAGAGTACTGGATACCCCAAGTGCACCTGTTAACTTAAAAATCAGAGAGATCACTAAGGACTCTGTTTCACTTTCATGGGAGCCTCCTCTCTTGGATGGTGGAGCAAAAATAAAGAATTTCATTATTGAAAAGCGTGAAGCCACAAGAAAGGCATATGCAGCTGTTGTAACAAACTGCCACAAGACTTCATGGAAAGTAGATCAACTTCAGGAGGGCTGCTATTACTTCTTCAGGGTCTCTGCTGAGAATGAATATGGAATTGGCCTCCCTGCAGAAACCAGTGACCCAATTAAAGTTGCTGAAGTTCCACAGCCTCCTGGGAAAATAACAGTGGATGATGTCACAAGAAACAGTGTCTCACTAAGCTGGGCAAAACCTGAACATGACGGTGGTAGCAAAATCATACAATATATTGTTGAAATGCAAGCAAAGGGTAGTGAAAAGTGGTCAGAGTGTGCTCGTGTTAAAACACTTGAAGCAGTTGTTACTAATCTAACTCAAGGGGAAGAATATCTTTTTAGAGTAATGGCTGTAAATGAAAAGGGTAAGAGTGATCCTAGAGCACTTGCAGTTCCAATAGTTGCCAAAGACCTGGTGATTGAACCTGATGTAAGACCTGCTTTCCACAGTTACAGTGTTCAGGTGGGACAGGACCTAAAAGTAGAAATACCAATTGCAGGTCGACCTAAACCAACTGTTACCTGGGTTAAAGATGGCCAGCCATTAAGGCAGACAACAAGAGTCAATATTAGCGATTCAGCCGATCTCACTATACTGAATCTTAAGGAAACTAGCAAAGAAGACAGTGGCACTTACGAAATCACTGTGGCTAATGTTGTTGGGCAAAAGTCTGCCTCTGTTGAAATTATTACTCTTGACAAACCTGACCCTCCAGTTGGACCTGTGAAGTTTGATGAAATAAGTGCAGAAAGTATTACCCTGTCATGGAATCCCCCAGCGTACACAGGCGGCTGCCAAATCACCAACTATATTGTGCACAAGAGAGATACAACAACCACTATATGGGAAACAGTTTCAGCTACTGTTGCAAGAACTACACTGAAGGTGACTAAACTGAAAACTGGTTCAGAATACCAGTTCAGAATCTTCGCTGAGAACAGGTATGGGCAGAGTTTTGCATTGGAATCTGCACCAGTTGTAGCACAGTATCCCTACAAGGAACCAGGACCTCCTGGCACACCATTTGTGACAACAGTCACAAAAGACTCCATGGTTGTACAGTGGCATGAACCAGTAAATGATGGTGGCAGTAAAGTGTTGGGTTACCATCTTGAGAGAAAGGAGAAAAACAGCATTCTATGGACTAAAGTAAATAAGACTATTATACAGGACACAAGTTTTAAGACAAATAACCTTGAAGAAGGAATTGAGTATGAGTTTCGAGTTTCTGCAGAAAATATTGTTGGTGTAGGCAGAACAAGTAAAGTTTCTGAGTGCTACGTAGCTCGTGATCCATGTGATCCTCCAGGTCGCCCAGAACCTATAATAATAAAAAGAAGCTCTATTACTCTACAGTGGACCAAACCAGAATATGATGGTGGAAGTAAGGTTACTGGTTATATTGTAGAGAAACGTGACTTACCAGATGGTCGCTGGATGAAAGCAAGCTTCACAAATATCATTGAAACTCAGTTCACTGTAACAGGACTTACTGAAGACCAAAGATATGAATTTAGAGTAATTGCAAAGAATGCTGCAGGTGCAATAAGCAAACCTTCTGACAGTACAGGACCAATAACAGCAAGGGATGAAGTTGAACTTCCACGAATTTCAATGGATCCGAAGTACAAAGACACTATTGTTGTAAATGCTGGTGAAACATTCAGACTTGAGGCTGATGTTCATGGAAAGCCACTACCAACCATTAAGTGGTACAAAGGAGATAAAGAGCTTGAGGACACTGCTAGATATGAAATAAAGAACACAGATTTCAGTGCATTAATAATTGTAAAAGATGCTATTAGAGTTGATGGTGGACAGTACATTCTGGAAGCCTCTAATGTTGCAGGAACAAAGACAGTAACAGTAAACGTAAAAGTCTTGGACAGGCCAGGACCTCCAGAGGGCCCAGTCCAAGTGACAGGAGTTACAGCTGAAAAATGTGCACTGGCATGGGGTCCTCCTCTTCATGATGGTGGCAGTGATATTTCTCATTACATTGTAGAGAAGAGAGAAACTAGCCGCCTGGCATGGACTGTGGTTGCTTCAGAAGTTTTACCTACAATGCTGAAAGTAACAAAACTCTTGGAAGGAAATGAATACGTCTTCCGTATCATGGCAGTTAACAAATATGGGGTTGGTGAGCCATTAGAATCTGTGCCAGTAATGATGAGAAATCCATTTGTGGTTCCTGGACCACCAAAGGCCTTGGAAATTACCAACATCATGAAGGATTCTATGACTGTCTGCTGGACCCGGCCAGACAGTGATGGAGGTAGTGAAATTGTAGGTTACATTGTAGAAAAGAGAGACCGAGCAGGCATCAGATGGATAAAATGCAATAAACGACGCATTACAGATTTGCGATTAAGAGTTACAGGTTTAACAGAGGATCATGAATATGAATTCAGAGTTTCTGCTGAAAATGCTGCTGGAGTTGGTGAACCAAGCCAAGTTTCTCCCTACTTCAAAGCTTGTGACCCGATGTTCAAGCCTGGCCCACCTACAAATGCCCATGTTGTGGATACCACCAAAAGTTCAGTTACGCTCGGTTGGAGTAAACCTATTTATGATGGTGGTTGTGAAATCCAGGGATACCTTGTAGAAATCTGTAAAGCAGATGAAGATGAATGGTCGCTTGTTACCCCACAGACAGGCATACGTGCCACTCGATTTGAGATCAAAAAGCTTACTGAACATCAAGAGTACAAACTACGAGTGTGTGCTCTCAACAAGATCGGTGTGGGAGAGGCTGCATCTGTTCCTGGTACTATTAAACCAGAAGACAAACTTGAAGCTCCAGAACTTGATATTGATTCAGAGCTAAGGAAAGGGATAGTGGTTAGAGCTGGTGGGTCTGCTAGGATTCACATACCATTTAGGGGACGACCAACACCTGACATCACATGGTCCCGAGAAGAAGGTGAATTCTCAGAAAAAGTTCAGATTGATAAAGGCGTAAACTACACACAACTTTCAATTGACAACTGTGATAGAAACGATGCTGGAAAGTATATTCTTAAGCTGGAGAACAGCAGTGGTTCTAAATCTGCATTTGTTACAGTGAAAGTCTTGGACACGCCAGGACCCCCGCAAAACTTAGTGGTAAAGGATATAAAGAAGGATTCTGCTGTATTATCTTGGGAGCCACCAATTATTGATGGTGGTGCAAAGGTAAAGAACTATGTAATAGACAAGCGTGAGTCAACCAGGAAGGCATTTGCAAATGTAAGTGCTAAGTGTGCCAAGACAAGTTTTAAAGTTGAAAATCTTACAGAAGGAGCAATTTATTACTTCAGAGTTATGGCTGAAAATGAATATGGAATAGGTGTCCCAGTTGAAACCAGGGATGCTATCAAAGCCTCAGAGCCACCTCTGCCTCCTGGGAAAGTAACACTCACTGATGTCACTCAGAGAAGTGCATCGCTTACGTGGGAGAAACCTGAACATGATGGAGGTAGCAGAATTTTGGGATATCTTGTTGAAATGTTGCCTAAAGGAACAGAAAAATGGAGTGTTGTTAGTGAGACCAAAACATGTAATGCAGAGGTGTCTGGTTTGAGTCCAGGACAGGAATATCAATTCCGTGTGATTGCCTACAACGAAAAAGGCAAAAGTGATCCCAGAGCACTTGGAATTCCTGTGATAGCTAAAGACCTGACTATTGAGCCAAGTTTCAAACTGATGTTTAATACATACAGTGTACAAGCTGGAGAAGATCTGAAGGTAGATGTACCATTTATAGGTAGACCCAAACCTACTATTACTTGGACAAAAGATGAGCAGCCACTGAAACAGACGACAAGATTAAATATTGAGAATACAACAACATCAACTATTTTACATATTAAAGAAAGCAACAGGGAAGACTTTGGTAAATATACAGTAACAGCAACAAATACAGCTGGTACAGCAACAGAGCACCTGAGCATAATTGTACTAGAAAAGCCTGGCCCACCACGAGGACCTGTCCGCTTTGACGAAATTAGTGCAGACTTTGTTGTTTTGTCATGGGATCCACCTGATTATACTGGTGGCTGCCAGATAAGCAACTATATAGTAGAAAAGCGTGACACAAGCACTACCACGTGGAACATTGTGTCAGCAACTGTTGCAAGAACAACCATCAAAGCAACAAAGCTTAAAACAGGTTCTGAATACCAGTTCAGGATTTCTGCTGAAAATAGATATGGAAAGAGCTCTCCTTTGGCTTCTAAATCAGTTGTTGTGCAATACCCCTACAAGGTGCCTGGACCACCTGGAACCCCATTTGTTACAGCAGCTTCCAAGGACCATATGATCGTACAATGGCATGAACCAGTTAATGATGGAGGAAGCAAAGTTCTTGGCTACCATCTTGAGCGTAAAGATAAGAACAGCATTCTTTGGACAAAACAGAACAAGTCACTTATTGTGGACACCAAATATAAAACAGATGGCCTTGAAGAAGGTCTTGAATATGAGTTCAGAGTTTCTGCTGAAAACATTGTTGGCATTGGCAAAGTCAGCAAAGTATCAGAACTGTATGTTGCCCGAGATCCTTGTGACCCACCTGGTCGCCCAGAGGCCATTCTTGTTACAAGAAGTAATATCACACTGAAGTGGAAAAAGCCTGAATATGATGGTGGAAGCAAAATAACTGGTTATATTGTAGAAAAGAAAGAATTACCAGATGGTCGCTGGATGAAAGCCAGCTTTACAAATGTGTTGGAAACAGAATTTACAGTAAGTGGTCTTGTTGAAAACCAACGATATGAATTTAGAGTAATTGCAAGAAATGCAGCAGGTTGCTTGAGTGAACCATCTGAAAGTACAGGGCCTATTACTGCCAGAGATGAAATTGAAGCACCAGGTGCTTCACTGGATCCTAAATACAGAGATGTCATTGTTGTTCATGCTGGAGAAACCTTTGTTCTTGAAGCTGATATCCATGGCAAACCTATTCCTGATGTTACATGGTCAAAAGATGGTAAAGACCTTGAAGAAACAACTGCAAGAATGGAAATTAAATCTACCATTGAGAAAACAATTCTCACTGTCAAAGACTGTATAAGAGTAGATGGAGGTCACTATACTCTTAACCTCAAAAATGTTGGTGGCACCAAATCTATACCAATAACTGTGAAAGTGCTTGATAGACCAGGACCTCCTGAAGGACCTTTGAATGTTACAGGTGTCACTGCAGAAAAATGCTACTTGTCATGGTCTCCACCTTCACATGATGGTGGCTCTAGTATCTCACATTATATCATTGAGAAGAGAGAGACAAGTAGGCTTTCATGGACACAAGTAGCAACAGATGTGCAGGCTCTAAATCACAAGGTAACCAAACTCCTTCCTGGCAATGAATACATTTTCCGTGTAATGGCAGTGAATAAATATGGAGTTGGAGAGCCCTTGGAATCTGAACCAGTTGTGGCTCGTAATCCATACAAACCCCCTGGTCCTCCTTCAACACCTGAAGTTTCAGCAATCACAAAAGATTCTATGGTGGTAACATGGAGTCGCCCAGAAGACAATGGAGGAGCTGAAATTGAAGGTTACATACTTGAAAAACGAGACAAGGATGGTATCCGGTGGACCAAATGCAATAAGAAAAGGCTGACAGACTTGCGATTCAGAGTAACAGGTCTAACTGATGGGCATTTCTATGAGTTTAGAGTGTCTGCTGAAAATGCTGCAGGGGTAGGGGAACCCAGTGAGCCATCCATTTTCTATCGTGCTTGTGATATATTATATCCACCAGGTCCACCTAGCAATCCAAAAGTTACAGATACTTCCAGGTCATCAGTTTCCCTTGCCTGGAGTAAGCCCATTTATGATGGTGGCGCTCCTGTTAAAGGGTATGTAGTGGAAGTAAAAGAAGCTGCTGCTGATGAATGGACTACCTGCACCCCACCAACAGGCCTACAAGCAAAACAGTTCACCGTGACAAAACTGAAGGAGAACCAGGAGTATAACTTCCGCATCTGTGCCATCAACTCAGAAGGAGTAGGAGAACCCGCGACTATACCTGGTGCAGTCTTAGCAGAGGACAAGATGGAACCTCCTGAAATTGAACTTGATGCAGATCTCAGAAAAGTAGTCACTGTACGTGCTAGTGGTACTTTACGGCTGTTTGTCACCATCAAAGGAAGACCAGAACCTGAAGTTAAATGGGAGAAAGCAGAAGGAACAATTAGTGAGCGAGCTCAGATTGAAGTCACCAGTTCCTATACAATGCTGGTCATTGACAATGTCAATAGATTTGACAGTGGTAGATATAACCTTACTTTAGAGAACAACAGTGGCAAAAAATCTGCTTTTGTTAATGTCAGAGTGCTTGATACACCTAGTGCACCTCTAAACCTGACAATCAGAGAAGTGAAAAAAGATTTTGTAACTTTAGCCTGGGAAGCACCACTTATTGACGGCGGAGCTAAAATTACCAACTACGTAGTTGAAAAGCGAGAATCCACAAGAAAGGCATATGCCACAGTTACAAGCAACTGTACTAAGAATTCCTTCAAGATTACTCAACTACAAGAAGGATGTAGTTATTATTTCCGTGTTCTAGCTGTAAATGAATATGGGGCTGGTTTACCAGCAGAAATTGCTGATCCAGTTAAGGTGTCTGAACCACCTTCTCCACCTTCAAAGGTCATTCTTGTTGACGTGACTCGCAATTCTGCATCAATTAAATGGGAAAAGCCAGAGAGTGATGGTGGTAGTAAAATTACTGGTTATATAGTAGAAATGCAGACTAAAGGAAGTGTAAAATGGAGTGCATGTACACAGGTGAAAACATTGGAAGCAACAGTAACAGGCTTAAGTATGGGAGAAGAGTACAGTTTCAGGGTGATTGCCATTAATGAAAAAGGAAAAAGTGATCCAAGAGAACTTGGTGTCCCAGTCATTGCAAAAGATATTGAAATCCAGCCATCTGTTGAGCTTCTTTTTAACACATTCACGGTGAAAGCTGGAGATGATCTTAAGATTGATATTCCATTCAGAGGGCGACCTCTTCCCACTGTTAGCTGGAAGAAGGATGGGAATCCCTTAAAACAGACAACCAGGGTAAATGTTGAAACATCAAAGACTTTAACTTCACTGTCCATCAAGGAAGCTACAAATGAAGATCTGGGACATTATGAATTGCATCTTTCAAATACTGCTGGAACAACAACAGCTTCTCTAACCGTAGTTGTTCTTGACAGACCAGGACCACCAACTGATGTTAAAATTGATGAAGTTAGTGCTGATAGTGTAACTCTGTCTTGGAAACCTCCAGCATATGATGGTGGATGTCACATTAGCAATTACATTGTGGAGAAGAGAGATACTACCACAACAACATGGGAGGTCGTATCTGCAGCAGTTGCAAGAACATCACTTAAAGTAACTCGACTCATCACTGGATGTGAATATCAGTTCCGTGTTTGTGCAGAAAACCGCTATGGGAAGAGCACTTATATTAATTCTCCTTCTGTTGTGGCAGAATATCCGTTTAAGCCTCCAGGTCCACCAGGAACACCTCGTGTGGCACACGCAACTAAATCTTTCATGATTGTAACTTGGCAGGTACCAGTTAATGATGGAGGTAGTGTAGTACTAGGATACCATTTGGAGCATAAAGAAAGAAGCAGCATTCTTTGGACAAAAGTCAACAAGACCCTTATAACAGATACACAAATGAAAGTTACAGGTCTTGATGAAGGACTGATGTATGAATATCGTGTGTATGCAGAAAACATTGCTGGAATAGGCAAATGCAGCAAAGCATGTGAACCAGTTGCTGCAAGAGATCCATGTGATCCTCCTGGTCAACCAGAAGTTACTAATATTACAAGAACATCTGTCTCATTGAAGTGGACTAAACCAGAATATGATGGTGGAGCTAAAGTAACAGGATATATTATTGAACGCCGAGAACTGCCAGATGGTCGTTGGCTAAAATGTAATTTTACTAATGTGCAAGAAACGTACTTTGATGTAGGTGGACTTACAGAAGACCAGCGTTATGAATTCCATGTGATTGCAAAGAATGCTGCTGGACTCTTCAGTCAGCCATCTGAATCAACTGGACCTGTGACTGTGAAAGATGATGTAGAGGCTCCAAGAATTATGATGGATGCCAAATTCAGGGATGTTGTAGTTGTGAAAGCTGGAGAAGTGTTTAAAGTCAATGCTGATGTTGCAGGACGGCCGATACCAGTGATTTCATGGACAAAGGATGGCAAGGAGCTTGAAGGAAAAGCTAGAGTTGAGATAGTGTCAACAGATTACACTACTGCAATAACCATTAAGGACTGTATCCGAGGGGATTCAGGACAGTATCTACTAACATTACAGAATGTTGCAGGAACAAAATCTTTGGCAATTAATTGCAAAGTACTTGATAGACCTGGCCCACCTGCAGGCCCATTAGAAATAAATGGCCTTACTGCTGAAAAGTGCCATTTATCATGGGGACCCCCTCAAGAAAACGGTGGTGCAGAGATTGACCATTATATTGTGGAAAAACGTGAGACCAGCAGAATTGCATGGACACTTTGTGAAGGAGAGCTTAAAACAACATCTTGTAAAGTGACAAAATTACTGAAGGGTAATGAATATATTTTCAGAGTAATGGGAGTTAACAAATATGGCGTTGGTGAGCCTCTAGAAAGTGTTGCTGTCAAAGCCCTAGACCCATTTACAGTGCCAAGCCCACCTACATCTTTAGAGATCACCAGTGTGAGCAAAGATTCAATAACTCTGTGCTGGGCAAGACCTGAGTCTGATGGGGGCAATGAGATATCGGGCTATGTAATTGAAAGGCGTGAGAAAACCAGCCTAAGATGGATTCGCGTAAACAAAAAGCCAGTTTATGATTTAAGAGTGAAATCATCGGGTCTCCGTGAGGGATGTGAATATGAATTCCGGGTTTATGCAGAAAATGCTGCTGGCCTCAGTCTCCCAAGTGAAACCACACCATTGATTAAGGCAGAAGATCCAATCTTCTTGCCATCGCCGCCATCTAAACCTAAGATTATGGATTCTACAAGATCAAATATCACAATTGGTTGGACAAAGCCACTGTTTGATGGAGGTGCTCCAGTGACAGGATACACAGTCGAATACAAGAAAACCGATGAAACTGACTGGACAACAGCTAATCAGAATTTAAGAGGCACAGAATATACCATAACTGGATTAACATCAGGCTCTGAATATGTTTTTAGAGTGAAATCCATTAACAAAATGGGTGTCAGTGAACCAAGTGATGTCTCAGAACCTCAGGTGGCAAAAGAAAGAGAGGAAGAGCCTGCCTTTGAAATTGACAGTGAAATGCGGAAGACTTTAATTGTAAAGGCTGGTGGATCATTCACAATGACTGTTCCTTTCAGAGGCAAACCAGTCCCAAATGTAACATGGAACAAACCAGACACTGATCTCCGTACACGTGCAAGCATTGACACTTCAAGTAATTGTACATCTCTTACTATTGAAAAAGCAACAAGAAATGATTCTGGAAAATATACATTAACGTTGCAAAACATCCTGAACACTACCACCTTGACTTTAGTGGTCAAAGTTCTTGATACGCCTGGCCCACCATCTAATATTGCAACAAAAGACGTAACTAAAGAATCTGCTGTGTTATCTTGGGATGTTCCTGAAAATGATGGTGGAGCACCTGTAAAGAACTATGTAATTGAAAAACGAGAAGCTAGCAAAAAGGCGTGGGTCACTGTGACAAACAACTGTCATCGCCTGTCCTACAAAGTGACTGGTTTGCAAGAAGGTGCCATCTACTACTTCCGTGTCTCTGGAGAAAATGAATATGGTGTTGGAGTGCCTTCTGAGACCAAGGAGGGAACAAAAATAACAGGTATGTTTTACTATGAAAAAATCCGTTAATACTTAATATGTGTTTTAAAGTATTTACTTCAAAATAATGCCAAAAGCTTTAAATCTGCATACAGTAAAATGGACCAAATAAAAAAGAGCTAAGTAATAGCTTGAATTTTAAATTTTGCTTGGATTTTACTTAAAATATTTCTAATATACAAATTGGTTTAAAACCTCATTTTCTTGATCCAGATTGTGTTCCTTTGTAATTGCTAATATAAAAAGTCAATATCTTTTATATTTTTAACCTGTTGCACTTTTTTCCTCAGAAAAACCCAGCCCACCAGAAAAGCTAGGAGTAACAAATGTCACAAAGGACAGTGTTTCTCTTTCATGGCTAAAACCAGAACATGATGGTGGAAGCAGAATTGTTAGCTACCTCCTTGAAGCTCTTGAGAAAGGACAGCAAAAATGGGTTAAGTGTGCAGTTGTAAAGACAACTCATCATGTTGTCCATGGTCTTAAGGAAAACGTTGACTATTTCTTCAGAGTGTCTGCAGAAAACCAAGCTGGTTTAAGTGATCCTAAGGAACTACTGCTCCCTGTTACAGTTAAAGAACAATTAGGTATGCTTCCTGGCATGAGACAAAAGTCATATTCAATTGCATTCATATTTTAAAAGATGGAACATTCTTTTAATGGTTTGGAAATGTTTTATTTTTCAGAATCTCCTGAGATTGACATGAAGGGCTTCCCTCATAACACTGTATATGTTCGAGCAGGATCAAATCTAAAAGTTGAAATTCCAGTTTCTGGAAAACCAATGCCAAAGGTGACACTGTCTAGAGATGGTGTCGCACTGAAACCTACCATGAGATTTCACACAGAAACCACTGCTGAAAGTCTCATTATCAACCTTAAAGAAAGTGTGGCTGCTGATGCTGGCAGATACGACATTACTGCTGCAAACTCAAGTGGCACCACAAAATCATTTGTTAATATTGTTGTGCTGGATAGACCTGGTCCTCCTGTTGGTCCTGTTGCCCTTAGCGATGTCACTGAAGAGAGTGTAACACTCAGATGGCAGCCACCAGCTTATGATGGTGGCAGTCAGGTTACCAACTATATTGTACTGAAGAGAGAAACAAGTACTGCTGCTTGGTCTGAAGTGTCTGCCACTGTTGCTAGAACCGTTATCAAAGTTATGAGGCTCACAACAGGAGAAGAGTACCAATTCCGCATCAAAGCTGAGAACCGCTTTGGCATCAGTGATCACATAGACTCGCAGTGTGTGATTGTCAAGCTTCCTTACAGTGAGTAACGTGCTTCTCATGCTTTACAGTGATGTTTTAGTGCTCTGATGTTGAAAATATAATTTTGTTAACAATCAATTTTTTTTGCTATCCTCAGCTACCCCGGGCCCTCCTTCTACACCATGGGTCACTAATGTTACCCGAGAGAGTATTACTGTCGGATGGCATGAGCCAGTCACTAATGGTGGCAATGCTATCATTGGGTATCACCTGGAAATGAAAGACAGAAATAGCATATTATGGCAGAAGGCTAACAAGACCCTTATTCGCACCACTCATTTCAAAGTCACCACAATCAGCGCTGGCCTTATCTATGAATTTAGAGTTTATGCAGAAAATGCAGCTGGCATTGGAAAAGCAAGTCGTCCTTCTGATCCAGTCCTTGCAATTGATGCTTGTGGTATGTACTCTCTATAAAATAATGAAGCCCAGTCATTTTGTCCCCCTGTGATCTGTTCTGTACAATAAGACAATATTCAAAATAGCGGTTAATTATTGTCAATATTCTTGTTTCCTTCTGCAGAACCACCAAGAAACGTTCGTGCCTCAGATATTTCCAAGACCTCTATCACTCTCTCCTGGCAGAAGCCAGCATTTGATGGTGGTAGCAAAATCACTGGATACATCGTAGAAAAACGTGATCTTCCAGATGGCAGATGGACAAAAGCTAGCTTCACCAATGTTATTGAGACTCAGTTCACAGTATCTGGCCTGACACAGAATTCCAAGTATGAATTCCGGGTCTTTGCAAAGAATGCTGTCGGTTCCATCAGTAATCCCTCAGATGTTGTGGGTCCTATCACATGTGTTGATACATACGGTAAGTGTTTTGCAATGATATCATGATATAATTTTGGTGTACTAGGACAATGGCTGTGCTGTTTTGTAGATTCATGGTCTTTTAAATATATGGAAAGATAGTTTACAGTGATTGATTCAAAAAGCATGACTAACTGTGAGCATTTGGGCACGATTGTAATGAGCGTCTTTAGCTGTATCTCCATTTTTAAAGTCATCTGGTATCTTTATTTTCTGAGCAAAAGAAGTCTGCCCATGGTTCAAGTGGTTATATTTATACATGTAATTGTCTTTTCTTCATAGGATTTGTTCTAACTTATTCTAGGTTTATGATTTAAATTATATATGCTCTCTTACTTTGATCTGTATTTTTCAAATACCTTTAACTACTAGATTAAATAAGGTAGTATTATTTGGGGATTTTATTAAATACAGGGCTACAACAAACATGTTTTAAACTCTTTCTTATTTTTTCTTAAGGTGCACCTGAAATCGATGTGCCACCAGAATATACAGAAGTGGTAAAATACAAAGCGGGAACTTCAGTTAAGCTAAAACTAGGCATCTCAGGCAAGCCTATACCCACAATTGAATGGTTCAAAAATGGCAATGAGGTACTAACCAGTGCACTAGTGTCTTTTGAAAGCACAACAGAATTTGCTTCTATACTCATCAAGGATGCAAATAGACTCAACAGTGGCACCTATGAATTAAAACTGAAAAATGCCATGGGTTCAGCATCAGCCCATATTAGAGTACAGATACTTGGTAAGTCTTGAGATGCAACTGTATTTTACTATTAAACAGTAATTCAGTAGTGAATACTTAACATCTTCTTTCTTCTGCCTTCCACAGACAAGCCAGGACCCCCAGGTGGACCTATACAGTTTAAGACAGTCACTGCTGAAAAGATAACAATAATGTGGGACCCACCAGCAGATGATGGTGGTGCACCTATAACACACTATGTTGTTGAAAAGCGGGAAACAAGTCGGGTTGTATGGTCTTTAATTTCTGAAAAACTGGAGGGATGTATCATAACTACAACAAAACTCATCAAAGGAAATGAGTATGTGTTCCGTGTCCGTGGTGTGAACAAGTTTGGAATTGGTGATCCACTGGAATCTGAGCCTGTTATAGCCAAAAATTCATTTGGTAAGAAATAAGTTCTATAAAATAACTTATGCAACTGAATTGTCTTGTATACTGTTTGTAAGTAGCATTGATCAACTGACATATGATTTTTTATTCAGTTACACCTGGACCACCTAGTACACCAGAAGTCACAAAGATAACCAAGAATTCTATGACTGTTGTCTGGAGTAGGCCCACTGTTGATGGAGGCAGTGAAATATCAGGATATTTTCTGGAAAAACGTGACAAGAAGAGTCTGAGTTGGTTCAAGGTCTCTAAAGAAACCATTCGGGACACCAGACAGAAGGTAACAGGTCTGACGGAAAACAGCGAATATCATTTCCGAGTTTGTGCCGTCAATGCAGCTGGACCCGGCCCGTTCTCTGAGGCTTCTGACTTCTACAAAGCTGCAGATCCTGTTGGTAAGATTCAATGTGCATTTCTTCCAATAGGTTAGAAATCAAAGGAAAATGAGTAGTTAGGGTGGGATTGTACCAACATAATTGAGGGCAGATTTTCTTCCTCTTGCAATTAATGGGATTCTGATTGGTGTTTTTTCCCCCCATAAACTATCATTTACAGATAAGCCAGGCACACCAACAAAGCTGAAAGTTGTGGATACAACCAAGACATCTGTTACCCTTGGCTGGATTAAACCTGCTTATGATGGAGGAAGTCCAATTACCCACTACGTGGTGGAAAAGAGGGAAGGTGAAGAGCAAGAATGGACTGTAGTCAGTACCAAGGGAGAAGTGAGAACAACTGAATATGTTGTATCCCACCTTCAGCCAAGTGTTAATTACTATTTCCGTGTCTCTGCTATGAATTGTGCTGGACAAGGAGAGCCTATTGAAATGATGGAACCCGTTCAAGCTAAAGATATTCTTGGTACTGTATTTCTTTGTGATTTATCATTTTCCTGTGTATTTTTTAAAACTATTTCTTATTTTACATTCCAAGTATGCATTATTAATTTTTTATTTATTTCCACAGTGGCACCAGAGATTGATCTGGATGTTGCTCTTCGGACATCTATTGTCGCTAAAGCAGGTGAAGATGTGGAAATAATGATTCCATTCAAGGGAAGGCCTCCTCCAACAGTCACATGGAGAAAGGGGGACAAGAATCTTGGGACTGATGAAAGATATATCATCCAAAACACAGAATCATCTACACTGCTTATTATTCCTCAAGTTACACGAAATGATACAGGAAAATATGTTCTTACAATTGAAAATGGAGTTGGAGAAGCAAAATCATCATTTGTTAATGTAAAAGTACTTGACACACCTTCTGCATGCCAGAAGCTGCAGCTCAAGCATGTCTCTCGTGGCACAGTTACACTGGTATGGGAGCCACCTCTCATCAATGGTGGTTCTGAAATAACAAATTATGTTGTTGAAAAAAGAGATGCTACAAAGAGGGCCTGGTCAACTGTTACAACAAAGTGTTCTCATACCACCTTTAAACTGACTAACCTGTCAGAAAAGACTGCATTCTTTTTCCGTGTTCTCGCTGAAAATGAAATTGGACTAGGTGAACCTTGTGAGACAACTGAACCAGTGAAAGCTGCAGACGTACCTGGACCTGTAAAAGACCTAGCCATGAAAGACTCTACAAAGAGTTCTGTTAAATTGCAGTGGAGCAAACCTGACTATGATGGTGGTAGCATTATATCAGACTATGTTATTGAAAAGAAACTTCAGGAAGAGAAAGAATGGACCTATGCAGGCACAAGCAAGAGCTGTGAATTTGTAGCTGAAAAACTTAAAGAGCTTTCTGTCATGGAATTCAGAGTCTTTGCTAAAAATGAAAAAGGCATGAGCGACTCTGTTACTGTTGGACCCATTACTGTGAAAGAGCTTATAATAACACCTGAGGCTGACCTTTCTGATATTCCTGGTGGTCAGATTGCAGTAAGAATTGGACATAATCTGCATGCTGAATTGCCCTATAAAGGTAAACCTAATCCATCAATGAGCTGGCTCAAGGATAACCTCCCTCTTAAAGAAACAGAACATCTTCGTTTCAAGAAAACTGAAAACAAGATAAGTTTAAGTATCAAGAATGTGAAAAAGGAGCATGGTGGCAAATATACTTTAATTCTTGATAACGTAGTCTGCAGAAAGTCATTCACAATCACTGTAATCACTCTTGGTCCTCCATCTAGGCCAAAAGCACCTTTAAGAATAGATGAAATCAAAGCAGATAGTGTAGTTTTGTCATGGGAGGCTCCTGATGATGATGGGGGAGGAGAAATTACTGGCTACAGTATCGAGAAGAGAGAAACATCACAAATGAACTGGAAGCTGGTCTGTTCAAGCGCTGCAAGAACAACCTTCAAAGTACCCAACCTTGTTAAAGATACTGAGTATCAGTTTAGAGTTCGTGCAGAAAACAGATACGGAGTGAGCCCACCTCTTGTCTCAGCAGATGTTGTGGCAAAGCACCAGTTTAAACCACCAGGTGCCCCAGGCAAGCCTGTTGTATACAACGTAACTGCTGATGGAATGAGCATTTCTTGGGATGCTCCTGTTTATGATGGTGGTTCGGAGATTATGGGATACCATGTTGAAAAGAAGGAAAGAAACAGTATTTTGTGGCAGAAGGTTAATGTTGCATTAATATCTAACCGAGAATACAGGATTACTGGACTGCTTGAGGGCCTGGATTACCAGTTCCAAGTATATGCTGAAAACGCTGCAGGTTTAAGCCGAGCTAGTGAGCCAAGCAAATTTACTTTGGCAGTCTCTCCAGTAGGTAAGTGAATGACTAATCACTCACCCGAGTAAATTCTGTTCTTGTAGATTATTGTGAGCAGTAATAAAAATAAATCTTCATTATTTTCCTTTCAGACCCACCTGGTACTCCTGATTATATTGATGTCACTAGGGAAACAATCACCCTGAAATGGAACCCCCCTCTGCGTGATGGAGGCAGTAAGATTGTGGCTTACAGCATTGAGAAGCGGCAAGGAAGTGCAGACCGTTGGCTCAGGTGTAACTTTACTGATGTCAGTGAGTGCCAGTATACAGTTACAGGGCTCAGTCCAGGTGACCGATATGAATTCAGAGTGCTTGCAAGAAATGCTGTTGGTACCATCAGCCCACCTTCACAGTCTTCAGGCTATATCATGACCAGAGATGAAAATGGTAAGAATTCTTTTAAAATATGCTTGGATATTGAAGCCAGATAAAATTTATGGCTGTACTGATGGGAAGTGGGAAGTCAAGGGGCAAAGAACTTGTGACTGAGGTCCTCCCGGTCAATTCAGAACATTTACGTTCATACTCCAGGGTGGGAAGGTCTAAATTAAAGACCCACGTCTGGCAGACATACATAATCAATTGCTGAAAAGCATGGCACTCTACATTGCTCTTGGATAAGCAGCAGCAGCAAAATTGGAAAGAAGGCATAGACTGTAATATTCCAATGCACTGAATAATCTCAAAATTAAAATGTGCCTCAGGTTGCTTGGCATACTATTAACGCCGCATATTAACCATACCTTTCACCTTTATATATGTGCAAATATATATATATGATGCACTTATGGATACTTACAGGAAAAGTAAGTTTATCATTCATATAATAACTGCTATTTAGAGAATGCCATTTTGCAAGTGAAATAATTTTATATTTCACATACTTTTATAATTAGTAAATTTAGAAGAGTACCAGAAAACTATTTAGCTATATGGAAATTGATTTATATTTTCCCTTTTTAGTTGCTCCAACAATTGAATTTGGTGCTGAACACTTTGAAGGCCTTACTGTTAAAGCTGGAGAGAGCATTAGACTTAAAGCTCTAATCAGAGGACGTCCAGTACCTAAAGTGACATGGTTTAAGGATGGTAAAGAGATTGATAAAATGATGAATATAGAAATAACTACAGCTATTGGATATAGTACAATCTTCATTAGAGATGCTGTCAGGGAACATCGTGGAGTGTACACAGTAGAAGCCAAAAATGCATCAGGCACTAAACGAGAAGATATTACCATCAGAGTACAAGGTACTGTACTGCACCAAGCACTTTCAGCATGCTTTTTTAAAAATAGTATTTTATTATAAGTGTCAGCAAATTATAACTGTGAACCTTTGAAATTGCAGACACACCAGGAAAAGTTGGTGGACCAATACGATTCACAAATATCACTGGAGAAAAAGTCACATTATGGTGGGAGCCTCCAGCTAATGATGGCTGTGCTTCTATTTCTCACTACATAATTGAAAAACGTGAAACCAGCAGGATTGCTTGGGCATTAGTTGAAGATAAATGTGAAGCTTGCAGCTATACGGCACTTAAATTAATTAAGGGCAATGAGTATCAGTTCCGTGTCTCTGCAGTGAACAAATTTGGAGTTGGCAGACCATTGGAGTCTGATCCAGTTATCGCACAAATACCTTACAGTAAGTTTCCACCTCATTCTGCACAAATACCCATGGAGCTACCATCTTGTCCTTCTAATAACATTTTTCTTTGTTTTTAGCTCTCCCTGATGCACCAGGAACTCCAGAGCCTACCAATGTAACAGGAGACAGTATCACACTCACATGGGCAAGACCAGAGTCAGATGGTGGAAGCGAGATAAATGAGTACATTCTTGAAAGGAGAGAAAAGAAGAGCATGCGCTGGGTTAAAGTATCCAGTAAGAGGCCCATTACTGAGAACAGATACAGAGTAACTGGCCTTATTGAAGGCAATGAGTATGAGTTCCATGTCATGGCTGAAAATGCTGCAGGGGTTGGACCTCCAAGTGACGTTTCAAAGCTGATTAAATGCAGAGAGCCAGTCAGCCCACCAAGTGCTCCTAATGTTGTCAAGGTGACAGACACATCAAAGACTAGTGTAAGCTTAGAGTGGACAAAGCCAGTTTTTGATGGAGGCATGGAAATAATCGGATACATCATTGAGATGTGCAAAGCTGATCTTGAAGCATGGCAGAAAGTCAATGCAGAGACTGTTATTGCTACTAAATATACCGTTGTTGATTTGGAGGCAGGAGAACACTATAAATTCAGAGTTAGTGCTGTCAATGGTGCTGGCAGAGGAGAAAGTTGCGAAGTTCCTGCTTCAGTCCAAACCGTGGACAGGCTTTCTGCACCTGAAATTGATATTGATGCAAACTTCAAGCAGACTCATATTGTAAGAGCAGGTGCAAGCATTCGTCTATTCATTGCCTTCTCTGGAAGGCCAGTTCCTACTGCAGTGTGGTCCAAAGCAGATGCAAATCTTAGTTTGCGTGCTGACATTCAAACAACTGATTCATTCAGCACGTTGACTGTAGAAGAATGCAATAGGAATGACGCTGGCAAGTATGTCTTTACTGTGGAAAACAACAGTGGAAGCAAGTCTATTACATTTACTGTCAAGGTTTTGGACACACCTGGTCCACCAGGTCCTATTACCTTTAAAGATGTGACTCGAACATCTATTACTTTAATGTGGGATGCTCCTGTTCTAGATGGAGGTTCTCGTATCCACCACTATGTTGTGGAAAAACGTGAAGCAAGTCGTCGTAGCTGGCAAGTGGTGAGTTCAAAATGCACTCGACAAATCTTTAAGGTCACAGATCTAGCAGAAGGTATGCCATATTACTACCGAGTATCAGCAGAAAATGAATATGGTGTAGGTGAACCCTGTGAATTAACAGAACCAGTTGTGGCCACAGAAGAACCTGCTCCACCTAAGAGACTAGATATTGTTGATACAACCAAATCTTCTGTAGTTTTAGCTTGGCTTAAACCTGATCATGATGGTGGTAGCCGTATTACTGGTTACCTTCTTGAAATGAAACAAAAAGGATCTGACTCCTGGACTGGAGCTGGACAAACCAAGCAACTTACTTTCACCGTTGAAGGCCTTGTGGAGAACACAGAATATGAGTTCCGGGTCAAGGCGAAGAATGATGCTGGCTACAGTGAGCCAAGAGAAGCTTTCTCTTCTGTTATTGTTAAGGAGCCACAGATTGAACCAACAGCAGATCTCAGTGACATAAGCAGACAGCTTATAACATGCAAGGCTGGAAGCACCTTTACTATTGATATACCAATCAGTGGGCGCCCAGCTCCGAAAGTGACATGGAAACTTGAGGAGATGAGGCTGAAGGAAACTGAAAGAGTGACCATCAAGACAACAAAAGACCGAACCACGCTGACTGTCAAAGACAGTATGAGAGGTGACTCTGGTAAATACTACCTTACACTTGAGAACACTGCTGGTGTGAAAACATTTACTGTCACAGTGGTAGTCATAGGAAGGCCAGGTCCTGTCACTGGCCCAATTGAAATATCTTCTGTATCTGCTGAGTCCTGTGTGTTGACCTGGAAAGAACCTGAAGATGATGGCGGTAGTGACATTACAAACTACATTGTAGAGAAACGTGAATCTGGCACAACAGCATGGCAGCTGGTGAATTCCAGTGTGAAACGCACGCAGATCAAAGTCAGTCATCTCACAAAATACCAAGAGTACAGTTTCCGAGTAAGCTCAGAAAATCGATTTGGTGTCAGCAAGCCAGTTGAATCAAAAACTGTAGTTGCTGAGCATCCATTTGGTAAGTGAAACACTTCTCAAAATTTGTTCTTTTCTTCTGACTGAGGTATTTATAATTACTGACATTTTCTTCCCCACCTTTTTTGTGTTTAGTCCCACCTAGCCCACCCTCAAGGCCAGAAGTCTATTCTGTGTCTGCAAGTGCCATGGCCATTCGCTGGGAGGAACCCTATCATGATGGTGGCAGCAAAATCATTGGATATTGGGTGGAAAAGAAGGAGCGCAACACCATCCTTTGGGTGAAGGAGAACAAAGTACCATGCTGTGACTGCAACTATAAAGTCACGGGGTTGGTGGAAGGCCTGGAATATCAATTCAGAACCTATGCTCTAAATGCTGCAGGTGTTAGCAAAGCTAGTGAAGCTTCCAGACCTGTAGTGGCTCAAAATCCAGTTGGTAAGTATTACTTTTAGAGTTACATTGTTACATAGAGCTAAAATAGGATTGCCTTTATCATTTTTTCTGCTTTATTCCTCCAGATCCACCGGGAAGACCAGAAGTAACAGATGTCACCAGATCGACAGTGTCACTGAGCTGGTCACCTCCACTTTATGATGGTGGAAGCAAAATAATTGGATATATTATTGAGCGCAAACCATATAACGAATCTGGTGATGGACGTTGGCTGAAATGCAATTATACCATTGTCTCAGAAAACTTTTTTACTGTGACAGCTCTTAGTGAAGATGAAGCCTATGAATTCCGTGTACTAGCAAAGAATGCTGCTGGTGTGATTAGCAAAGGATCTGAATCAACTGGTGCTGTCATTTGCAAAGATGAATACAGTAAGGAATATTTACTTGGAACGATTAAAAACATATTGTTCTATTTTTGGTACTGTCATGTAATTTTTTTCCAAATCTCTTTTTCCAGCACCACCAAAGGCTGAACTTGATGCCAGACTGCAGGGAGAAGTTTTGAGCATTAGGGCTGGATCAGATCTTGTTCTTGATGCAGCCGTTGGTGGAAAACCAGAACCGAAAGTCTTCTGGTCCAAAGGTGACAGGGAACTGGAGCTATGTGAAAAGATATCTCTGCAATATACCAGCAAACGAGCTATTGCAATTATCAAGTTCTGTGACAGAAGTGATAGTGGAAAATATACCCTAACAGTTAAAAATGCCAGTGGGATGAAACAAATTTCTGTTCTTGTCAAAGTGCTTGGTATGTATCCTGTGATTAGTATTGATACTTAGTATACTGGAAAAAAATCAGCATTCTTTTAAATAAGAATGAGAAGCTTTTCCTTAGCCACTAATGACAGTATTTATTTTGATTCCTATACAGATTCACCAGGTCCATGTGCAGGCAAAATCACAATTAGCAGAGTAACAGAAGAGAAATGTACTCTGGCATGGAACATTCCTGAGGAAGATGGAGGTGCAGAAATCACTCACTACATCATAGAAAGGCGTGAAACCAGCAGACTTCACTGGGTTATTGTTGAGGCTGAATGCCAGACTTTATCAACTGTAGTAACAAAACTTATTAAAAATAATGAATACATTTTCCGTGTGAGAGCTGTCAACAAATATGGAGCAGGTGTTCCACTTGAATCAGAAACTGTGATTGCCAGGAATGCTTTCAGTGAGTGTTACCCTTCCATTCTGCATCAGAATTTGTGGAATAATTCTCATGGATAAACAATGTGTTGAACAATCTTTTTTTTTCTCACTTTTAAAAAAATAGCTATTCCAACCCAGCCTGGTGCTCCTGAAGAAGTGAGTGTTGGCAAGGAGCATATCATTATTCAGTGGTCGAAACCAGAATCGGATGGTGGCAGTGAGATTAAGGACTATCTTGTGGACAAACGTGAAAGGAAGAGTCTGCGCTGGACACGAGTGAATAGAGATTATACCATTTATGACACCAGACTGAAAGTCACTGGTCTCATGGAAGGGGGCCAGTACCAATTCCGTGTCACTGCAGTGAATGCTGCTGGAAACAGTGAACCCAGTGAAGCTTCACAATACATGTTATGTAAAGAACCATCATGTAAGTTTCTATATTAAAAATATGTTTTAATATTTATTTATAATAATGGAGCATTAACTCACATTGACACTTTTACTAAGAAACCCATAACCACACATAAACTCACTGAACTAGTGAATAGTATTGGAATAACGTAAAAACAGTTATAGTTCATATTAAATGCATTTCCTGGAATTAGCTGTCTGGAAATTGGTTTTGACTGTAAAATGTTTTCTGTACCAATATAAAATGCATTTTCTTCTTTTTCAAAGACACTCCTGCATCACCTTCAGTTCCAAGAGTTGTGGATACTACAATGCACAGCATCAGTTTAGCATGGTCAAAGCCCACATATGATGGTGGTGCTGACCTCTTAGGCTATGTTCTTGAAATGAAAGAAGAAGGCAGTGAGCAGTGGTATCGAGCACATACAGCCGCCACTCTGAGGAATGCTGAGTTCACCGTGACGGGTCTTAAAACAAACCAGAAATACCAATTCCGAGTTGCTGCAACAAACGTGAATGGTATGAGTGAATTTAGCGAATCATCAGCAGAAATAGAACCTGTGGAAAGAATAGGTAATTAAAAAACCTAATATATATTTTAAGTAAACTATATTTTCCTTTAGGACTTCTGTAAGATTAACTAATTCCATATTTCTTATACCCTTCATCAGAAACACCTGAACTGGAGCTTGCTGATGATCTGAAGAAGACAGTTACAGTCAGAGCTGGTGGCTCCCTGCGCCTAATGGTCTCTGTATCTGGCAGACCTGCTCCTGTAATCACATGGAGCAAGCAGGGTGTTGACCTTGTCAGTCGAGGTATTATTGATACTACAGACAGCTACACTCTGCTTATTGTGGATAAAGTTAATCGGTATGATGCTGGAAAATACGTCATTGAGGCTGAAAATCAATCAGGAAAAAAATCTGCAACTATTTCTGTGAAAGTGTATGGTAAGTACTGCTACAATTGTATGTGAGCATTACAGTACTCTGCATGCTTGTTGCTCAGAAATAAGTGTCATTCATTTCCAAAGGAAGTTTGCATTTTAAATAACATGAGAATGAGAAGTCAGAGAAACAATCTAATCCAAAGGAAAATTCATCATTTCTGGAGCTGTGCTAGTTTATAAATCAAATCCCAGCATTTTTGTTTTATGTGGAAGTAGTCATTGACTGTAAAATGAAAGGATCCAAGTAGGAAAAAAAAAATTGTTTGTTTGTTTTAGACACACCCGGTCCACCACCTGCAGTGAGAGTTAAGGAAGTATCAAAAGATTCTGTGACACTTACTTGGGACATTCCAGTCATTGATGGTGGAGCCCCAGTCAACAATTATATAATTGAGAAACGTGAAGCTTCCATGAGAGCTTACAAGACTGTCACTACCAAATGCAGCAAGACATTTTACAGAGTTACTGGACTTCTGGAAGGAGCTTTGTATTATTTCCGAGTACTACCAGAAAATATTTACGGCATTGGTGAAGGCTGTGAAACATCTGACGCAGTACTGGTATCTGATGTCCCCATGGTACCACAAAAACTCGAAGTGATTGACACCACTAAATCAACTGTTACACTTGCTTGGGAGAAACCACTGCATGATGGTGGCAGCAGATTGACTGGCTATGTCATTGAGGCCAGCAAAGCTGGAACAGAAAGATGGTTGAAGGTAGTGACGTTGAAGCCTACGGTCTATGAGCATACCATTATCTCTCTCAATGAAGGTGAACAGTACTTGTTCCGGGTCAGAGCACAGAATCAGAAGGGCGTGTCAGAACCACGTGAGATTGTCACAGCAGTGACAGTTCAGGACCGAAAAGGTAGGTGTCTACTGTTGAAAACAATATGGTCAAGCTTACACCAAATGAATGTGATAGTTACAAAACAGGTATTTAAAATATCAATTATTTTCTTTCCTTAGTTCTACCAACAATTGACTTCACTGGAATACCTCAGAAGACCATCCATGTACCTGCTGGCAAGCCCATTGAATTAGCCATTCCAATTGAAGGACGACCACCTCCAACTGCATCTTGGTTCTTTGCTGGTTCTAAACTAAAAGAATCAGAGCGCATCAAAATGGAGACTTCTGCCAAAATGGCCAAATTAACTGTGCGTGAGACCACCATACATGACACAGGGGAGTATACACTTGAACTGAAGAACACAACTGGAACAGTTACTGATACAGTAAAGGTTATAATCCTTGGTAAGAGTTCATCAAAATAATTGTCCATGACCTTCCTCCATTCAAACTTTTTCATGAGAAATACGATTCTTTTTTTGCACCTGTTTTGTAAGCTTCTTTTCTTTTTTTCTTTTTTTTTTTTTTCCCTAGACAAGCCTGGACCACCTGTTGGACCTATCAGAATTGATGAAATTGATGCAAATTATGTAACCATCTCCTGGGAGCCTCCTGAGCTGGATGGTGGAGCTGCCCTTAGTGGGTATGTGGTAGAACAGCGTGATGCTCACCGTCCTGGATGGCTGCCAGTTTCAGAGTCAGTAACCAGGACAACATTTAAGTTCACCAGACTTGTTGAAGGTGCAGAATATGTGTTCCGTGTAGCTGCTACAAACCGCTTTGGAATTGGATCTTACCTGCAGTCTGAAATTATAGAATGCAAGAGCAGAATCCGTAAGTCTTAATTTTTGTTCAATCTCTATTTTTAAAATTAGAAATATATGTTTAAATGAGTCTATATATCCACACATATACTAGAATTTTCTACATGTTGCTACTTCCTTTTGCCAGATAAAATTGTACATCCTGATGCACAGTAATCATGTTATTTTCCAGAGGAAAAATGCCACCCATAAATTGGTATAGGTGTTATAGATGTGTTGCACAGAACATGGATGGTAAACTTGGATTTTCTGCTTAGGTCTACCATCAATCTTGAAAAATTGCTCTACCCCATTACAAAACAAGAAGTTTTACCTGATTTGTAAATTACTTAGGTACCTGCTAATAAAAGTGTTTGATAAGACGTTGATATTACATTGTTATTCACAATATGTCACATCCTACTAAGGTGTAAAGTAATCTGATCCTTTCTTCACTAATTCCATGTCATATTTTTACAGGTATTCCTGGTCCTCCTGGCACTCCTGAAGTGTTTGATATCTCTCGAGATGGCATGACATTGACTTGGTATCCTCCAGAAGATGATGGTGACTCACAGATTACTGGTTATATTGTGGAACGCAAAGAAGTTAGAGCAGATAGATGGATCCGTGCAAATAAAGTTCCAGTCACCATGACTCGTTACCGTTCCACTGGGTTGGTTGAAGGATTAGAATATGAACACCGGGTCACTGCAATCAATGCCAGAGGCACTGGGAAACCCAGCCGTCCTTCCAAATCTGTTGTTGCCAGAGATCCAATTGGTAAGTAATTTCCTACACAGATTAAACACATGATGGTAGAAGGGAATGACATTATGGTAGAATTAATTCTAATTTGAAAATTTTTATGGTTGTATTAACAAAATGAGATTCTGACTGGAGAAAAAGAAGAAAATATTAATGAAAATCTTTCATTCAAAGTTTTCCTTTTTAAATTCTTTATACTTATTAGAGATTGTAAACTGCAAGTTAGCATTTATTTCATCTTTCAAGTATTCATAGAAACAAATCCCACCTGCCTATCTGATCTTCTCTTCCAGCTCCTCCAGGTAAACCTCAGAATCCAAGAGTCACTGATACTACAAGAACATCTGTCTCCCTGGCTTGGAGTCCACCAGAAGATGAAGGTGGCTCTAAGGTTACTGGCTACTTAATTGAGATGCAGAAGGTTGATCAATTTGAATGGACCAAGTGCAACACTACACCAACCAAGATTCGGGAATACACCTTGACACATCTTCCCCAAGGTGCAGAGTACAGATTCCGAGTGCTAGCCTGTAATGCTGGTGGGCCAGGAGAACCTGCTGAAGTGCCAGGAACAGTCAAAATTACAGAAATGCTTGGTAAGACATTTCAAGCCGTAGCTCTTGTTGAAAGCTGTCCTAAAAATTTTTTTGCCTAAAGCAGGTATGATATCACCTGTAGAACGACATAGCATGACATGTTGTTTTTGTTTGCAGAATATCCTGACTATGAACTTGATGAAAAATACCAAGAAGGTCTCATGGTGAGACAAGGAGGAGTAATCAGGCTTACAATACCCATTAAGGGTAAGCCCATGCCAGTATGCAAATGGACAAAAGAAGGACAGGACATCAGCAAGAGGGCCATGATTGCAACTTCAGAGACTCACACAGAACTTGTGATCAAAGATGCAGAAAGAGAAGATTCGGGCACCTATGATTTGGTACTTGAAAACAAGTGCGGCAAGAAAGCCGTGTACATTAAAGTCAGAGTGATTGGCATTCCAAATCCACCAGAAGGACCACTTGAGTATGATGATATACAAGCTCGTTCTGTCAGAGTAAGCTGGAGACCTCCTACAGATGATGGTGGTGCAGATATCCTGGGTTATATTGTTGAGAGAAGAGAAGTACCGAAGACTGCCTGGTACACTGTTGACTCTAGAGTGAAAGGGACATCACTAGTCGTGAAAGGACTCAAAGAAAATGTGGAATATCACTTCCGTGTTTCTGCTGAAAACCATTTTGGTATTAGCAAATCTCTCAAATCTGAAGAACCAGCAGTACCAAAGACACCTCTAAGTAAGTTTTCTTTTAGATTCAAAAAAAAACCCCAAATTAATAACTACGTTATGATCTAAAAGTGCAACAATATATGCAGAAATATTAATGCTATGTCACTGTTATATTTTTATTATTACCATTATTAACAGATCCACCAGAGCCTCCAAACAACCCACCTGAAGTCCTTGATGTTACAAAGAGTTCTGTCAACTTGTCCTGGTCCAGACCTAAAGATGATGGTGGTTCTCGTGTAACTGGCTACTATATTGAACGTAAAGAGACATCTACAGAAAAATGGGTCCGGCATAATAAAACTCAGATTACCACTACAATGTACACAGTCACAGGACTTGTTCCAGATGCTGAATATCAATTCCGCGTCATTGCTCAAAATGACATTGGTGAAAGTGAAGCAAGTCCTGCTTCTGAACCAGTTGTATGCAAGGATCCATTTGGTAAGATAATGTCCACATTCACTGATCTTTTCAAGGACAGTTTAATGACATTTAGAGAAAAACTGATTTTCTGTTTTAATTTATTTTAATTTTCAGACAAACCTAGCCAACCTGGAGAAATTGAGATCACTTCCATCTTTAAGGACAGCATTACATTAGAATGGGAACGACCTGAAAGTGATGGTGGCAAAGAGATCCTTGGCTATTGGGTTGAATATCGCCAGTCTGGAGAAAGCACCTGGAAAAAATGCAATAAGGAACGCATCAAGGACAGGCAGTTTACAGTAGGAGGTTTACTAGAGGCCACAGAATATGAGTTCCGTGTTTTTGCAGAAAATCAGACTGGCCTCAGCAGACCTCGAAGGACTGCTATGGCAGTGAAAACTAAATTAACATGTAAGCAAAAATACGTTGTCATTTTTCTGATGTTGTTGTAATTTGCTACATCATAAACCATGGTGCTGCATTTAACATGCTGTGTATTTGTTTTATGTGATATTTGCTAACATGACTATGCCAAATGACAGTCTCTCAAGAGGATCAAGTATAAATGAAAACTGATTTCCAGTAATATAGTAATAGAAGAAAATGTCATCGTAATCATCATTATTTTTTTTTTATTTTCTTTGTCACAGCTGGAGAAGCACCTGCCATAAAGAAAGAAATGCAGGATGTTACAACTAAACTGGGTGAGGCAGCTCAACTGACATGCCAGATTGTTGGAAGACCTTTGCCTGATATTAAATGGTACCGCTTTGGCAAAGAGCTGGTACAAAGCAGAAAATACAAAATGTCATCTGATGGACGCAATCATACACTGACAGTAATGACAGATGAACAGGAGGATGAAGGTCTTTACACTTGTATGGCTACCAATGATGTTGGAGAAATCGAAACTAGTGGCAAGCTATTATTGCAGGCTCCTCCTCAGTTCCACCCTGGCTTCCCATTGAAAGAGAAATACTACGCAGGCGCAGGTGGCACCCTCCGCCTTCATGTTGTGTATATTGGCCGGCCAGTACCAGCAATAACTTGGTTCCATGGCAACAAACCTTTGAGAGGATCAGAAACAGTTACTATTGAGAACACAGAACAGTATACTCATCTTGCTATTAAGAATGTCCAGCACAAGACTCATGCTGGGAAGTACAAAGTACAACTCAGTAACACATTTGGAACAGTTGACACTGTACTTAATGTGGAAATACAAGGTAATAAATTTTTTTTTCAGTATTTTGTGGAATATTTTTTCAAATATTGACTGGAAAAACAAATAAAAATTTTGTGCTTTTTCTTGGACAGATAAACCAGATAAACCAGTAGGACCAATTGTTATAGAGTCTATATTGAAGAATTCTGTGGTGATAAGCTGGAAACCACCAGAGGATGATGGAGGTGTTATGATAACCAATTACATCATAGAGAAACGTGAAGCCAAGGAAGGAGCAGAATGGCAACTTGTATCTTCAAGTATTTCAGGCACAACCTGTAGAATTGTTAACCTAACTGAAAATGCAGGCTATTATTTCCGTGTTTCTGCTCAGAATATGTACGGCATTAGTGAAGCACTGGAGGTTTCATCAGTAGTTTTTATAAAGCCTCCATTTGGTAAGTAGAGCCTAAAATATCAATGTCTGAATGCCCCTGTGTTTTCATTTAAGCCCAGCCCCATGCAGCTGTTTGATCACCTGTGGGATCAGGAGAGAATCAGAAGGGTAAAAGCTGAAAAACTCTTGGGTTAAGACAAAGACAGTTTAATAGGAAAAGGGAAAGCTGCATACACCATCAATGCAAAACAAAGAATTCATTCCCTGCTTCCCATGGGCAGACAGGTGTTCAGCCATCTCCAGGAGAGCAGGGCCCCATCACACGTAACAGTGGCTTGGGAAGGTAAATGCCATCACTTCAAGTGTCCCCCCTTCCCCCATTTTATATACTGAGCATGGTGTCATATGGTCTGGAATATCCCTTTGTCAGCTGGGCTCACCTGTCCTGGCTGTGTCTCCTCCCACCTTCCCAGGCACCCCCAACTTCCTCACCAGCATGGCAGTACAATGAAGAAATGGCCTTGTCTCTGTGTAAGCTCTGCTTAGCAATAACAAAAACATCTCTGTATTATCAACCCTGTGTTCAGCACAAATCCAAAACACAGCCCCATAGTGAAGAAAGCCATTGTGAAGAAAGTTAACTCTACCCCAGCCAAAACCAGCATGACCTGTAATTAATTAACTAAGGCAAGCTCACTTCAATTTTTGAACTTTGTTATTCTTTACAGAAAAACCAGGACAACCCGGCCAGCCAGTAGCAAGTGCTATCACAAAGGATTCTTGTGTTGTCTCATGGAAACCACCTGCAAGTGATGGCGGTGCAAAGATTAGAACTTACTATCTTGAGAAGCGTGAGAAAAAACAAAACAAGTGGATTTCTGTAACAACAGATGAAATTCGTGAAACAGTCTACTCTGTGAAAGATCTTATTGAAGGTCTTGAATATGAGTTCCGTGTAAAATGTGAAAATCTTGGTGGTGAAAGTGAGTGGAGTGAGGTATCCGAACCAGTCATTCCAAAATCTGATGTACCAATTAAAGCTCCACATTTCAAGGAAGAACTAAGGAATCTGAATGTGAAATTTCAAGCTAATGCCACATTTGTTTGCAAAGTCACTGGTCATCCTAAGCCAATTGTCAAGTGGTACAGACAGGGCAAAGAAATCATGCCAGATGGGGAAAAGATCAAGATACAGGAATTCAAGGGAGGCTATTACCAGCTGGTCATCACAAATGTAACAGATGATGATGCCACAGTATATCAAGTTAGAGCTACCAACCAAGGAGGATCTGTGTCTGGCACTGCCTCTCTGGATGTTGAAGGTGAATAAAGGGTCTTGATAATCAAGACAAATTCATTTAATTTTGAATATTTAGACTGTTATGCTCTTCTCGTGTGCTTTTGGTTATGTGTTTTTTTCTTCCTCTTTCTGTTCCAGTTCCTGCAAAGATTCATTTGCCCAAAAACTTGGAAGGCATGGGAGCTGTTCATGCCCTCCGAGGGGAAGTGGTGAGCATCAAGATTCCATTCAGTGGCAAGCCGCCCCCTGTGATCACGTGGCAGAAGGGACAAGATCTTATCGATACTAATGGACACTACCAAGTCATTGTTACACGGTCATTCACATCTCTTGTTTTCCCAAATGGTGTTGACAGAAAAGATGCAGGGTTTTACATTGTTTGTGCCAAAAACAGATTTGGAATTGATCAAAAAACAGTTGAATTAGATGTGGCTGACGTGCCTGATCCACCAAGAGGTTTGAAGGTAACTGACGTTTCAAGGGATTCAGTCAACTTAACCTGGAATGAACCAGCTACTGATGGTGGAAGCAGGATCACAAACTACATTATTGAGAAACGTGCTACGACAGCAGAGCGATGGATTCGTGTTGCACAAGCTCGTGATACACGATACACAGTGGTGAACCTATTTGGCAAGACCACCTACCAGTTCCGTGTAATTGCAGAGAACAAGTTTGGCCAAAGTCAGCCTTCTGAACCTACTGATCCAATTGTAACAAAGGAAGACAAGACCAGAGTAATGAACTATGATGAAGAAGTTGATGAAACCAGAGAAATTACGGCAGCTAAAGCAGGTCACTATTCTACAAAGGAACTCTATGACAAATACATGATTGCAGAAGAGCTTGGACGCGGGCAGTTTGGCATTGCACACCGCTGTGTTGAGGCAGTTTCAAAAAAGACTTACTTGGCCAAATTTGTCAAAGTAAAGGGTGCAGACCAAGTTTTGGTAAAGAAAGAAATTTCCATCCTAAACATTGCTAGGCACCGAAATATCCTGTATCTTCATGAGTCATTTGAGAGCCTAGAAGAGTTGGTCATGATCTTTGAATTCATTTCTGGTGTTGACATCTTTGAAAGAATCAGCACAGCTTCATTTGAACTTAATGAAAGAGAAATAGTGAGTTATGTACGCCAGGTCTGTGATGCACTAGAATTTTTACATCGTCATAGCATTGGACATTTTGATATTAAACCAGACAATATTATTTACTTCACAAGAAGAAGCTCTGTAATTAAAATTGTTGAATTTGGTCAAGCCAGACAGCTGAGGCCTGGAGACAGCTTTAGACTCCAGTTCACTTCTCCTGAATATTATGCGCCTGAAGTACATCACCATGACTTGGTCAGCACAGCTACGGACATGTGGTCAGTTGGTGCTCTAACATACATACTTCTCAGTGGCCTTAACCCTTTCATTGCTGAAACAAACCAACAAGTTATTGAAAATATTCTAAATGCTGAATACAGCTTTGAGGATGAAGCATTCAAGGACATAAGCGTCGAAGCCATGGACTTCATTGATCGCTTACTAGTAAAGGAAAGAAAATCTCGGATGACAGCTGCTGAAGCGCTTAATCATGTGTGGCTAAAACAGCAGACGGAAAAGACCAGCACCAAAACCATTAAGACTTTAAGGCACAGGCGTTACTATCAAACTCTAGTAAAGAAGGAGTGGAACACAGTTGTGTCAGTAGCCCGCATTTCCTGTGGAGGCGCAATTAGATCCCAGAAAGGCATAACAGTGGCTAAAGTTAAAGTTGCCCCAATAGACATTGGGCCTATTGCTGGGCAGATAAAGCATAATGTTGCAGAAGAAGGAGGCCATGCCAAATATGTATGTACAATTGAAAACTATGATGAGTCCACACAAGTCACATGGTACTTCGGTATGAGGCAATTAGAAAGCAATGAGAAATACGAAATCAAATATGAAGATGGTGTGGCAACCATGTATGTCAAAGATGTTTCTAAATCAGATGATGGTACCTACAGATGCAAGGTGATGAATGATTATGGTGAGGACAGCTCTTATGCAGAACTTTTTGTTAAAGGTGTGAGAGAAATTTCTGAGCACTACAGATGCAGAACTGTTAGAAAAGTGAAACGACGGGTTGATACTATGAGACTATTAGAGCATCCCCCAGAATTTACTCTGCCTTTGTATAACCGCACTGCATATGTTGGAGAAAATGTCAGGTTTGGAGTAACTATAACAGTTCACCCAGAACCTCGCTTAACATGGTACAAATCAGGCCAGAAAATCAAACCTGGGGATGATGATAAGAAGTATACTTTTGAATCAGACAAGGGTCTTTATCAGCTTGTCATCAATAATGTCACTGAAGAGGATGATGCTGAATACAGTATTGTGGCACGCAATAAATATGGTGAAGACAGCTGCAAAGCTAAGCTGACTGTGATTCCACATCCCCCTCCAGCAGATGCCACACTCAGGCCAATGTTTAAAAGACTGCTGGCAAATGCTGAATGTCAAGAAGGCCAAAATGTCAGTTTTGAGATCAGGGTATCTGGTGTGCCAAAACCAACGTTGACATGGGAGAAAGATGGTCAACCTCTATCCTTTGGTCCTAACTTTGATATAATTCATGAAGGTTTAGATTACTATGCTTTGCACATCAGAGATACTTTACCAGAAGACAGTGGCTACTACAGAGTTACTGCTACAAACAGTGCTGGATCTACCAGCTGTCAGGCTTATCTAAAAGTTGAACGCTTGAAATATGTCAAGCGTGAGTACAAGACAGAAGAAGAGCGGGAGAGACATGTACAGAGGCAAATTGACAAGACCTTACGAATGGCAGAAATCCTTTCTGGGGTTGAAGCTGTTCCACTGACACAAACTGCACAAGAGGCTCTCAGAGAAGCTGCTATCTTATATAAACCAGCTGTTAGCTCAAAGACCGTTAAAGGTGAATATGAAATTCAGAAAGAAGAAAAGAAGGAGAAGGAGGAAAGGAGACTTCGTATGCCATATGAGATCCCAGAGCCTCGCAAACATGTGCGTGCTGCTCTTGAGGAAGATCAGCATATTAAACACTATGTGCCTCTGTCAGACATGAAGTGGTACAAGCGGCTGCGAGACCAGTATGAAATGCCAGGAAAACTTGAGAGGACTGTTCAGAAACGCCAGAAACGCATACGTCTTTCCAGGTGGGAGCAATTCTATGTGATGCCGCTGCCTCGCATTTCTGATCAGTACAAGCCTAAATGGCGCATACCAAAGCTGACACAAGACGATCTTGAAATTGTGAGACCAGCACGCCGGCGTATCCCATCTCCAGAGTATGAATATCACTATAGACCAAGAAGGCGGTCGCTTGGTGACTTATCTGATGAGGAATTGCTCATGCCGATAGATGATTACTTAGCCATGAAGAGAACTGAAGAGGAAAGACTGCGCCTTGAAGAGGAGCTGGAGTTAGGCTTTTCTGCTTCCCCACCAAGTAGAAGCCCCCCACGCTTTGAACTGTCTGCCCTTCGATATTCTACTGCAGGAGCACAGGTCAGTTCAGAGGAAGAAAGAAAAAGAGAGCTGAGGTATTCAAGCTATCACATTCCAACTAAAGCTGAGACAAGTGCAAGCTATGCAGAGCTTCGTCAACGTCATGACAGGGCTGCCTACAGACCACCTAAACAAAAGCAAAGAATAATGGATGAGCGGGAGGATGAAGAATTGCTCCGGCCTGTTGGCACTGATCAGCGACTCTCTGAATACAGGAGTGAGCTCAAATATATGGCAGAGGAAGAAAAGAGTAGACTCAGGAGAAGGAGGGAAAGAGAAATAACTGAGATCACATCAGAAGAAGAAGAAGAAATAGAAATGGTGCAATATGCTCACAGGGAATTTTCACCTCCCTCTAGATTATTAAGGAGAAGAAGATCTCTTTCTCCAACTTACATTGAGCTGATGCGTCCTGTATCTGAATTAATTCGACCTCGCTCACGGCCTCCTGAAGAAAGTGAGAGAAGATCCCCAACACCAGAGAGAACTCGACCACGATCACCTAGCCCAGTTTCTAGTGAAAGATCTCTCTCCCGGTTTGAGAGGATGGCAAGATTTGATATATTTTCTAGATACGAGTCCATGAAATCTGCTCTGAAAACTCAAAAAACTATGGAAAGGAAATATGAAGTTCTGACTCAGCAGCCTTTCACCCTTGACCATGCTCCTCGCATTACCCTGAGAATGCGCTCACACCGAGTACCGTGTGGCCATAATACTAGGTTCATTCTAAATGTCCAGTCAAAACCAACCGCCGAAGTGAAGTGGTACCACAACGGTATTGAGCTCCAAGAGAGCAGTAAGATTCACTTTACCAATACGAGTGGTGTATTAACTCTGGAGATTCTTGACTGCCACATTGATGACAGTGGAACATACCGAGCTGTATGCACAAACTACAAAGGGGAATGCTCTGATTATGCAACACTAGATGTTACTGGAGGAGATTACACTACATACTCTTCCCAGAGGAGAGATGAAGAAGTACCAAGGGCAATTTTGCCTGACTTGACAAAAACAGAGGCATATGCAATCTCCTCGTTTAAGAAAGCATCTGAAACAGAAGCAAGTTCCTCAGTAAGAGAGGTCAAATCAGAAGTGTCATCAACAAGAGAGTCACTTTTATCCTATGAACACTATGCTGCTTCTGAAGAAAAAGTCACTGCTGCTGAAAAAAAATCACTGGAAGAAAGGACTTCACACAAAGCATTTAAAAGCACTCTGCCAGCAACAATCCTTACAAAGCCACGGTCAATCACAGTTTCTGAAGGGGAGACTGCGAGATTTTCCTGTGATGTTGATGGTGAACCAGCACCAACAATAACATGGCTCCATGCAGGTCAACCTATTGTTTCTTCAAGGCGCTTCCAAGTAACACGAACACAGTACAAGTCTACCTTTGAAATTTCTTCCGTCCAGATATCAGATGAAGGAAGTTACACTGTTGTGGTGGAAAACTCTGAAGGAAGACAGGAAGCCCATTTTACTTTGACCATTCAAAGAACAAAAATTCCTGAAAAAACAATTACATCACCTCCAAGGATCAAATCTCCTGAGCCTCGTGTAAAGTCACCAGAGCCAGTTAAGTCCCCTAAACGAGTGAAATCTCCTGAACCCATCAGCAGTCCCCCAAAAGCTAAGTCACCACCTGGAGACAAAATGGTATCAACAGAGAAAGTACAATTACCAACTGCTTCTCCACCAAAGATAAAACAGCATCTGAAAGCAGAAACTCTTGGAGATAAGGTAAAGTTATCCTGTGCAGTTGAAAGCAATGTTTTAAGTGTCAGAGAAGTGGCTTGGTATAAGGATGGTAAAAAACTGAAAGAAGACCATCATTTCAAGTTTCATTATGCAGCAGATGGCACTTATGAGCTCAAAATCCATGAGCTCATGGAATCTGATAAAGGAGAATACACCTGTGAAATTATTGGTGAAGGAGGTGTTTCGAAAACTAACTTCCAGTTTACCGGCCAAGTATTTAAAAATATCTATTCCCAGGTAAGAGGTGTAACTGAATCTCATAAAACAGTTCAGAAAGAAGATGAGTTACTTATGGTTTCTAGCCAGAAGAAATCAGTAGTGGCAACTGAAGAGAAATCTGCAGTTCAAGAAGTCATTAAAAAGTCAGTTGTTACAGAAGATGTCAAACAAATGAAAGCAGAAATTACAGCTTCTTCAACTAAAATGACAATGTCTGAAGGGCAAAAAGTGACACTGAAGGCCAACATTCCTGGTGCCTCTGAAGTAAAATGGGTGCTGAATGGAATGGAGCTGAGAAATTCAGATGATTACAGATATGGTGTTTCTGGAAGTGATCACACGCTAACTATCAAAAAGGCCAGTAATAAGGATGAAGGTATACTCACCTGTGAGGGTAAAACTGACGAAGGCATTATTAAATGCCAGTATGTTGTGACCCTTTCTAAAGAGCGCTCCAGTGAACCAGCATTCATCATGCAGCCTAAGTCTCAAAATGTCAATGAAGGACAAGACGTATTGTTCACCTGTGAAGTTTCTGGGGAGCCTTCTCCTGAAGTTGAGTGGTTAAAGAATAATCAGCCTGTAAGTAATCATTTAATATGTTTACTTGAAAAAATAGAATTATTCATAAAATTTATCTTAATGAAATAGTTTTTGTTCCCCTCCTTAGATTGCAGTTTCATCGCACCTCAGAGTATCCCGCTCTAAAAATATATATTCTCTTGAGATTCGAAATGCTGCAGTGAGTGACACTGGAAAATACACAGTCAAGGCAAAAAATTACCATGGGCAGTGTTCTGCTACAGCATCTTTGACTGTACTCCGTAAGTTTGTTCTTCAGATCTTGTGTTCAGAATAGTCACAACTTTTTGCTGTGGTGCGTCTACTAAAATGACTTACGATAAAATCCACTGGCAGTGTTGACTTCAGTATTTTAAGACATTAATCTTTCTTTTGTATATTACATATGCAGCCCTAAAACAGCACTAGAAATCTTTTTAACACCCAGAGTAGCACAGACATGCTCTATTACATCAACAGGTGCATGGTAAGAGAAAGCTATGAGCATTTCTTCTAGGATGAGTATGTTAAGACCTTGGTGCTGGTAATTATTCTTTCCTCATTTACTAAAAATTCTTTCCTCATTTACTAAAAACATCTGTTACAATAAAATTAAGTCATTCCACAGTTAAAGATTTTATGGCAACTTAATTGAACTGGGTTTACTATTTTATTGGCTATACCATATCCCAATTCCTAGCATCAAGGTGTGGTTGTGATTGCTTGCATGACTGTGTTTGGGTCTAAAGCAAAGCTGCAGTGACTGAGCTTTCCTGTTGCCCTTTATAGCTACAAAACAAGGCAGTGAAATAGAGATTTTACTATTCTGTGTTTTTAAGACCTGAAAAGGTTTCACAGCTTCTACAAATAATGAACTGAGCACACACAATTAATTTCTCAGTGTCTAATTCTAATAATGGTTCTAATAAGAAACGCTGTGTGATAACCTGTTTTTTTCTTAAGTATGTATGGTTTTCCTTGAAGCTCATACATACTGTAAGTTTCATTGCCTATTTTTTAATTTCTAAATTTCTGCTTGTGATTTGGATATCTTGACTCAAGTGATTGTAAACAAGTGTATACTCCACTGCAGTTTTCCATTGAAAGCAAAGTATGCCATCTTCATTTCTATAAAATTAACCATACAGAACTGCATGACTTTGTTAGTTAATGTGATGTTATTGCTTTTTCCTTCTATGTTTGCAATGCTCCTCAGCTCTAGTTGAAGAACCTCCGAAAGAGGTAGTATTGAAGACCAGTGGCGACGCAAGCATGCACGAAAGTTTTTCTTCTCAGTCCTTTCAAATGGCTTCTTCTAAACAAGAGGCTTCATTCAGCAGTTTCAGCAGTAGCAGCATGACTGAAATGAAATTTGAAAGCATGTCTGCCAAAAGCATGTCCTCCATGAAAGAATCCTTTGTAGAGATGAGCTCCAGCAGTATTATGGGGAAATCTAGCATGGCTCAACTGGAGAGTTCAACTAGTAAAATGCTTAAATCAGGTCTGAGAGGTGAGCATTACAATTCTTGGTAGAGTTAGTGCTTCGGCTATCCTGAAGTAGTCCTCAGAGTAAAGCTGCTTCTTGGCTTAGCGAAAACAGACTAACTTGGTATTTCTTCTCCGATTTTTTTAAAGGAGTACCACCCAAAATCGAAGCTCTCCCATCTGACATCAGCATTGAGGAAGGAAAAGTTCTCACACTATCCTGTGCCTTTTCGGGTGAACCTGCTCCTGAAATAACATGGTACTGCAGAGGGAGAAAAATTACGAGTCAGGACCAGCAAGGCAGATTCCACATTGAAACCAGTGAAGATCTAACTACCCTGATCATCATGGATGTCCAGAAGAACGACGGTGGACTTTATACTCTGAATTTAGGGAATGAATTTGGTACCGATTCTGCCACTGTGAATATAAATATCCGATCACCTTAGAGAGCTTAATCTGTATTATTTACACTTGTATTTTTACAAGTGATTCATATATGGACTGAAATATCTGATATGTAAATATAAAAGAAAAATATTTTTTTACCTACCTGAACGAGACAAAGTCCAGATCTATACATTATGACTTATAGTCATTATTGACCTAAGAATTTAAAACACTTTTTTCACTGACATGTACATACTGTATATAGCCGAAGTTAACGGTTATGAAGTTTTGTACCGTTTATTTTATGACATTTTGAAACGTAACTTTTGGAACTAACAGTTGGTAGGGGAAAGTTTCCTAGCAAATGACTACCCTGCTCAACATTTAACTAATTTTTGCGCCTCAACTCATTGTTGATGTCTAAGAATGCCTCAACAGGTAGAGAAGCTCCCTGTTGAAGATTACCTACGCCTAAGACATGATACTGTGCACAGTATTTCATACGTGCACAAATATTTATGTTGAATCAGAAATGTAAGGCATTGGTGATGTTTGCAATTACCCTCCTGTAAGCATTGCTTTAATGCTTTACATTGGATCTGATTACGTCATAATTTTCATACCTGACTGACAATTTCTGAACAAAGTGCAAGCGGCCAGCACTTTGTTCACCCACTGTGTACTGTTTCTGACACATTGACTGCCTGAATAGCTTTTAAAAAAGTAACATCACCTGGCCATCCCCTTAATCAACAGAGCTATTTAGGTATTCAAGTGCAGCAGCAGTACCCCATCTCGGAGGTTCTTAGGGTGCAGTGATTGAGTTTGTGTGGTAGTATTAGACACCCAGTAGTCACTTCCGGGCAACTAAGCAATGAACCACAGTTTGAAAACAAACTGTTGCTACAACATCAAATACCAGCCTGCACTTCAATTTGCTTTAGTTCTCCTAATGTAGTAATAGAGCTTGGTAGCTGTTGAACCTCCTAGAGATAGAATTGTTCATTTGAAATAAAGCATGCTTTCTGCACCATAAAAGTCTGTGACTCCTTCTTTATTTATTACGCTGCTTTTACAGTTCCTGTACTACACTACAGAAAAAGAGTTGCTGAAACAAAAGATGAGGTAGAAATGGAGTTCTCCAGTGTAAACCAGGTAGTTAACTGTTGACAATCCAGCCATCTGTCACAAACAGCCTATCCACCTTGGAAACCAGCCTTGGAAAGTTACTTTTAAAAAAATGTTCTTCACAGGTACCTTATTGACAAAGGACAAATTCTAGCACATGCCTAAGCATTGTGCTGTTCTTACAGTTCTGTTATTTCCAGGCTTTCCTCTACACCATCTTGGTTTTTTGGCAGCTTCAATCTGTACAGACTGATTGACCCTAACTGCCTGGACCAACAAGTTGTCACCTTCAGTGCGTGATTCATCAATTCTTCATCCCACAAGCGGACATATCTGTCAGAGCAAAGCCTGTCTTCACATTTGGGGGGTTGTGGGAGGGGTTGGGATATGTTATCTGTGGGGAAAAGAGTATCAAGGTCAAAGGAGCAAGTCTGCTTCTAGAATTCACTCTGTAGAAGAAGCTTGAGAGCAAACACTTTCACAGAAATGCAACACTTCAAGAGCTGTAAAATTCTCTGAAGTGCAGCAAGAGCATTACTTAGCAAACATGATGCATCACTGTGACTCTCAGCATACCACTAATACTAAAAAAAAAAAAAAAAAAAAAAGACTCAAATTCATCAGAAGTAATGAAGCAGATAGAATGTTTTAAAACCTATTCCAGAAAGACTCACTGTAGAACCTTTTTTTTATACTTTCCTATAACCCTATATATTATCACTATCTATCCAAATTATGCAGGAAAGCTAAGAAATAGGGACAAAACAAGGACTAAGGTAAAAATAGGATTTCAGAAGAGCTAAGCTCTGGGTCAGGACAAAATCCAAACTTTTTCAAGTGATGGAAGCAGTAATTATAAGTATGAAAGAGTTTAAGAGTGCATGGTGTTTCTTGCTTAAGGAGAAAAGTTTAAAAGAATAAAAATTAAGTTTAAATGGCTGTGTATTTTAATCTTTAAACCATCCAAAGAGAAAAAAACCTCAAGAAAGTTTGTAATTCTCATTTCTTTATATGTTTAAACTCCAACCAACAAACTCAATACAAGAAAAAAATGTGTAGGCACAGTCTTGTTTAGCTAACAAGTAACTTGTGTATGCAGGCACATAATAAAACTAACACTAAAAACGCAGTAGATATTTAATCATCTCAGCAGAAAGAGATAAGTTATAGACGGCATCTGCAGCATCTGCATGGCCTCTTCTACACAAAGGCTACAGGAAACTTAGTCTCACATGGCCTCTACTGAGTCTCAAAACACTCAGTTTTGAAGAGGAAACACAACGGTGTGACAGTGCAAGCAAGTTCATCCTGCCAGTACCTCTCTGGCCCAACTCTGCACAGCACTTAAGCAAGTACTTTCAGCAGATGAGTCACTCATGTCTAAAAATAGGATTTAAAATACTTAGGGACTTTGCTGAAACACAGCTTGAATAGATAATGTTGCAGGCCGACCAGCTGAGCCAGTGTTTTTCCACAAGACTGCTAAGCAAATGCTAACCTAGAGTGACATTGCTGAAGTCACAACCGAAAGCTTCAGTATTCCATTTCACAGAACACATCTCTATGAATAACATTTTTCAAAACAATAGATCAAGCAGTCTCTGGATGAAAAAAAATAAACATTTGGAATTATTGACTTACTATATCCAGGTCAAATACTGGGATTTCTAACTATATAAGCTGATATTTGCTCTCTTAGATAGACAGATAAATAGATCAGATCTACTGTGCCATAGAACCAAGGTTATAAAAATATCCCACCACTGATATAGTGTATGAAAGCATTTGGCACACACTGATGCATAAGGGAAAAACTTTTTAACAAAGCTCTGTGAGCTGCTGTATAAATCCTTCTAAAAAGCTATGTATTTTCTACTAACACTTTACATGTGGCAGCCCAAGAAAAATAACTGTAACGGTGAAGAGCCATAATAACACTGAGAGATTAATTTTATTGCATTTTAGCTGGTTTTCAGACATAGACATTTCCTTTATTCAAGTATCACACCCCTTTTAAAAGTTTCTAATTTGCGCCAACAGGAAAAAGAGCTACGCTAGAATACTTAGGGGTGGAGCAAAACTCAAGTTTATAATTTGTGAAAATAACCTTAACAGAAACAAATAGGTGATTTCAATTTTTAAGAAAGGAATAACAATTTTTGCAGAAGCAATCACTGAAGTATTCCTATCCCAAAGATTGCTTTCTCTGAGGAAAAATAAAGTTAAAAAAGTAAAACTGAATTACTAAGTTGAAAGACATAATAACATTAATTTACAGTACTTTAAAGCCCCTGAACATTGCAATCTCAGTATTCACAGCTCTCCAAATCACTGAGTGCCTTACCATTAATTCTTTATAATTGAAGCTGGTAATTTCTAAGCATTCTATTTTTAATTATCTGATGTTAGGAACTTCAGAGATATAATTGAAGTTACCACTTTTCACCTAAATTTTTATCCCATGCTTATATTCTCTAAGTGATGAAATTTGAGCTGTTTTCAGATTGATCTCTTCAGAAGCACATGAGATCAAAACTAGAAGTACCAACTACCTATGCTGTTAAGGTTCAGCTCTCATTCTGCACTAGCAAGAATGATACAATCAGGCATTCCTGATAAGCTCTCCCATAAATATGGAAAATAAATATGTAAGAGCAGCCAGGTATTTTTTTAGTCTTACTTTGCATGGATCATTGTGATTCAGCCAGATAATTTTCAGAAATTATTTCTTAACTCCAGTTACCAAAAATATGACAGCATATTATCTTCACTAATTTCACTGAAATATAGGATGTTTGGCACAGGTATCTATAAAAAGGCTGATTTAATAGAAACATATCACACATATACTGATAAAGCTGAAATGATGGCCTTGTGGACCTAGAAAAACCCCAAAACAGCACTGAAGCAATTACATGCCAATTTTATTCTTGGATGTGATCACAACAACTTTGTGATCAACAACTTTGTCTTGTGGCAGTATTTAAAATTATTACTTACTACTACATTCACTGATCAGTCTCACTTTGTTTTTGCACACCAGCCTCTCTTCGTAGTAGGTGGAAGCAGAAAAAGGTATTTGTCTTTGTGATGTGTAATTAACGCTGCAGAAGCTGGCAGAAACCTCTGTGAAGTTTCAAAAAGCACTTCTGACAGCGTATTATTCAAGACAACACTCGCATTGCAGTATGTAGTTTACTTCTCTGAACATCTTCTTTAATACTTATTTTTACAATTGTCGTGTCATACAGAATACATTAAAGCAAACATTCAGAAAAAAATGTACAAGCATATGTGTGGCTGATATGCATATGCCAGTTTGCATGAAAACTGACAGAACTGAGCACAAATGACAGCTCTGAGCTGGTATCCACAAACCCCTTTTACAAACCATTTCATTCCACTTGAACTTGATATAATGATTTACAAACTGGCATTTTATATAAGGCCAACAGCTCATATGTTTTTCCTCAACATTTGGACCTATTATGATTTAGATAAATCAACACTCCAAAAATTTAGAAGGAAAGCTCCCATTCCCATCTGTTCTTTCTAGCCTGCTTCAAATCATTTATATACACAAAAGGAAGACTAGTTAAACCAAATTAAAGATCTGATTATAAAAACAGATTTTGGTATGTGCTTGAGTATAAAAAACCCTGTACATTTATTTAGCAATTGTGTAAATCAAGAACAGTAAATGGCTTGCTTCAAGTGCTCTACAGCTAAGACTTCATAGACCAAGTTCATCCCTAAACAAACACCCAAAAAATCCCCAAAAGCTTACAATGCTAACATTAACAACCTTCTTGACCAAGGTGCTAGTAGGCACTATTGTACTATATTACTCATTAATTATTAAGAGAGTCAGACTCTGACCTCACTTACAGTTAATGCAAATTTACACTGATGTAACTGAGAGCAGAATCCATCTTCTGGTATATACCATCCTCAAATGATATAAAGGAGTTGCAAAAACAGATGCTCTCTTTTGTATAAATATGTCATAAATAAAACATATATAGATACAAATATTCATTACTACAGCAGCTTAGAACAGTCTAACATTTCAGCTCTTGTTTTTATCACACTTTGCTAAAAACACATCTTAAGTAAGCAGAGTAAATCTTAACAGCACTGTATTAATTATTTGTGATGCTACACACCCCAGAAACAATTTATGCACATTTTGAAGCTTTCAGTAGATCTTTAGAACTTTAGTAGTGAAAGTAGGTAGAAATTTTTTGATGCAAAAAAGAATAAATAAATAAAAACTATTAAATATCCCATGTTTGGTACAAATACTTCATATTAAGTTATTTTTATACATTTGTTTAGAAAAATACACTAAATATTTCTACTTTCATTGCCTAAAAATAAGGACTGGATTATGTATATCCTTGTGTTTTTAAAGGCGTGATTACCGTCAAGCTGCTGGAGCAGAGCCATTAGTGCCCATTCCCACAGCCCTTACACTGGCAAAAAAAAAGCCATTGTGGGGATAATCACAGCTCCAGGTGGATGACCTGGTACAAATGACCAAGAGGCCCATGGCACAAGTTGAATTTTCTCAAAAAAAATTAAAACTTTTTGCTGAATTTTATAATGCTTGTTTACTAACATATCAGTCAGACCTCCACACTTTTTTAAAAAGAGCTGCATTTACAAATGTGGATGCTTATCTGTTAAAGCCATCATTTGTTCCAAAAAAATGCACATTCAAACTGTGAAATATTAGGAAAATACTCTTGCAAATAAACTATATAAAGATAAAATACACTTCAAAGATAGTATTTACTTTATTCTATAAAGTGCAGATAAATCCTTCTAAAAAGGGAAATAACTACTTCCTATAACAACAGTATAATTACAGCAGCTTTTGCATAGCATTATTTATAGAAAATTTAATA